ACACACATATATATATATATATATATATATGTATATTTGTATTAAAAGAAAGTAACTTAATTAAGTTTAATATATATATATATATGTATAGGATGATTTAGTTTAATATCTTACTTTATGATGTTGTGGTGGTGGGAAACATAGCAAAAAACCAAGCTTGTACTTGTTTTTGTTGTTTTTCTAGAGTGAATCATGTGGCTATATTTGTTCCTAATCTTTAAAATGAAAACATAGATAATATATGTAATAATGGAAAGAAAGGGAGTAGGAGGAGAATGAAATGAAATGGGGGAGCAACAAGTATCCAGTTTCGGTGAAGACAATGGTGGATTTGGTTTCTACTTTTTTACCATAAAAAGCAAGTAACCGGAGACCCTGTCTATCTCCCTTTGCTTTCTTGCTTGCTTTATAACTCTAGCTGTCAGCTAGCTACCTATATATATATATATACCCACTAGCTAGCTAGCTAGCTTTTACTGTGTGTAGTAACAGGTGTTTCTCTGTGTGTGTGTGTGTTTTCTTTTCCCATCTTCCTGTTGCTGTTGCTGTTGCTGTTGCTGTTGGTAGCTGACATGGTTCTCAGTCCATGCAGGACTTATCCAGAATATGTCAATTTATATATATATATATATATATATATATATATAATTTAATTACATTGATTTAGTGCATGTTTAATGATATAATTTGTTTGGTTACATGCACGCAGTTATACAGTGAATGGTTACATAGCAGAAGTTCGGAGGTTGGCATGTGAGATATTGGGCTTGATGGCCAAAGGACTTGGCCTCCCACTTCAAGTTTTTACCACTTTGCTTACAGACAGAGATACTGACTCACTCCTCAGACTCAATCACTATCCACCACCAACAGCAGCAGCAGCAGTCTCTTCTACTACTAATAATCCCATTGGGTTTGGAGAGCATTCTGACCCTCAGATCTTGACCCTCCTCACATCCAACGATGTCCCTGGCCTGCAGCTATCATTGGGAAATGGTCATTGGCTACCTGTCACGCCGGACCCACAGGCTTTTTGTGTCATCGTTGGTGACCTCTTACAGGTAGGTAAAGATTTACAAACATCTAAATATAAATATATATATATATACACATGTTTTTCATTAATGTATATAGAAACAATCATTGCTTCTTTGTACCGTCTACTTCTCTCTTAATCGTTGACATATATACATATGTATTTGTGTGTGTGTGTGTGTGCAGGCTATGACAAATGGGAGATTTGTGAGTGCACGACATAGAGCCATGGCGAACACATCATCTACTGAATCACGATTGTCAATGGTGTTCTTTGGTGGACCTCCACCCCAAACAACAATCACATGTCCACCACAATTACTGAAACTAAACAAACCCCTCTACAAAGCATTCACTTGGGCTGACTACAAATCCCACGCCTATGCTCATAGGCTTGGAGAAACAAGGCTTGATCACTTCAAGCTTTCCTAGCTAATTAATTAATTTTCTCAAATCATCATGCTATGGTATGATAAGTTAAGTTTATAATCATGCACCAATATTCTTGATAATTAATGAATACTACTCCTTTTGTGTTTGAATCATATATATATATATATATATATATATTTGTAGGTTTAGAATTAGATGGTTGGGAAATTTTGGTGTCTTGTTTTTGTTGGGAATTAAAATGTAAAGGCTGATGCTATTGCTTGTTAGTTATAGTTATAGTTATAGTTATGGTTATAGCCTCTTACTCTTTTAATGGCAAAATCTTGGTTTCTTGGTGCTTCTGTCTTTCCAGGTTCATTAATGTTTTTCTCTTTTACATTAAAATTATATACTTTAATTTATTTCTTCATACAATTATACAAATTCCAATATTATTATAAAAGCCACACTTGATTCATTATTTCTTTCTCGTTATAAATTAAATTAAAAGTAACACCTTTCTTTTTAATGAAATAATTTACTCATTAACTAAAATTAATTTGTTACTTTTATTTGACGGTTAATAATTCCTAGTGAGTATTCAATGTTCTTCCTTAGAGACTTATCATTTAGTAACTTGTAGAGAAACATGGGCACAAGAAGATGAAGTAAAGACTATGGTTGTTGAACTATATATTCAGTGTTCTTCTATCATTTAGTACATATAACTAATTTTTTCATTCACACACCGCAACCACATATATACATACACACACACATATATATATATATATATATATATGTATTTTCAATTCATGATTTTCCTAACAAACATTGGCCACCAAATTAATTTTATGTTATCTCATGATAATAAATCAATTGCTTTTGCACAAAAAATATGACATTTTTTTATAATATTTAAGATTTTTATCTAATATGATTTGTTAAAGTAATTGGTTGTGTTCTTTAATTTTAATAAATAAATAAAAAACATTGAGGGTGACATGCATGCATGTTCATGTTCATGTTCATTTTTAACAAGTAAAAAAACCATAACCACACGTAAGTTATTGCATTGTTTGTAGTTTGAAAGAAAGTACAACAACTAATTATCTTTTGCTCTTGACAAACGATGTTTTAAAGTGGATACATATAATATATTACCATTTCTCTTTCTCTGAATGCAACTGCAACTGCAATTCAACGCTTCTTTTTATACCTTTTTTGATTAGTTTATATAGAGAAAGTGTGATTATTTATGGATTCAATTGTTTGGATTTGTCATTTTTATGCAATAATACTACTAATAATCGCCAAAGCTTGTATCATGTCTAGGAAATAATATTTCTTTGTGTTTAGTGTCATCCATATATGGATTTTGACTTAATTATGTTGCATATATATTTCCATTTAATTTTTATTAATATCAACCAACAAACTTAACTTTATTTACTTATTCCAAGTGTATACTTTTTAGATACAAATTACACCGCACTTTACACTGCCGTAATCTATAGTTAATTTGATGGTTTGAAAATAATACGTGATTTGCCTCTAAACTGCATCACGCATTAAACACCTGTAGACAACGGCTATAGTTGAATATAATTTCTTTAAAAATAATTTTGACTTTTGATTATTATATATATTATAGCTGTAAACCGTTAGAAATGTTTTTACCGGCCTTCACAATTAGCTATACGAGCTCAGAGACTTAGAGTCCGTTTGGTTTGCAAAATTGTTTTTAAGAGATTTGGATTTCATAGAGAGATTTGGATTGCAATTAATTTGAAATTATTTGTGTGTTTGGTTTATAGGAATTGAATTTCATTATTTATTAATAAATTGTAGAAAAAATTATAAATGATTATAAAAATAATTCAATTACATTTTTATGAATCGATTATTCCAAATCCAAACCAAATGCTTTTAACATTTTTAAAAACCTTATTACATACAATCCTACTAAATCACGTGAGCACTCCTTAAGGATTTCAAAATTCTATGACAACGAACAACGATGAAAATATGAATGATGTGGAATCGAGTAAGTGGAATGTAAGTTGCTGTTGTGATCATCATCAACATCAAATAATACTTCTTGTTTTGTATTCCAAGTTTTCTTTATGTTTGAACAATCCAACATCGTTATTTATTTATTTATTTATTTATTTATTTATTTATTTATGTTTTAAAGAAAATCAAAATTACTTATATATTTAAAAAAAAAAAAAAATTTAATTAAAGGAGCATCAAAATGAAAAAATGTATCAACCCTAAACTCACGATTCCAAACTGCCTTTTCTTTCTCTTCCCATTTTCAAATCGTTGTCTTCCTTCATTTTTGCACCACTTACTTCAAGCTATTGAGAGATGGTGAAGGTCCGGATGAACACGGCGGACGTGGCCGCCGAGGTCAAATGCTTACGTCGCTTAATCGGGATGCGCCTTTCTAATGTCTACGATCTTTCTCCCAAGGTGGAAACCCTAATTATGTTAGATGTATCTTCTTCAGATTATTTCTTATTTGAGTTTATATGGTTCAAAGGCACTTATCAATGTGCTATCAGAGTTCAAGGTCGGTTCCTACATGACTAAATAGGGATCCATTTCTGTCATTTATCCATGATGCAGAGTATTGCCACTTATTCACTGTCTCAGTGGAACTTATTCCACTTGCTTCTTCAATTCCAAACTATACAGCTTCACGTTTAAGCATAATTTTGATGTTTTAAGTTCAACAAGTCAGACTTCACATAAGTATGTTATTAGGTTCAAGACGAGGGTCGTAAGAAACAAGAGGAGTTCTTAAGTCTTACACCACCAAGGGTCTATGTATTTTATCAAATTTTCTCACAAGTTTTCCCAGTGTATTAATAACATGAAGCTACTCATCAGTCTGATTGATCTGAAAGTCATAGTGGTCCTCTTTTTTATTTGTATTTCCAAAAAACAGAGTTGGTGATTGTTATGGCATTGGGTGATGCTGATACATATGCAGGCATATAGACACCTCAGTGAAGAATTATTTTATATATCGTTGAGTGGTTGACAAGAAAAATGAGTAGCTTCTAAACTATAGCTGTTGGTTTTTGAAACCTTGGTTTTTTATGGATCATGGTTTGCAGACATATGTATTCAAGTTGATGAATAGCAGTGGAATTACCGAGTCTGGAGAGAGTGAGAAGGTTTTGTTGCTGATGGAAAGTGGGGTAAGATTGCATACCACAGCTTATCTCAGGTAAGCTCTCATTGACGGTTTATATCGGCTTAACCGCTACACCAAATCACAGTCCTAACCGCAATTTCAGATTTTGACTGATGTAACAAGATAGATCTTTTTCATGAAATACAGTTAATCGAGCGTCCATAATTAGTGTATCAACATTAGAGTTTAGGCTACGGCGTGATAGTCAATCTGGTAATTGAAAAAATAGAACCAAATGGGAAAATTCCTTGCATGTGTAATCCATCAAAAAAGAGGATTACTGTGTCTCAGACACTGCATAAATACAAACAAGCAATCTACCATCTCGAATCAATATCTCAGGCCTCCACACTTGTCATGACCTATCTTCATTCGGGGAGGGTTACAAGCTGTAAGTGGATAAATGTGTTATTGAATAATTATTTCAAAGTATATGTTGGGTTTCTTTGCTGTTTATAGGGATAAAAGTAATACTCCTTCTGGGTTCACTCTCAAATTGCGAAAACACATCAGAACTAGAAGGCTTGAGGATGTACGGCAGCTTGGATATGATCGGGTAAATCTTGGTTAAAGTCAGATTCTTCCTTATTGATTATTGAATTATCTTTTTTGCATGCTTCTAATTTGATGTACTATGTGAACAGATAATTCTCTTTCAGTTTGGGGTTGGTGTTAATGCTCACTATATTATATTGGAGCTCTATGCACAAGGGAACATACTCCTCACCGATTCCGAATTCATGGTTATGACTCTTCTGCGGTCACACAGGTTTGAATCTAGAATCATGTGTTTTCTTCTTTCTAGTTTTTTGTTATATTTCAATATGTTACATGTCCTTAGGTTTCTCTCTTCTTGATATCTGTTTGTTAAAGCTTGATGGTTCCTGTAATTAAGCATCAACCATGTGGTTGCCTTACTTGCTGAACAACCTACCTGTTACTCTATATTAGGCTAGTGGTGACAGCTGCACTAATGGAGCCTTCCCATCTTTTGACTAAGGAAAAGTAGGTGATGATTGGTGTTCCATAATTATTACTGGGTTTTGCTAGCAGGTGATATGCCAATCATATCTTCTGAAACCTGTATCCACCCTAAAGTTATTGTTAGTGTGAACTGCTTGGTCAGATGATTACTCTAAACTATTGTAGCAGTTTTCAAGTTTAGAAGGATTTTGTATTTGTGACTATTGTGTCTGTTCCACCTAGTACTGTAAGGAGCTACTGTCCATAATCTACAAGGGCACTAGAGAAAGCCATTTGCGCCTGGTTATTTATTGCAAGTTGAATATGGTAGCTTGAGATCTTTCTTCTATCATCCCACAAATCTAATTGATTGTCCTTTGTTTGTAGTCTTATCTCTCTCTATGAAGTAAACGAAGTTATTAACTTACTTGATTTAGGGACGATGATAAAGGGGTTGCAATCATGGCACGTCATCCTTATCCAGTTGAAATTTGTAGAGTCTTTGAACGGGCTGATGGTGCAAAGTTACAGGAAACCCTTACATCCTTTAACAATCAAGAAAGTAATGAACATGTGGAAGATGGTGCAGGTGGAAATCATGCACCTGTTGCACCACAAGTGAAGAAGGGGAGCCACAAGGCTGTGAAGTCCAATGATTCTAATAAAAAGAAGGATAGTGCCCATGCCAAACAAGCTACATTGAAGGTTGTTCTTGGGGAGGCTTTGGGTTATGGACCAGCACTATCAGAACATATTATATTAGATGCTGGCCTAGCTCCAAACTTGAAAGTTTCCAAGGACCTGAAATTAGAGGATGGTTGCATTCAGACTCTTTCTGAAGCTGTTAAGAGGTTTGAGGACTGGCTGGAGGATGTTATATCAGGTGCTAAAATTCCAGAAGGATACATCTTAATGCAGCAGAAGAAAATGGGGAAGGATCAAGCCCCTGCTGAATCGTCTGGCACTGATCAGGTTAAGCTTTGTTTCTAATCAGTGTTTGTGATAATTCTATGATAATACTAAAAGTAAGATTAGCCTTGATTAATTTTGTATCTGTGGTACATTCCACGAAATTTAATGAAGTTATCACAATTTCCTTTATAAAGTTGAAGAATAACTATTAGTTCTAAAATAGAAGTCATAGGTTTGATTCTCGGAAGCAACGAATTATTTTGTTGGAATGGTGGGAGTGCCAAGTAACCTAGTAAGGTGAACTAAGTAAGTTTGTAACTATCTAATTTGCTTTCTTCAAAATGTCTTTTGTGTCTGATGTTTTAATTTTATGTGATGTCAAACGAATAATCAAGCTCTTTGAGTTATCCTGACCTTCTCTTGAACCACTTCTCAAAAGTAAATTCTCCACCTTTTTTCAACATATAAATCTGGTTTCTAGTTTTACTTTAACTACTCTTCTAGTTTTTAGCTTCTAGTTTTACTGCAACTACTCTTCTAGATGTGCATATAAGGAATAAATAGACACTCTTTTCATCTTGTGGAAGTAGCGAGGCCTTTCTTCTACATTGTTATTGATGACACGCTTTGATCTCCTTTTGCAGATTTATGATGAGTTCTGCCCGTTATTGTTAAATCAGTTCAAATCAAGGGTTTCTGTGAAATTTGAGACGTTTGATGCTGCATTGGATGAATTCTATAGTAAAATTGAGAGCCAGCGAGTTGAACAACAACAAGAAGCAAAAGAGAGTTCTGCAATGCAGAAGCTTACCAAGATTCGCAACGATCAGGTCCTATATAGACTCTATTATCATCCTTCACATCTTGGTTTCCCATTTTTCTTATGAATAGTGCATGCACACATGCATCTTTTTGTTCAGCAGAAAAACTTGAAATTCGTTTTCACCTGAGGTTCATTTCACTGGAATGAATATTTTTGCATCCTTCAGAAGAGAGGACTAGGTTGTGAATCATAAGACTTCTCCATGTTGGTTTTATCTTGATTATTTCAAAAGTCCAACAATGTATTTTTCACATTTGTTTGGATTGTTGAACAGTCTGTTTGTCTTCTAGATAAAGTTCTATTTATGTACACAAATGAGGTGGGAGATACAGCGTAAGTGAACCAAACCTGTAAGCCCTTCAAAGTGACTTAAAAGGTATAGCAACAAGCTAACAACCAAGATTGCACCAGAAATATGTAAGATACATATAAGATATGCTGTGTATGTGTAGTTTTTAAAGCGGCACTAGTAAATAGAATAGTTAGCGTGCACCTTTAAAATTGTTCATCATAAATGCTGTTTAGCTTATTCAAAGTTTTTGTTACAGGAAAACCGTGTACAAGTACTGAAGAAAGAAGTTGATCGCTCTGTTACAATGGCAGAACTTATAGAATACAATTTAGAGGATGTGGATGCTGCTATCTTGGCTGTTCGCGTAGCTCTTGCAAATGGTATGAGTTGGGATGATTTAACTCGCATGGTGAAAGAGGAGAAGAAATCTGGAAATCCTGTTGCAGGTCTTATCGACAAACTACATCTTGAAAGAAATTCCATGACTCTGCTATTGAGCAATAATCTTGATGAAATGGACGATGATGAAATAACTCAACCTGTCGAAAAGGTGTTACTTGAACATCTTATCTTTAGAGTTTTCACTTTCTAACATTTAATGTTGTTTAATGCACTTTCGTATGTACCTATATCTTTATGTTTCATTTCATATCCATGAGTGCTCTTGACATCATCTTTAATCTTGCCTTTTTCTTAGTCTAAAGTCTAGACACTAGTGCACATATTCATCTCTAATGATAAACTTCTCAACAGAAAAATGACTTGAGGGTCATCTATTCTATTTAAAGTATTCAATTTCTTTGTTGATAGATAGTATTCTTCATGTAACAGATCTCATATTCCTTATTAAATTATGGCTTTTGTCTATAGCGTTGCCCACTTTACCCACTTATGTTAATGAGAAAATGGTTGCTCTCTGACTTACGACCTACTGTTGTGAATGCATGGTTTCACTCTTTAGGTGGAAGTTGATCTAGCGCTTTCTGCCCATGCAAATGCTCGACGGTGGTATGAGCAAAAGAAGAAACAGGAGAGCAAACAAGAAAAGACTCTTACAGCTCATGCAAAGGCCTTTAAGGCTGCTGAAAAGAAGACACGTCAACAGCTCTCTCAGGTAATATATCATCATGAATTTTTAGTTGAATGTGTACTTATTATCATTGGTTATGTATTGCCATCTAGAAATAGTGGTCCTTAATTTCATATGTTGTCTCAGTATCTTGTTTTGTTTTTTGATCTATTGACACCAAAAGAAAAGTTCCATGACATTTACTGTTTCTAATCTACGTTGCATGTCATAAAGCTCATGTTGAGTGAAGTCTACCCACAACTCATCTATCCATCTAACCATGTCCTAGATTAGTACATCAGAATTACTGTGTTGACATCCAAATTTCTTGTGCAACTCAAATATATCATTGATAAACACATCTACAACGTGATTAGTCAAGATGTCTTTGATTAATGAAATTTAATTCACCTAACCTAATGATGCACATGGGGCCTAAAGAATAACATGGATCCTGTTGAGGTAGGCAGGTTTATGAACATACAACATCTAATGGATTCACATAGATTGCTTATTGGGAATTATCGACAGCTTGTAATAATCTGTTTGACTAATTAGCATTTGTCGCAGTTACTTGGTTTCTGGCACCATGAATTTTTTTCTTTAGTTTGCACTTCTATTGTATAATGATAATTGTATGACTCATAAACAAAGCCAACTGAAAATTTACAACGTCATTGTAAGATTGTTTTACTATTTAATTTAGCGTCTGTTATGCTGTTTAGGTGATTTCTTGTCAACTTTTATGATTCGGTGTCAGATGTACTGACTGCGCTCATGGACAAATTATCAGGAAAAATCTGTTGCTGCTATTTCACATATACGGAAAGTGCACTGGTTTGAAAAGTTCAATTGGTTCATCAGCAGTGAGAATTATTTGGTTATCAGTGGACGTGATGCTCAACAGAATGAGATGATAGTCAAGCGTTACATGTCAAAAGGAGACCTGTGAGTGAATATTTCTAATTGTAACTTTTAACTGGGTGCAGCATAGTGCATTACTTCGTGTCTTGGCTGAATGAAATTTACAATTTTTTTGAGCTCTTCTCTTTGAACATAACTAATTGTAGTGACTGCAAAATCTCTGCCCCCCCTGCTTGATCATCGCATTCTCATTGCTCACACTTCTCACCCCTGCTCTTGTGGGGAGAAAACTGTATGGAAAGGAAGAGAAAAATGTTAACCAACCCAACTATGCTAGACTAGGAATATCTCCATTCTCAAAACCGAACTATTTCATGACAACATGTAAATCTTATCAAAGTATAAAATTAATTATATCTTGACCTATAGTAATGTTGTCAAGTTATTCATTTGCACTTGTAACAAGTGTATTGGAGGTTATATATGCAGAAAGGTTGACACTTTAAGCCCATGCTTTCTAGCTTTTATCCCAGTAGATAAATTGTTTCATTTCTTTGTAAATTAGCTTGACACAGTATTATATTAATAAGTAATATGAGGATAATTCTAAGTTGAATACAAGATTGTAATTGTGAGTCTTTCTATTTGCTAATGCAATAGAGAAGGAATTAAAGAGATCTAAATGATGTCCATGTCTTTTATATTTTATCTGTTGGGTATTGAGGTTTAATTTTTCAAAATTTCAGCTAACCATAATTCCATTTACTGGATACTTCAGCAAACACTATTGACTGTCATCCATGCTATTATTTAGTGATGATTTTTAGGCTGATATTGATGGCTTGATGATGAACAGGTATGTCCACGCAGAACTGCATGGAGCTTCTAGTACCGTGATTAAGAATCACAAGCCTGATAGCACTGTACCCCCTCTTACATTGAATCAAGCAGGATCTTTCACTGTGAGTACTTGCAAACTAGTGATTTCTTTATGACTAATGCTGATAGGTTGCAAGTAGTGGTATCAACCTTGATTGTTCTGTGGTCTAGAGGACTGAAACCGCTAAATTGTACTGATCACAAACTATTAAAAGAGAGAATTCTGAAGCACATTGGTATTTGTCAAAAGCTGTATTAGGATGTAACAAGCAATTTTCATGTCAATAAAGCTAAATAATCATGACAGTGAACAAACAAACAATTTTGTGATCTGTTGGAATATGTTTCTAAAAGCTAAAGCACTTACAGCACTATTCTATCCTAGCAAGGTTAACAATATTTTTGGCCGATTGAAAATAGAATCTTTGAGGTTAAAATTTCCGATTCAGAAGAGTTAGGTGAGATTTTGGTAGTGGCTCTTAATAGATGTTCGTGAAATGTTTGTTCTTCTAGTAAATAACTCAACAATCAAATAGATTGGACTGATTAGAGGAGAATTTCCATTGGGACTATGTATTTTTTGTGCTTGACATCATACCTTTATGTTTTCAAATACTCATGAGGGTTTTTAAGGTGCCTTAGTTGAATTGGGTACAAAGCTACCTTTGTTTTAGTTGAGCTTTCTTTTTATATATTGCAAAGCCAAAGATTTGTTTCGTTTAAGATGCTATATTTGAGCATGTAGATGGGTCTAGTAGTCATTTTACGAAAAATTTGGATCAGAAATTTGAAATCCAACACGGTCAAAATATGCATCGGATCTCTCCAACTATATAACCCTGCAGTCAGTTTCATCCTGTGCATAATATATGCACATTATTAAGAGTTAATTCTGGGAATTCTGTGCTTGTAAGAGTGATATGGGGGATGATCAACTTTGTATATCTTCTGACTTAGGTCTGCCACAGCCAAGCATGGAACTCAAAGATTATTACTAGTGCATGGTGGGTGTATCCGCAGCAGGTGAGCAAAACGGCTCCTACTGGGGAATATCTTACAGTTGGCAGTTTCATGATCAGAGGGAAGAAGAATTTTCTTCCTCCTCATCCTCTAATCATGGGCTTTGGCATATTATTCCGCTTGGATGAGAGTTCCTTGGGGTCTCATCTGAATGAAAGGAGAGTAAGGGGTGAAGAGGATGGAATCATTGAGGCTGAAGACGGTGAGCCTTTTAAAGAATTGTCTGATTCTGGTTCTGAGAGAGAAACAGCAGAAGCAGAAGATCCAGTAAACGTTTCAGATTTCCCAACAGATGAACAGAAATTGACGAGTTTATCCTCTGAAGCTAGTTCTACTCATGAAATCAGCTCCTCTGATGTCAAAACCACCAACCTGCAAGAAGTTTCTGTCGAAGAGGAGGCTAGTCACAGTGGCAATATTGATGATAATGGATTGGAGACATCTGGGAGAGCTGCTGCAACTGTGTCCCCTGAACTTGAGGATCTTCTTGATAGAGCTCTTGAGCTTGGATCTGCTGCCTCATCTGCTAAAAAATACGGGCTTCATGTTTCAGAAGTGGAATCAGAGATAAATAATCATGAGGAGAAGAAAGCAACAGTGAGGGAAAAACCTTATATCTCCAAAGCTGAAAGAAGAAAGCTCAAGAAAGGCCAACCGCATAGTGTCGGCGGAAATGCTGGTCATGGGGAAGAGGACGTGGAGAAAAACAATAAAGTCAACCATCAGCCACAAAAAGATGTTCTGAACTTAAGGCTAGATGGCGGTGGAAAAGTCAGCCGTGGCCAGAAGAGTAAACTCAAGAAGATGAAAGAAAAGTATGCGGATCAAGACGAGGAAGAAAGGAAAATCCGAATGGCTTTACTTGCTGTGAGTATATTAAGTTGCATTACTTCATGATAGTCGCTAGGCGAATATATGAACTATTAGGTGCCTTTTGCTTCATTCTCTCTCTCTACTTGTGAGTCCACTAGTTGCTTTGCATGCTTAATATTCCCCCTTTCTTTCAGACATAGAACATTCTGGTGTGAGGCCATGAATTTATAATTTGACTGACAAGACAATCTACTCGCAGTCTGCTGGAAAAGCTAAAGTGAATGAACAAGATGCGCAGAGTGAAGCAGTATCTACAAACACAGAGTTGAAGTCTGTAGGCGGTATGTATCAAATATCTGCTGAAAATTGTGACAATGTTTCTGTCTTTTTCTAATATAAAATTAATTCCAAGCCAAACTAGAGATTCATGCATTTGTGGTTAGTAGAATCTGTGTATGCATACATGATGTATATGCAGTAATAAAGACAAATGGAATTTTTATTGCTGTATGTATCTGTATACAGTTCTTTGGATGTGCATGTTAGGTCTTTTCAGTGTGGGGTGGGTTACAGTGGTTTTCCTTGACTGAGCTACCTCATATGGGGCTTTCTTGTTTGCTAGATCCCTCACTTGGTGCTTTTACTTGGATACCTTAAAGTGGGATTCTTGTCGTGTGTGTGAAGAACATTTCTGCAATTGCAGTTCTTTGCTTACCTTTGTGTGCTCGTCTATCTTGAAGTCCTACTTCTCTTGCTACTTGAAGCGATTTCTTTTGCACGTCCTTAACTTTGCTTATGCTAAATATAAAGTCTGTCCGGTTTGTATAATGGTTGTTCATCATATTGCATGCAAACACTCGTGCAGGCTTGTAAATCTGCAATTTGATTGCATTGTTCCAATTGTGCTGTAATGCAGGCAATGAAGATGCTCCAAAAATATGCTACAAATGTAAAAAGGTTGGACATCTGTCTAAAGATTGTAGAGAACATCCAGATGAAGTGAAGGGTGGTCGTGCAAATGGTAGGCATGAAGACAATGATGCTAGTCTTAGTGAAGCTGAGAGGATGGCAATGGAAGAAGATGATATAAAGGAGATTGGTGAAGATGAGAAAGAGAAATTGACAGACGTGGATTATCTGACAGGGGTTCCTCTACCAAACGACATTCTTTTATATGCTGTGCCTGTGTGTGCTCCTTACGCTGCTTTACAATCATATAAATATCGTGTGAAGATAATCCCTGGAACAGCAAAGAAAGGAAAAGGTATGGTGAAAGTTTAAACTACAGCTAGTATATAAATAAATTAGAGTATAAAGTAATGATATATTTTCTATTTGTGGGTTTGGTTTAAAGCTGCGAAAATGGCTATGAATTTGTTTGGTCACATGGTGGAAGCATCTCAACGAGAGAAAGAGTTGATGAAGGCATGTACAGAGCCAGAGCTTGTGGCTGCGATTATCGGAAACGTCAAAGTCTCTGCTGCAGGCCTCAATCAATTGAAGCAGAAGCAAAGGAAAGGAAAGAAAGCAGCCAAAGCAAGCTGAGTTTCACGTTTGATTGTGTAAATGGTAAAATACAGAAATAATGGGGAGACACCAATTTTGGAGGATGGAGGCAAAAGTGTTGGAAGGTTTGATATTTGCAATTGCAAATCATATTTTGAGATATGCAACACTCCTTTTTTAAATGGAGAAAAAAAATCATGTTTTTAGTCTCTCTCACACAAACACATTTTCAAACAGTGTATCATGTGTTACTTTACATGTCCTTTTTTTTATGTATAGCTAGAATTTAATGTAACCATTCACATATATTTGTTTCACCTTTTGGCATATTTATATACCAAAACGAGTATATGTATATATGTTTTGAAATCACTTAAAAAATACATCATTCAAGCATATAATTTAACGCCAAACTGGCCTCATGAATCAACTCCCAACACCTTATCCGTCTCTTTCTCTGCTATTATCTTCACCAATCCTTAGACTTCGCCCTGCTGTTGCCCAACATCGGAAATCTCCCGATGTTATAAGCAATCCCGAGTTCCTTCACCTGCTCCTCCGTCTTTCCAACAGATGCCACCTCCGGATGTGTGTAAACCACACCCGGTACCTTATCATAGTCAACATGTCCTTCCTTCCCCTGCAATGAATTCTGCACACGCTATACCATCTTCTTCAGCTTTGTGAGCCAACATCGGTCCAGGTATCACATCACCAATCGTGTAAACGCCTTTGATGTTTGTAGAGAATCTTCTGTCCACAGGGATTCGGTTTCCACTCCAATCTTGTCCAACCCGAGTCCAGCAGTATATGGAGTTCTACCCGCAGAAACAAGAACAACATCAGCTTCAAGTATGGTCTGATCACCACCGGCTGATGGTTCAAGGGTTAACTTCACCACATCCGTGCTAGTGTCAACTGCTGCCACCTTAGTCTTGAGCATGAATTTCATGTTTTGCTTCTCGAGCATACGCTGAAACTGCTTGCGGACCTCACCATCCATGGAAGGGACGATATGAGGTCCAAGCCTATGTAACCAGCTCTTGGGAATTTGTGTCAAAGCCAAAGCTCCGGTGGATGAGACGATCCGTTTCTCGTGAATGGTGATCCTTCGACATCAGAGCCAGTGGCAACAATGACGTTTTTGCCGTTCACTATCGACAGAAACTTGGCATAGCCTTTTACGTACTTGAAAAGGATTTCAACACCGTTTGTTAGGTTAGAAACAAGCGGGACATTGTCAAACTTAACACCATGCTTTGCGAATCTAGTTTTGGCTTCATGATATGATACATGTGGGAAGTGCCTGAAACATAATTCATCAACATATAAACCCTACCTTCCCATAACCAAATGTAATTTTTGTTTAGAAAGGAAAGAAGAAGACCAGCTTACAGCCAACGTTGAGGCAAGGCAAGTACCGCCAAGAGCACCACGTTTCTCAATACAAGTAGTTTGAAGTCCTAACTGAGCAGCTTTGATGGCGGCAACATATCCGCCGGATGACAACGACGAGAGACCTTAAGGAGGAGAGAGAGAGAGAGCCATAGGTGGTGGCCTTTGGTCTTGCCAAATTCGCCATCCCCATTTATTTTCTCTAAAAGATATTCCTTTTGGGAATTCCAACTTAGTTGTCCCTCCTTTTTATATTACATATTCATATATTCATATTCAATTGCTAGATGTTGAAAATTGCCTTTTCTAATGTGTTGGGTTACAATCATTAATATTATAAGACATAACAAAAGAATAATACCATGAATTTTCTAATCATTAACACGAGTGTATGTTAAATCTAATCTTAGTTTTCTTTCTTAAAATTATATCCATACACATAAAAAAGTGATAAGTGTAAACGTTGTCCCATAAAGCCAAATTGGCTAATGGCTTCGTATGTAAACAAATGGTCCCTACATATATTTATATTATTTTATTAAACAAATTTAATAAAAATTTTAAAGTTTTAAAATACTAAATGACCAAGATATCTTTTATACTTTTTCACTTTTTCACCCCTTCTCTCCTCACATACACTCACCCTCTCACAACCTGATTTTTTTTATAAATTATAATTTTAAATTTATATTTTATACCCCTGTAATTAGTTAATTAATTTACTTTACGTTCTTTACTTTTAAATGTTTCATTTTAAACCTTTATCAAATTAACATACATAATCGTCTCGTTAATATCTTCGAAATGAGTCCAATATTGAATAGTTTTTGACTTAATTATATTATTATATATTATATATACTGTGAAAAATTGTTTTTAATATTTATGATTTATACTTTTATAGTTATTTATTTATATATATACTATATATTTTGGGGTTAGGCTGTCTAAATTGCACTGTATAATATATTCTGAATTAATATGTTCTTGGGTTTTTTTGAAATATATATATATATATATATACATGTATTAATTCAACCTTAATCTGAGTTTCTGGACAAGAAAGAAAGTAAGCAGTTGAAATTTCATTCTAAAACCCATTTTTTTTTGTCTTTTCATGACTTATGATCGATCAAATTTGTAGTTTTCTTTATTGGTTTTGAGTGTTTATCTTAAATTCAAGTTTCTTGATTCTTTGCTCTTGGACTCTTGGTGTAAATCGAACACATTTGTGGAGTCGTTTAAATATGTTGGATTTTAAATATATTGGATTTTAAACTGTCATACAATTTTTTTCATCGATAGTATGTAATTGGAACCATAACTCTTATTTATTCAAATTGTATCAATATGTAAAAACTAAGTGTAACCTATATAATCGTTAAATCTTATGTGGAACTTCAAAATCGTTAAAATTAATAGCATTGCGCGGGTACACAACTAGTTACAAAATAAGAGGTATTTGAATACATATTCTTGGGAGAGCACAACACTGAAGCATATTTTTGATATTTAATACTACAATATGCATAGAAATTGAAATTTTCTTATGGAAAATATAAATCTTTTTGCGTTGAAGAAAAAAAATAAAAATAAAACAGTGATTGGTTGGTTTTTGGTCAGTTTTCAATGATGATGTATGAATTAATTTTTATGTTTTTTGAAGATGAAATTCAAGAAAGACAATAAGAATTTGAATTTTATTATGACTATATTATTTATTGCCATTGGTGTGGAGGAACGTTGACTTTGGAATAAAGATGAAAGAAAGGAGGGAGGGTCAAACTTGGCTACCTTCTTCTAGCAACTTCTTTTTTTCCTCTTCCTTCGATAAATATCAACTTCATCATCCACATACTCTGAATTGATTATTTATTATATTCTCTTCATTTTACAAATAAAATATAAAAATTTAAATCAAGAAAAACATTTTAAAACTCCCCCAAGTGAGATACACAATATACAGAAAAGGAAAGGAAATAATTAGTAATATAGAGAAAATGAGCTCTTGATTGATTAATAATAATAATAATAATAAAAGGGGCTAGATTTCTCTCTCTCTCTCTCTCTCTAGTTGATATTTTGCTATACATCATCATCTGATAACCAATCAATCTACACAGAAGGTAATTTCTTCTCTGTACAGTAGTAGTAACAGTTGTACCAGTAAATCTATGACATACAAATATTTGCTTTGCATCTATACCACCATTGCATTTACTTGCTTGCTATCATGGATTGGATATGCTTGTGATTTGACTGCATCCCCAAACCTCTCATTATGTCTCCATCTCCATCTTCACCTTCTCTCAATTTCACATTATTATCTCAATGCAAACCCTGTATATTACATCTGTTTGTTACAACACATCATCTTATCCCATTATTCACAAATAAAATTTCATGTCTATGGTTTGTGTACATACCCCTTGTCGACATGAGCTAATCCATCCACGGTTTTCGTGTTTAATGATGACTACTAGCACTGGTACCAAAGATGGGATTCTGTGGAACCGATGCAGGAACCTGCTCTATAAACCATCCACGTTCTTTTAAAACTGCTTCAGCAGTCGAAACATCACCCGTTCCCGAATATGGTCTTTTCACTTTCCTTTTATGAATTTCCTGAACAAGTCGCAACACCTAAACTCAACCTTTCATATTCTTCAACCATAAATAGAGAAACAAGTCTAGGGGAGGAGAATTCATATCATACCTTCGGCTGGTTTGGCACAAATGTTTTCATTGCTTGCTCAATCGAGGAATAAACCTCACTTGCCTGTTTGGTATCACGGTAGCATTTTATAACACGAGTATGATCATTGTTCTCTGATGATTTTGATTTCAAGTATAGGATAAGTTTCGATGGAGGTGCATTTGCTCCATCTTTCTTTCCACGAGTTAGTTCCATGGTCCCTAGATCCTCCCACAGAACATCCCACAGCACCAAGCATGGATCTCTAGCTGGATTGAATTTCTTTTGTGGTATAAGGTTGGATGTCTGCACCAACCAACCATCATAAATACTACTTGAATATCATGTCATGAAAAAATATATATTTCTCTACCTCTACAAACTAACATACTTGTAAGAGTATAACTCTTCGATGTGTCACAAGAAGTATCTTCTCTTTACGTAGTGAAAAATGGTTTTCGTAAGCATCTGATAAGGCAAACTTTCCACGGACTTTAAACAGATCCACCTGTAAAAAGAACGACCCTGATTCTGCAAGCTGCAGTATTACCTGCATTTGGGCATGAAATCAGCTCAGTGTTGCCATTCTAAACATGTACAATCTTAATATACACACACACACACACACACACACATACATACCTGTCCCTGTGCCCTGTACTCATCATATGGTCGAAGCAAATTATCACCACCGATAACTCGAGGCAGCCTTCTGCGGAGAAGAAGGTCTTCTGAAGTTATAGCAGCTGCAATCTTCATTCTCATTGCATTAGCACCTTCAGTTGTTTTAGATAACAAATCTAGGACTCCACTCACAGGTTGTGCAGCTGCCCCTATTATCCCTTTACCAACACCCTGAACAAAACCCTCCACGCCAGATGCCTTGGCACCTTCTAAAGGCTTTGTTAAAATACCCGTAACTCCTCGAAATAGGCCCTTTGCTAATGCTCCTCCCCCCTCTCTGATCACATCACCAAAATCTTCAACACCTTTATTTTCCTGCACATACGATGATTTAATAAAGAAACAATTACTTCGGAGTTTATGCCAACCAAAAATCACAAAACTAATCAGCATACAAAGCCACCCTCTAAGTACATAACTGTTTTTAATAGGGGAAAAGGTCAAGGGTGCTTTGACAAGGACCTAACCTTATGTATTAGTAGTTACTTAGAGATCAAAATTCTTCTAAACTTTGTCCTCTAAAGGTAAAAATCTGAATGGCACATGTACCAACAACTATAATTACAAAACTTCATCTAATAGAAAGGAGAGAATTACAACTGTTAAGGGTATACCTTCGGGTTGGCAGCATTTATTTCAGGTTTGAACAATTATAAAAGCACATGTGGTTAGCAGTTGAAGAATAGATGCAAAATGTAGCAACTAGATGCAACAAACCTGTCTCTGGCGACTTTGAATAAATTTCTTGTCCATTGATAAGGCAGCAACACCTTTGCTCATATGTCCAAATGCACTGCTTGCATTTCCCAGTATATCCACACCAGAGAGTAACTGAAGAGGCTGGCTTAGTATATCCTTGGTAATATTTGAGATGGCATTGGTGGTAAGAACACTTTGTCTCAAAGACACATTTTCCAGGAATCTCTGATTTACCCGTATCTGTGAACAATCAGATCACGCATACATCATTCTGTCTCACACGTGCAGCAGTATCATAAAAAATGTATCCAATGAAAAAGTGCTCAGACTTCAAAGCAGTTGATGATACTTACTGGCATATTTTCTGTGTTCCCAAGAGCTGTCATCAAGGATGACCAAAACCCAAGTACACCCACAGGGCGCTGAGTCGGTGACATAGCCATGGAGAACTTAAATCGAAACTCTGAGATGTTTAGAACACTGCAACCGAAAAAATGGTTACTACACAAAAATCATGATACCAGATATGAGAAAGGGATCCAACATAATTGGTGCATACCCAATTTCAACGATAGGATCCACCGAGACAGCAGTTGTTTGATTATCACTGAATCTACTAAAATCAATCTGCTGGATCATACCATGAAGTCGCCAAATGATTGGCTCATGAATACTTATCAAGAAGGCGGAGTTTTCAGGTCCCTGTCAGAAAAAATACGTAGGTTATTAAGGAAGTATAACTATAGCCTTTGCTAGAAGAAAAGCATTCAGAATCTCACTTGCAAACCAATATAAGGATAAGCACAAAAATCTAACGATCCGTCAGATTGCTGTGTCATAGAAAATTTCAATATATAATCTGCCTCTACTCCAAGTCTTTGTGGCCTAAAGAGCACAGGCATTGGTGTCAAAGGCAGCTGATTGTCGACTTGGATTCCACGCATTCTTAGTTTGATCCTATCATACAGAAGATGCAATGAATTAGCAAACAGTATTTTGTTCTGAAAATGGAGCGACAATAATTAAGCTATTAGGATATTACCTAGTGATTCCGGAGCCCAAACCAGTTGAATATGACAAAAGAAGGTTCTGCACTGACAAGTACAATATCTCTTCGGGTGTATGATCAATAATGGACAATCCAAACTCGGTGAGTTCAAGGGTAAGATGGAATTCACCATCGGAGGTGGAAACTGATGGTTGAAGATTATTCCTAGATGTTTGTGATGAAGATGAGGCAATCTTTTTATCGGCACTCGCTTGGGGATCGTTGTTGTCTGGCATCCAGTCCCTCATCATAACAACATTCATTTTCTCTTCTTTCACTATAGTAACACGCACTGCTTTAGTAGGTCTCCCATCCACTTGAACAGGTTGATAATCTCGAACCTCATCAATATTGTACTTAGTTGACTCTTTAGTGTCGGTGTCATCCACCAGGACTTCCAGGATTCTTTGTCTACCAAGGTCTTCCCATGAAAAAGAAGCAGTTGTGCAAGGAAGAAGGCAACGCCATGAATCATCATCACCATCAATTTGCCGAAAACGGAAGGGTAAACACATACTACGATTTTCAATCCTGCATTTCAAGATGATTTGCAAGAGGGTTCTCAAATATACAAATTATAGAAATGTCCATATGCATGGTGCAATATGCTTTACTAACATTTCTAAACAAATTCAACAAGTTTCATTTGGTTGATATATGAAGTCAAGAAACATGTTCTGTATTTGTTCATGTTAAGAAAATTAGAATAAAATTATTGGTCAAGTCTGATGACCACCAACTAAGTAACAAAACATTCAGGAATCTAAAACAAGTGGGAGAAAAATCTTTTACAAGATGAGCAAATTTTATATTCTACTCTATAGCCTATGAGCTTGCTTGTGAAGCCAAATCAGAACTGTAGGGTCGAAGGCTCCTTTGAGATGATTATATTTTCATATCTCAAAAAGATAATGAAGATGAATTGATCAGATTTAAAGATAATGAGTAGTTGTTTCAGATAACTTTCTTCTTTAAGAAAGTGTAGCACTCTCTAGATTTACCAGCGTCTAGGAACAAGTAAACTTCTATGTAATTGACTTCACATAGTTGAAAAAACATGAGGATTACAAATATACCATCTAGAAAAACATGGAAATTTCAATGACCGTTAGTCAAGAAATACTTTATACTCTATATCTAAATAGAACAGATACTTTATACTGTTACTTATGGATTTTTCATTTTTTTTAAGGACAAGAACTTGGAGTGTTGGATCCATTACTTACAACCATATCAATTTCCTGAATGTAACAAAGATAACAGAGAGGAGAATTGATAATAGCATACTGACACAGAGAGAACTTTATACATGTACAGCATTATATATCAAGAAGCTAAAGGAATGTAGCTTCCAACAGATAAATGGATAAAGCTCAAGTATTATTTTGATTTATTCAATTTCATATCTCCAAGCTTTAAGCTCTTTAAAACTGAAAAATAACCTGTACTGGCTTGAAAATGAATTGGTACGAAAGATGACATCAAAGCGCGAGTTTGTTGTTCCACTCCTTACTTCAACCTTCAAATACAATCGTTTGCCTGTAGTTTCACTTCTCAAAGAAACACGCATCCAGCCTTCAGTTGCAACACTGAATGGCGTACTCCAATGGTATCCATTAGTCCTTAACTACAGTGAGGACAAAATTCGACCATGAAACAAAATTAAGCAATCATTCTATCAAGCAGTATGTATAATCAAAAAGGGTAATCATATCCAGACCTTCAATAATTCAACTTTGGCAGATGACTGCCATCTAAAATGATTTGGAGCATCGGTAGGATGAATCCAAACCAGTGACTGAGTTTCACACTGCTGCAGACATACGCTTAAGCCAGCCTTGTTAAAAAACAAGGTGTGTGGCTGAAAATGGACAACCTGCAGTAATTTATTTAGGGATGTTGATATAAGTTAGGTATGAACAAGAAAGGGAGAAAAAAAGAATGATACGGTTGATATAACTGATGTAGCTCAAGCACATAGTTTTATTTGGTTAACACTTTCAATACAGGCCTTGTTATGATGCTTATATTCAAAAATAGCATCGGAGAAAATGGAGGATGGCCGTGGTTGCTTTGATAAAGAGTATTATTCTCTTCATTGTCTACTGCTCATGTGCACTGTTAACGTGTACTGTTCTCCTATCACCGCACTTCAACGGGACGATTGGCCAGATATTAGATTCTAATTGGTAAATAGATCTAACTTGTTCATAGTCGTCCTGACATTGCCTATGCAGAAGCAGTAGGACTAGTAAGAGAGTTCATGAATAATCCCCCAGAAGATCATCTCAAGACGATATACAAAATCCTTCACTACCTCAAAGGGATCTCAGGCAAAGGAATTATCATCTCCAAAATCAGAACATGTAGGTAGAAGTTTTTATACTCTGATTGGGGAGGGCTTGCAGGAGATTGAAGACCTACATCATTCTATCATAGCTTTGTTTGGGGAAATTTAGTAAGATGGAGAAGTGAGAAGCAACATGTAACTTGAAGCAGTGGTGAAGGAGAATTCAGGGGCATGCTCATGGAATATGAATAGCTATGTGGCTAAAAAGAATTCTTCTAAAGGAGTTAACGATTGAAATAGACAGCCCAGTGAAGTTATTATGGGACAATAAGTCTTCTCTGCGTATTGCTCACAATCCAGTTCAACATGATCACACAAAAATGTTGTATTTGATCGTCATTGTGAACGAGTAGACATCTGTATTCCCTCTGTTCCATCATTTGAACAACTAGTAGATGTTCTCACCAAAGGTCTGTCTAGGCAGATGTTTGAAGTTCTCATTAGCAAGTTGGGCATAATTGACATCTTTGCTCGAACTTGAGGGAGAGTGTTGAAGGAAACCAAAGCACAAAAAAATGAACGGATTTAAATTCTAATATACTTTTTGTGTTTAGAAGATTAGATTGTATATACTTTACGTATTTAAGAGATTAGATTTAATTCTTGCATTTGTCTGCTTCTATATCATAGTATAAGTATGTGCCCGTGCATTAAGATATGAAGGCTTCTTATTCCACCGCCGTATGGCTGACTAGCGATTACTAGCGATTCCGGCTTCATGCAGGCGAGTTGCAGCCTGCAATCCGAACTGAGGACGTGTTTCTGGAGTTAGCTCGCCCTCGCGGGATGGCGACCCTTTGTCCCGGCCAGTTACACCAAAAGATGCAGTCAATACACCCAGAACCACACCTGTAACCCAAGTTAATTCGCGAGGTTTTTGTTTTTTGAGTCCCCGTTATAGGTTCTATTCATATATGTTCTGCCTCTTATAGTTCATGAAATACAAGTCAATTGCACCTCTTACTATTCTTCCCCTCACAATTTAAAAGCCAATACTAAGAGTCCGCATGGAAATTATGTCAACATGGTATGCAACTTATTTTTGATTTTTGCTGAACAATTGTCTTCTTTCTACATTTATTAGTTCCTCTGCCGATCAATGGAAAAAGAATGTTTTTCCAAGAACTTTTCTACATGGTATTAGAGGCTGCAACTCTTGGTGTGAACCCTAGCTCAACTAAATAAGCCACAGCCCCCACTACCACACCAGCATCGTTCACCCACAAAGGGTTACAACATGATTTTTGGGAACTTGTTTCCTCTTCTCTCAGAGTAGTTGCAAAGGTCCTTAGAAGTTTCTGGCTGTCTAGCATCGTCATTGGCAGGAAGTGGTTGGTACTACTCGTAAACATCCTATTGAGCTAGTTTGGGAGCATTATGGACATCAGGTAGCTCATGTTTTGATGAAGAACATTAAAGCCATAATTAACATCTTCCTTTGCTTGGCCCATTGGTCTGCTCTATACATTAGTCATTCCTGTCTTTACCGAGGGAATGAATATGCTTTTCAAGATTAAAAAATCACCAACTAAACACATGGATGGTGTCGTTTGGGGTCAGAAGATAGCCAACCAATATACTTTGATGCAAAACTAGCTTCAAGTTGATTAAAACAAGAAGCAACTTAACAAACATTTAAACAGAAAAGTCAGGACTGGATCTCCGACTGACGTTAAATAAGCTAAAAGGACAATCAACAACTGGCATATACCTTTGTTCTATCCGAAGTCATGTGCAATAAAGCTGAAAGGTTATAGTAAGATCCATCGGAAGTAAAAGCTTTGACATCTACTCTTTGCTATAAGATGAAAGAAGATCCAAAGCGAGACAGCATGGTGAGATGTTGTTAGAGCAACAAGGTAATAAAATTATATTGATGAACTAAAATGTGTCTCACCTTCTTTTCCAACTCAAGAAGTGATAATCCAGCGCTAAAATTTTCAGAATGCTGAATAGCAACAGCTATACCCACACGAGGTGAAAGATATGCATCATTTCGTGATGAAAACAGCATAGCACCACCATGTCCGACATAATCCTGTGGAGAAAGCATGCTGGGAGTAGAACCAGTGTCCTCAATTGCTTCTAGGACTTGGATATTCCTCCTTGAGCCAGTCAATTTTGCATCGGCGAGACTAGGAAGATTCTTCAATTTTCCAGATTTGGAAGCTTTTGTAGTCAGCAAAGAATCTGCATCTGCATTCTCTAAAGGTTCGACTTCTACCACTCGATATGTAAGCGGCACAGAGCAGTCATTACTAATCCAATATGGGACAAAAAACCTTATAGTATTAGGGGAAGCTGCAGATGCTCCCATGTCACGTTCGATGCTCACACGCAATCTCCTGTATAGGCAATATCACAAACATAATAGACCTCAATTTATTGTCTTGCTTATAGCTAACTATGAGTTGAACAAATAGAATGCTCTCAGAATGGTTCACTCTTCTAACATTCACAAATCTTGCAGAGACCAACTTTAAATTAAATATGCAATTAGTAATACTAGAACCAACTACCAACACGGAACTCACATCAAATAACTCAAAAGTTTTGCTTTAAAAGAAGATATGGAGGACTGTAATGGGTGGATCCATATAGATGATATAAAGATGAGTCGAGGAGACACTAGTACCAAGCATTTCCAATTTTCAGTTCCTGGATGTGACTCGAACATCATCCTCAAGAAAAAACTTCCTCAAGCAATTGCTACCCCTATCCACCCAGAGAAAAGGAAAGAAGAATAGGGAAAGAGTGCACGTGCACTTGCTACACAATCGAATTTCTTTTACAGTAGATGACATTATATGCTATATCCAGAGTTATTGTTATAGTAAGTATTTCGGATTTATTGCAACAATTAAAGTTGAGACATAAAATGTGCTCATGTTCCCAAGAAAGTGACAGCTTTGGGGAAGCAGAAGAAAACCCTATAGATGCTTTGAGTAAGGTTAGAACAGAGAAAGTAAAGTAATTAATTGGAGAAAAAATGGGACATTTATATGGGAATGGGTAGTTGCATATGGGAACTCTCTTCCATTTTATGTTATCATGGTCATTGACATGCCCAAGAAGCGAAATGATCAGCCTAAAAAACCTCATTCAGATTTCTTGCTACTTGGATCAAAGATATGTAGATTTATTGTTACCAATGAGTCGATCTCCTAAAGTGAAAAACACACAATCAAGAACGAGTAAGTATACAGGTACTACAAACCTTTTCTTTTGCTGATGGATCATCCAAAATGAGGAAGCATGAATATTAGATGAAAGATCCAATACAGGAACAGGATCCTGCTTTTAAAGAAGAGAGTGAGTGACAAGAGAGAGAGAGAGAGAAGAAAACATTTCTGAATTAGAATAAAAATTTGGAATGATCACAATTGATGACATACCTTTTCCAACATCCATCCACCTTGTAGCGACAACGAAAGATAAATAGGATTGCGGACATCAGCATAATAAATTGGCTCAATACTACGTGATGATAAAATGCCACGCTGCCTTTCAGATGCATTTCCATTGTTCAACTTTTCCCAGATAGTAAACTGTGCTGGACAAGGAAGTCGGTTTTCCAACTTCAAAGGAGCATTGACGGATATTTTCCAATCATAAACAGGGGCATTGAGCTCTGTCTGGAGAACTGATGCATCTGCACCGACACTGAGCCAAAATTGCTTACCTTCAGTTGTAGAGCAACACCAAAGTGTATCAATCTTTTCAAGCCGATTTAACTTGAATGAAGAATTCAGCATTTTTTTTCCTTGTTTCACTGAATTTTCCCTAGAGTGCTGTCCCTGATCATTTGAAGAATGGTCCTTTGTCCCACCAGGGCTGGTAACTAAGCCAACGGGGGATCCCCAAGTGTACATCCCCTGAAGATGTCCAGCAGATGGGCGAATTTGTAAGCAACTATCAGAATCCTTGGACAAAGATCGCCATGGCAAGACAACAGAACAACCAGGTTCTAAGACACGGATAACAGAACCAGTATTTGCTGTCTCTTGCTCAGTATCTTTTTGCCTTGTACGGATCCAGCGTCTACGGCGTATATTGTCTTGAGACGACTTTGAGGCATTTTGAGGAGTTGGAGGCCATAATAGACTCTGATAGTCACGTGCATATGCCCATCCATCCACATCTACAGAATCCGATTTATCAATCATCCAAGCTGACGTCCATGTCCATCCAGGTGGAAGTGGTGGTTCATAGAAATCCTGTTAAAGCAGAGAATATTTACCAAATTAGTTCAACATAGATAAAAGTCACGATAAGAATTATCGACCACTTACATTAGTTGAATATGAAAAATTTCTGTTGCTCCAACGCCCTGGATCATTCCCACGGAAACTAGGCCTCCTGATACCCCAACCTAAAATGGAACTATGTTTCTGGTTCTCAAAGATCTCTTCTACGACAATATTACCACCAACTTCATCAGCAGATGGATCTTGACTCCTAGAAGCAGAACAGACGTTTATATCTAACTTAACATTTAAATCATTTGCGATGGTTGCAAGACCCCTCAAAATTGCATGTTTCTTTCCATCTTTCATGACTACCTCCATGGCAATAAAATCATTATCCATCTTTCTAGTGATCACCGACAGTGGAAGGAATGATCTAAAACTCTCCCACACACCTTCAGGGCCAAGTCCCACCCAAAACCCCACATCATTATCAACATCTTTCTCCTCCTCCAAACTACTTTGGAGGTTTGAAATTGTTTTCATTTCAAAATAGGCCGTAGAAGCTACAAGACATCCTTGAAAAAGCAAATCATCATTCTTTTGTTGACCCTAAAGTAATAACATCAAAAATTGCAAATTATAATATATCAAGACATACAAGAAAAATACATTATAAAATTATGTAATATCGTCTTTTATTGAACAAGAAAAAAGCATGAAAATGACAAAATTACTAACCCTCCTCGTTAGCAGGTGTGTGACATTTTTCTGACCATCAGTTGCATGTTGCAACATTCTAGCTGAAGCCACTTTTCTTAAGGGATTCGCACCATGTCCAACAGAGATTGTCGAAGCACCCACAACTTCACCTGATCCCAACACAAACTTAGATCAGCTTGTGCATACACATGAATTTACAAAGATGTTATTTGGTCTGTGAGTTGGAATCATGAATCACTTTGCAATAACATTAAAGCTTAGTTTTAGATATCATATAATCTTACAGATACCAGAAAACATACCGTATCAAGTACCTCACAGAAAACCTGTAAATGTTTATTCTACTTACAGATGCTACTGACTTACATTGGTTCAATTGAATAGAAGGAAAGGTCTGAAAGCATCATTCCCTTGGTCATTAATGATGTACATTAACAATATTCAGTGTATCGGAAGAATTGGTCAATAATGGCATAATAACAGTATTCAATGTAGCTGGAAGACAATAGAAACACTGAATTACTCGTTTGAAATTTTAAATTACCTTTTCCTGCTTTTGCTGCAAGATTAGTCACCTCAACCTCCAACCTAGCCAACCCCTGCAACAATACAGAAAATAATATATTTGCTAGGATCATACACAATTTTTTCTGCGAAAGATCTAGCATTATAAACAACAGGGCAGGTATCAAGTGAAAAAGAAACACAAGCTGACATTACGTATGCAATTATGACTTCAATCTATATTTTTAAATCCAAGTAAAAGAATGCAGTATAAAATTTGAAAATAAATCCAATATTCCAACTTTGGTAACCCCATAAAAGCCGTCAAGATAGAAAACCTGCCACTCTACATGCGGGAGAACACATCTGTGTGCCTCCTAAAGTTTCCTGGAATGTGATATCTTAATATGGGTGTTAAATTGAAAGATATATGTTACAGGCCCTGGTCTAATTTGTAATTGTTGTTCAGTCACTATGTTAATGCAATTTGACATATCAGCAAATCGGGGTGGCTTTATTTGTATCTCCGAATGCAAGCGATTGCACACTGGAGTGAGGTGCTTGAGCATGATAATAGAACTTGGCCACCCTGGAGGTCACGGGTTCAAACCTCACCAAAAGTGAGGGTGTATGAGTTTGCATTGCATTTGCCGAATATGAACATTATACACATAAAAAGATGGGTTCTATGGCTATCAAAACAAGGGGGAAGAAACTTCTTGATTGATCTGGTTTCAAGGGAAGTGGCATAACCAATACAACCTGGATTGCGATTCAATCCTGTAAAGGGAATGGATATACAAATACAGTTTGGTATGGAGTACAATGGTCAGCTGTTATGATACTTTTTTGTTCCAAATGCAGAACATTACATAAGTAGGTCAAAAGACAACAAAAATAACCACAACATCCAACAAATATTCTATCCGTATTATCAAAACCTGAAAGTTAATCACCAATCATGATGAATCCAAGAATAACTCTGAAATGTTTAAGAAGTAATAAGTCAATTGTAAGAAATTTTTATGAGCTTTCATCCTAATATACCTAGATGACCTTCATTGTCGAATAAAGCCAAAAACCATTCGAAACATATATTATGACTTTGCAAACATAGACAATTTTACTTGTTAATGGTGTTATAAGGATTTGCAAAATCTTTTCTCCGCCAAAAAATGTTCAGACAACATTTGAATTAATGCCGACTTTCAGCCTATTTTTCCTTTAAATTAGCAAAGTCTCTTGTAGGGAGTGGTACCCCTTAATGTGTTGGAGAGTTCAACTATCTGATGTGCATCGTCAAAGACATTAGTGTCATCGGCAACCATGTCATTGGCAAACCACAGTGTCATCGGCAACAATGTTTCCTTTGAATATATTAAAATAATACACCGCTCCAGTCCCATAGACATCATTGGGGAGGTAAATTGAGCATGCATCCCAACCGGTAATGGGCGGTGATTACACCCACAACTCTACCGCTGGGATAGATCAGCGTGGACAAGTAAAGACAGTTAAAGTCAGCTAATGGCATCAACTCGCATTAGTTAGTTGTGTGGTTAGCTAATATCACAGCTAGGTGAACTAAGGAAAATGACAGTTAGTCATTTGTATAAGTAGGACGGTAGTGTTTACAGTTAGAGAATAATATCAACGACTTGTAATCCCATACATAGGAGGACAGGGTTTAGTTTGGGAGAGAATTTCTGTACATTGACAGAAGCGAGAGTTCTGTAAACTCAAAGAGAAAGGAAGAAAGAAAAACAAAAGTGGCTACCATGGAGTAGAGCAGCAATTGTTTTGATTATTGGTTTCGAACCACGTAAATCTGGTGTGTGCATTTGTGTTTGATTGAATTCTGATTTCACAACTGAAGGCTTAATCTTGCAGTAATCAACTACTATCAAGAAGCATATGGTATGGAGATGGTAAAGACCAACTATAAATGTCAGGTGTATGGTGTATCGTGTATCATGTGCAAGTTAGTAAATCTGTCTTCTACAGATGGTTGGCTCTTTTTAGCTAAAGAATGTGTGTATGAGTGTTGTAAAATACCTTCCGAGGAACTTCAAAAATAAAAAGTTCATTCCATCTAGCACTGCCAAGATCATTAGCTTTGGAAATCAAGGGCTTCACGCATCTGGTCCTTGCACTCTGAGGGAACAGCCTCTGCTGACTTGCTTCCTGACTATCAACAACAAGCCGGAGTGCACAGAAGAAACTATGACTATTTCCATCATCAACAATTGGTAGATCCTTTTGAGAAAAGAAATTTTAAGTATCAGCAGCCATGTCTGGACATATGTCATGATCAATAATGCACTGATGTAAATAACACAACCTTGGCTTCAATTATCTGCACTGCAATATAACATCGCCCCTCCCTCGAATCTTCAACAGAATTTAATCGATCCGAGTACCTTGAAGGTGGAATCCACACGGAAGCACTATCTTCATACTCCAGAAGTTTAACTGTACTAGAACTTTGCTCATTTTGCTCATTTTGCTCATACTGCTTCACGTAAATGTCACATCCAAGTCTGTTCTCTATGATCACAGTCTGGAAATCGTCCACGTCCAAAACCGAACCCTCTTCACCAACATTATGACTGCTAGTTTCCTGCCAAGTATTCACAGAGAAAAGACGCAAACATAATTTAATAATTGAACTGCCACAAATGGTTGAAGATGATATATTCGACTCCGATAGACCTCATCTGATTTGATTGCCTTTTGTTCGAGTTCTCTCAGTCTTCTCCAAGAAATGATGGTTTCCGCAAGAGTATCAATACTTGCAGCACTAATATTTATGTTAAGGATACTTGTAGCTGCAATCCGAGCTTTTTTTCCAAGTCTTGATTGCGATTGCTCATTGGTATCATATGTCTCAAATCTTCAAAAGGGAAATGGAAGTAAATGAAAGGGCAAGCAGTAGGTTGCCAATTACGAATAAATAAATAAATAAATAAACAATAAACTCCAAGACATTGTATGTAAGGTCATACTTTAATATTCCATCAAATGGCTCCACCAGTGGTTCCCATGAGTCTAACTGTGTGTTAAAAGTTGATGCAGCAATCGAAGATATCAGCACAGCATTCATAGAGTCCATTCCACCATGAGTTGCAAGTTTAATGTTTGTGATGGTAACGTCAAAGAATGGTGTCATCTGAAAGAATCCAAGACACAAGTACACAATGTGAGAGTAAGAATACATAAATTTTTATTGATCAATGAGAAAAATATGAGTGAGCAGGATACCATTCCACCCAAGCTGTCAATAATAGTTACAGAAAAGCATCTTAATTTTATTTCCGCCATAATATTGTCGCGTGTCTTTGGTTTAACAGAATCACCAATAGTGAAGGCCAGTCGGCTGGAAGGCTTCTTCAGATCCGGGCGTGCAAGGAAGGTGCAAGCCTAGAATTAGCCAAAGAAAATGGCATGAGACACACTTGTAATAAGCCTTCCACCAAAATCTATTTTCCGTAAAGGCAATGTTAATATAAACAACTATGTTAGACACAAAACCATCATATTAAAATTTAATTACCCATATAAATATTGAAGAACAAGATTCCCATGTCCATCTAAACTACAATTTCAACAAATAAGTGCTGACCTGATTATCCACTTTCCAGATACTCCAGCATTGAGATGCTTTTGAACTTGAATATTTTGATATTGGCATCTCAAGAATAGTAGCTTGGCTAACAAGTTCCGTCCTTGGACAGCAAACCAAATTCGATTTTGGCATCTCATCTATTCGAGTAACTATGCATCCCATAGAAGTATAACCTGGGGGTGCGATTGGAAACCAGAAAAAGGCATCGTCCAGGCCTTTGATAATGATATGAGCAACTTTAGTGAACTGGACGGGGTGTGCAGAGATGTCAGGGTTGTCAGCCTTGAATATTATTCCCAAGGCTGGTGGCTCCAAACTGCAAAGGTGATTAAAGATGCATAAGAAACACTTTTAGGAGCAACTAAGATTGTCAGAAAATAATCAGGATCTGTAAGACTAACCCTTCCGTTATGCAGTCGCCTAAAACCTTAAAACCAGGGCGTGATACAGGACGCCATACGGAGACTGGTCTACGGGCATCAGAACCCTTGTCCCACCAGATCCTCACAAAATTTGGAGTTGACATGTAACAACTAGCTTTTGAAATTGATCTGAGAACATCCCACCCTGACGAACTTGTACCCTGGTTACTGCTTTGTTGGTCTGTACTGCTGCGATCAACATTTACATCAGACCTGGATTCTCTTGCAGACATACGACGCCAACTAGAGTTCAAAAGAAGAAGATGGCTGAGATCATAGCATATGTCCTGTGATGGACAGCTAACAGAAGGATTAGCATAAAACGATCCAAGAAAATTGTCCAGTCTCCAAATGCTAAATCCTGATGGATATGTGTTATTTGAAGAAGCACTGAACATGCATGCTGAATATGCTGTGGATGTTGCAAGGTCAGCCCTTATGCAGTATACAGTATGATTAGGTGGTGGTTGGTTACCAATATGTGCGACACACCCTAAAGCCAGATATCCTGGGGGGGCAATAGGTGTCCAGAGAGAACAGTCACAATTAGCATCTTCTACTCTTTCTGATTGCTGGATACTAGAGAATAAGCCAACAAGCTTGAAGCCAAGAGGCTTCCGTACACGCCCATATGTATTACTCACGGCCATAACAGCTTGCGTAGGAGGAATGGGCCTAAACTCAATCATATTGAAAACAAAATAAGTTCAAAACCGAGTTACAACAATCAAGCACTTGTGACCATACAGTTGGCACAAACAATCACCAATTAACAAGAAACATATATGATGCAAATAAAATGAATGTGGCAGTGATATATCAAGGTACGAACTGAGAACATAATAAGTATATATCAAGGGGTAGTCAAATCCGATAATTTACAAACAATTCATTCAATATGCCAATATTGGCACTGATAGTACATAAATGTAACTCGCGGTTCCTGCTTCACCTTAATTGTTATTTGAACATTAAAAGTTTTACCCATATTAACCCATCAAATTATATGGTCATGAAAGAACTTGAATGTGATAACTCTAGTGCATGGAATGTGAGTGTTCTTAGAAAAACTGTTACAAAAACAAAATGATCATGTCACCACAAGAAAATAACACACACACACACACACATATAGAAGCCCGTCCGTATATAATAATTTTATATGGGACCATTATTTCATCTCGCTAGGCTATGAAACAATGTGCTGTTCCCTACACTTCCCACAATACACAGTAGCTGATATCCAACTATACAGACAGCCGATGTACTAGCAACAAAGTCCTTGACATGTAAAGAATAAATTAACCAGGTGCAACTTTTAGATACCTCTGTAACATCCCAATGACTAGTAATAGAGTAAGGCATTAATGTTATTAAGCCTCATCACTGTGAGATAGTTCAGTTTCCCTAGTAATCTTTGTATCTCCGTAGGTCATTTATAAGCTCCCATAATGTGGTTACTGGTTAGAGCTTCAAATTATGAGCCATGGAAGAATCTATATCTCCAACTGATACACGATGATCGTACTTCCTTAGACAAAAAAAGGCATATCTAAATCAACTCAATGCCTTGTAACTGTATGAGATTATCAAGATCATTCATTTGCCATTCCTGCTGAACAAATAACTTTACAGCAGTATCCCCAATCATCAGTTGCAATCATAACATCATCGACCTAGACCACAAGAACGATCCTTCTATCATATCAACTCCTAAAGAACGAAGAGCAATCATTGGCAGTCCAAATCATGCAAACTGCCTAAGAACAAGACAAAAAAAGACTGTATGTACTTAATTACACATTATACAAAGACCTCAGACGGCAGACCTTCGAGATCCCCTCCACCTAAAACCCAATGGTGATGAATACAAACCTCATCCTCAAGAATACATACTGAAAAAAGAAACTACGTTCTTCACATTCTGGTGGAGCAATCAAAATAATAACTCGAGCCCTTTAGGCTAAGGGACTAAAGGTCTCCACAAAATCAACACAATAGGTATACAATTACCCTTTGACAATAACACAAGCTTCTATTGTCGTACATAACCATTAAAGATTCAATTTTAAGATGCACACCCACATACAATACACAAAGACCTTGGAAGGTCAACCAAATGGCACCTACGTTTCACTTGGTTCAATAAAAATAAGCTCATAAAAATATGATATTGTTTGATGTAGAATAAGGTAATATGGCTAGGAGACAAATAGGTAAACAAGACATGGCGGTTAATAGAACCCAAGGGAGGACGACTAACAAAGGAAGAGATCCATTCAAACAGAAAAATAAACCTTGTCAAAGGTAGCTAATTTAGGAATAGTAGGCTATGAATCTGATCAGGTGTACCTGGTGGTAATGAATGGTGCATGTCTACCTGACCACATGACTCTCTAGACCATCCATTACAGTTTGCCCATCTTCTTTCTAAAAGCTGAACTCTAACTGAACCGTACCTAAACTTCCTTCGAGTTCGGCCAGATGGGATGCCATGGTTCGAGTGATCTTCAAAGAATTAATACTGCTCTGATACTAACTGACGAACACCGGACCATGAGTAAATTTGAAATGTATTTGCACTTTCAATCGAATGCTTACGATATGCCCAAAATGAATTACAAAACTGATCAACACCTCCTCTCCTACTACCCTTTATATATACTTAACAAAACTACTAACCGACATAATAACCCTGTTCCACCTACTTGTATTAATGCACTAGCCACTTGTACTTTCCTACCACGGCCCACCTGCTTTACTAATTGACTTCCATACACAACCACCTAAAACCAAACCAAACCAAACGAAGCCAGTATATCCCACTCGAAAGTAGGGTCTGTAACTTCCATACAAACACCTAAAACCAAACCAAACGAAGCCAATATATCCCACTCGAAAGTAGGGTCTAGGAGGTGGGATGTACGTGCACCTATCCTCTTCCTCAAAATGTAGGGCGGCTGTTTCCTCGAAAACCCCCGACTTTTGCAAAAATGTGAACGAAAAGAAAAGACCAAGATTAGTTTAAATAAGCAGCAGAAAGAAAACGAAAAGAAAAAGGCACAAGCAGCATATAAAATGTAAGCAATACACATCTCTCCACCTATCATAGAACTCTCCCCTCCCTTAACCCCTATTCTTCGTATCCACACTAGCCTCAGATTCCCACATCTAATTGCATGATCATCAAATATTTATAACACAACTAAACAGTTGGAAAGAAAACCTACTTAAACATTAAACTGTTATATACCTGGAAGTCACACAATCTCCCAAAATGACATAATTGGAGGGTGCTCTAGGTCTCCAAAATGTAATTGCATTATGATGGCCCTTTGCTGCGCAAGATATTAATTGTGCATTCTTGTTACGATGTAGTCCAAATGAGAAATCAAATGCAAATAAACAACAAATGGGTCGCAGGCCAGAAAAGCCCAAAAATAGAGTAGTGTGTGGGGACACCTTTTGGAGACACCCAAACTTGATCATAGTTGGTGCAAGGCGACAAGGGATCAGCATTCTGGAACCGTATTGCTGCAACTAACTGACTTTGTAGATTAAGAATAAGGGAAATGGCACTCAAAGATAAATGGACAAATATATCAGTACAAATCAAAGATATATTTGTCTTATCCTTTACAGAAGTATATCCCCCGGAGATATCCACTGGATCAAGAATTCTAAGACCAGAACCAGCCTCAACAGTTAGATCTTTGAGAAGAGCTCGAATCCATGTATCATTTTCTTTGGATGCAAACCTATTAAGAACAGAAAAGGCATCGGACAAATTAGATGAGGCACACATGATCTAGATACGTCTTTCATTGAAGAAAGGGGATATTTACTTCCACTTGTGTGGTCAAAATGGGTTGTCCTAAATTTCAAAATTTCATAAAAAGTGCATTGTCATTGCACCAAGGCTTCTCAGCTTTGTGGGTTAGGGAGGGAAACCGTTGGATGCAGTCTTCCCCTTCTCTTTTGAAAAAGAGCACTTGCCTCTGGGACTTAAACAAGTGACTTTCTGGCTGTAAGGAGTTACCTTTACATATTACTCCAAGGCTAGCGCCTAGATATGAAAACTGACAGGAATTCAAAACTTTGCTTATCAAAGTTTGATAACTACATTACAGTTTATAACAAGCAACAGAAATAGATGAAGTTGGTATCATATTCGTAACAAATTTCATCTCCTTATATTTTTAAAGGTGTTGGTTTTAACCAAAAATAAAAATCTCGCTTCATTAGAATGAAAGTTTTTCTAAAGCCTAGATAACAATTGATGCAAGAATTGCTAGAAAATATGAAATATAGAACTAACTTCGCAATTCAGTATAATCTATAGGGCAATTCCATGTACATGTTCTGGCTAACTGTTCCCAGTTTTACTGCACAGTTTTCTATTGTTGTTAGATATTCTAAAGATGATATGGGTAAGTATCAAAGATTCTTATTTTCCGAAGTCCTTCCTTGAGTTATCATGGTAGGCCTACACTGGGGAGCATAGCAAGTAAAGGGAGCTCAGACAGAGAAAGAGCGAGGGAGGTTTGTTTGTTGCAGCCCATTTCTAATTTCACAACTAGAATTATAGGTAATATGTGTGGGCAATAATATGAGAGGTCAAATGAAGATGATAAAGACAAAAAGAAACAACTTTTAATCAAAGATGATGATGTTAGAATTGGTCTAAAATGGAGTACGTTGAAGACAAAAATCACTTCACATAACGAACAGGGTTCCCCTCTTGTTCAGACACTTGTTTTTGGCTTGCACCACTTTACAAAATTCTATTGGTTCTACTTTAAGCATACTTGAGGATGGTGGTGGTTGTCAAAAATAAATAACAAAAAGATCCAAACAGAATAAGATTACACTATTACAGCACCTGTGGTTATACCGCTTCATTACTTGTTCTAATGGCATCCTCTCACCTCCTCAAACTACGTATGTGTTTACAAATTGCTTGCAGCAGTCATCTTATTTTTCTTATTCATCAATGATCATCATCCTTCTACTTCTTCCTTTGTCACTTCACTTGGTTAAAGACCATAAGAGTTGTAGTTTGGAATGAAATTGGTCATAATTAGAAATGCAACCAGGCACATCAACCTTTTAATCATGTCCTCTCTGTGTTTTACTACTGCTGCTATCAAATTCAGATTATTAGTACTTGGGAAACATATGACTTAGTTTAGGCCTTAGGCTGGTCGGTAAATAAACATATAAGTATACATGGTGAAAACGCATGACTGAATATCTAGGCGTCTTTCCATGAAAGCCAAGCCTCGAACAAGGCATAAGTCGAAACTACATGAGACAGTATGAGAATTAATGCGTAGAAGAAACTTCAGTTCAACAAAAAGCAATCTTACATGAAGCTCAAATCCATTCTTGCACGAAGAAGCTTTTCAGCATGGAAGGAACCATCAATGGATGATTTGCTGCTATCATAAAAAGTGAACTCAGGAGACACAACCTGGGGCATTAGTAAGTGAACCCTACATAAGTGTATGAACTGAAAGGAGAAGTCCTGAAGATCATAAACAAGTTCAATGCATCTAGAAGTTGAAAAACAACAGACTTCCGAAGTTTAAAAGATGAGAGAGTACAAATATAACCTTACAGAGAAGTAAAATTCCTATATACCAACATTCCACATTTGAGGTAATAAATCAGCATTAAGGAGAAAAAGGATGTGGAGAGTTCCCAAATAGTGGATATTCACAAGAAATGATTACCGGGTTGCATAATAAGTTGAAGCACAATCTAGAAAACATCGGTACATGTCATTTAAAGATTATAGCTAGGCCAAAATGTAAAGGCCAACTGATCATTCTATGATGGCATATGAAAGTAAGTGGCTGGGCAAATAATAACTCAGAAAAAAACATTACAAAACACTTTGGCATACTATTAAAATAGCATCATATAGCTTTAAAGTATGCCTTCTAGAATGACTAAACAAAGCGGTAAGATGAGGTAGGATGAGAAAGTCAATGGCTAGTTTTAAACAAAGTGGTTGCAAAGTCGATGGCATTAAAGAACCTACATTCACTATAATCAACGTAAATGCAAAATACGTACAAAGTCCATTTAATAACTTAAAATACCAAGGATTAAAAGAATAACTACTAACATGAAGCCCTATCATGTAATTGTAAAATCGAGCATTTATATTAGAATGTGGACATACATTCATGTTTAATCTTGCATGATAAAAGGGTAGTAAAACATTCTACCTCCAGTGTACATTTCAGGCAACAACAGAATTTGGAAAGCATACATCCTAGAAAAAGAATACAATAGGATGCCAAGAGAACTGGCGTGTGGGCTCATGATAAGATGAAACTCCATTCAAAATATGTAATGTGATTAAAAAACATAATTATGGACTAGTCGTAATCAGTCGAAAAGCATGTGATGTGAGAAAGGTTCTTCTGCTATTGATGAAAGGTTTTCCCCAAGAGTCAGCCATGCTTACTTATCTTTTAGCTTTACTTATGCTCTCAATGGCGTAGTGTCCCAATGAGACTAGGCAAAGTGTTGATGCAAACTTCAAGGCATGGAGAGGTTTCAGATTAAGCTGGAACAAAGCAGAGTGTAGAAAATGCAACTTTGGCAGTAAAACAAGGCTCAGAACTGAGTTCCCTGTATAAATGGAATTGTTTATATAGGCTAAGCAACATCATTTGCAAGGAATGAACTATTATGGAGCCAACTAAGATACTAAATGATTACCACTTTTCTGCTAAAAAGATAACTCTGCTTTTTCTACCAATAAGGTAATATTCTTCTGTTTGCAGCAAGAGCAATAAGATTTCACTCTCCTGAAAGCTGGATTTGTTTTTATGAACTGCCATTTATGTTCTCTAAAGAGGAGCAGAGCACTTTGCATTTATTCAACCACAGAAGCAAGTCCTTTTTTGCTTGGCTTCCAAAGACTCCTAAAACACAAAATTGCACTCTTTACCCTATAAAAGACATGAAATAGCACATATGCAAACTGTTTATTTATCCAATCCTATGTTGCATCCAAGTCTTTGGGAATTCAACACTAGGATGCGACCATTACCAATATATTAGATCATATGTTGGTCTCAATCCCAATTCATCTTTGAGGTGTAGAAACACATCATGCTGAACATGGTCACAGACCAATGATAGGATTAGTAATATTGCAAACAACAGATAGCTTAGTGCTACATTCCACAAGCATCAAAGTTACCCCCAATTAACAGTAATATACAATGCAATGTTTATACATAGAACTTAGCATTAAGAACAAATAGAATATACAGATTACAGAGGAGATGCATATTTGAAAAATAAAGCAATATTAAACAACACATCTGGCACCATCATGATACCTACCTGGGCCTCGAAACTCAAACTTGGCTTCTTTGTTGATTCTGTTTGACTAGTGTTGGAAGTAATTGGGGTATATGACGGTTTTTCAGCTTTATCAAGGCTCTTGCTTTCACTGATAAAAGAAGAACTGTCCTGCGCCACAACCTCTACACCATCTTCACTGGACACTGAGAAACTGCTATCATTACTCAAGTATGTGTACTCCGTCAAGAGCAAAGCATTCTGACATCAAGAACAAAATATTATCAAATATCAAGTATTGGAACGAAACAACAAATATATAATCATTATGCCTTGATAATTTTTGCAAAAGTTAAGGATCAAAATTTTATATTAGCAATTCGAGTACAAATATATTACACTTAGAACTACTTTTTAAGACGTGGTACCTATGTAAATCTATTTTCCTGAAAGGATGTAGCTTACGGATTGAATACATGATGCAAACCAGGCTAGAACATTGCTTGATACCCATTTACCACTGAAATGGGCTATCACTTTACTGTTGCTTTCAATGATTTTCCGACTACATTCTTCAGTTTCTTGAAGTCTTCCTATTTGGAAATTTTTATCAATGTTTTACTAGTCATGTTGGGGATGATTCATGTCAATTCTCAAACTTGACAAGTGAATAGATAATATTTGTTAGATTCAGGTGTCAAGTTATATTAGCTTATATTTCTGCTCCTATGTGATTAGTTTGCATCAGTTCCAAGAGTCGGTAAACAAAGATATGTGTGTGTGCGTGTGTTTGTGGGTGGGTGTGTGGGTTGAAGGAAACTGGATCACAAAAAAGGAAGGGATTTGATTCGATATACTCCCTGTGTTTAGATTACATTATCATATCCAAAAAAAGGAAGATTAGATTGTATAAGATCAACACAATAGCTAATGGGCACATTTGATGCTCATAGTATTGACGATGGAGGACACAATTAACAGTATCCAAACATTAAGTTATGGTAAAATGCTAGGTCTCACTTTGTTAATTGTTACAAGGACTTTCGCGGAATCCACTTCACCAATTCATTTCTTAAGTCATTTATTTCAACGTCAACATAGCCCACAAACATCCAAAAAAAAGGAATTACCTTAATGGTCACATTCACAAACCGCAGTCTTTTACCCCTTCCAACAATAATAATGGGCCGGAATTCTGAAGATTGCAACTGCTCAGGATCCTCATTCAAAATTATAGTTTTTCCGCAACCATCATAAGTATAGTCATCAACTCCTGCAGCATCTACTACCAACTGTCGATTTGGTGAAAGGTTTACCTTATCTTCAGTCTGTTTGTACAGCGAACCAGATAGAACTAGTGTGTTGGCTTTACTGATTGGATCGTTCTTAGGATCCATCACCTCCTCCTTGCCAGTTATTGCTCCCAAAGCTGGCACAAAAAACTCACCAACTGCAAGAAGGAAATCTGGAACAACAAGAACTCGAGGCAGCTGAATCCGAACCACAAATAATTGAGATGATGAACGCCATCTGAGATCCATCAGTAGCATGGTTGAATGTGGTACATCCACGTGGGACATAGTTTCAGCTCTTACAAATCCAGCTTTATTATAAGATTGTTTATTATAAGCTTGCTTAAGAACATCAGTGCTTGTCCCAAGCATTAGCCGCATTTCAGGTCTGGTATCAGGACGAAGATCCAAAATAGAAAATCGGGGAATTGTGACATATAGATCTATTTCTGAAAAAGAAGTCATTCGATATGAAGCCCACATGCCCTCCACCTGAGTCAATAATTGAAAAACACAGATGGAACTGAAGAACATACAAGGAGACATGTAATGGGTGCTACAACCATGTATTTACTTTTTATCTTCACTTACAGTAATATGAGCTAAAGGTGAATCCTCTTGAATACCATTGCATAGCTCTAGCAGTGCATAATCAAGCTGAACTGCCAATATGTTCACTGAACGTGACAAAAAAACTTGACTAGTCATGTTAACCTTATCAGCCAGCAGCCGTATTGTCTCCGATGAACCAGCATTTGTATCACGAAAATTAGGAGGGAGCATAGGTTCTTCACCCATGTTCATGGCGAGACAGCTGGTAATTATACTATATTCTTTGTCAGATATCACAGCGTGCAACGAGCCTATCTGTTTTCAAGGGTACAGCAACAGTGGGTTTATGAGTTCAACCATAGTATTTAGATAAAAACAGAAAGAGAGCCAGTAAATTCATTTTTCCTGAAACTCATCATAAAAAGAACTGCCTTGGAGTCAAAGAGAACATGAGTATACCACCCAAAAAACAATTCTTAGGAGGAACAGAACATTTGATGATATTATAGTTAATTAACAATGGAAGTTGCTTTAACAAGTTTCTAAAATGATGATACGTGTAAGGTAATACAAAAACAAGATATTTATAACCTCCACATAATATAGGCACAATACCGTAAAAATTATGGACTTGATAATGTTGAAATTAAATTAAATTGAGCATGATATTTATTATAATTTTAGAAAAGTTTCTTCTGTTTTATCAATGCCAATGCCTTGAAATGGGTGGTTTAATGATGTTGGAACCCAGGAATCTCAGCATCAAGCACCATCACTAATGACATGTGAACTTGCATTGCCTTTATCAAACAAAAATCAATAGAAGCATAAAGTCGTTGTCACTTTAATGTGTATACACTATAATAAGAAGCAGAATGATGACAGCCAAATTCAGAGAACAAGCCAAACCCATAATGATGTTTTTCATATACGTAAACTAACACAACATCCCAGGATTATAGCTTTCCTGCGCATTCATTGGCTATAGAAGCAAGTGAAGCCAGTAATAAAATGTTGTAGAATATTTAAAAGCCCAAACCTTCACTTCCAAGGCAAAATTTGGGACTTTCCGGAAAATATCTCTCAAGCTGCGCCTCACAAAGATATGGATTTCACGGCCTTGTCGTATCATAGGTTTTCCTAAACAACCATTTACTCCAACAGCCATATTGATTCCTAAAATCTGCAGCAGTATGCAACACTTTAGCTCATGTTATATTCCAGTAGTGTTAAGCAAGAAATAGAAATACAAGAAAGTACCCGCGCATGAAGAATGTCAAGATGGATAGCTGCTGGATCATCCTGAGGTCCATACCAACTAATTTCATTCTTCACCGACAAATGCCCTAGATCAAGTTGCAAGAAACTGCATCCATTATAGAAAAACTATCAACAAAGCTAAACCATTTCCATAACACATATGATAAACATCATAGAAAAACAATCCAACAGCACAAAATATGATTGCTATCCTGAATGTGAGCAATAAAATAAAAATGAACGATCGTGCGTTGCAATTAGGCAAAGTGCATGGGGAGATTTTCAAGACAGACAATGGAAAAATGCTAAAACTGATTCAAAAAGAAAGACAAGCAACATCAATTATATAGATCTAATTCGAATATTAACTCAAGAATGATGAAATGGTAGAAGATAAGTATCTTTGTAATTCCAAATGTATCAGGACGAATCACAGAGAAAGTGCATCAAATAAAAATTGACCACACAAAAACCTGATAATGATTGAAACATGCAAGGCAGAAGACAGATATTATCTTTTACCACCTTTTTAAGGACTTCACTTAAATGGTAACACAAGAGAATGCAGGATCCATGTGAGAGCTCTTGGAGCCTCAAAGAAAACTCGAAAAACAATTATAAAAAAAATAAGTTCCCATTATTCAATCACAAACAGAAGTCATTAGCTCCGACTACCTACGATGACTTCCGATAATTATTGAAAGCCAAAATAAGAGTCACGCTTATATGATATCTTTCACAAATGAAGTATCAGGTTAATCCGTTTTCCTAGGACCAGTAACAAGGTATGTTGTAACTTCTAACATGATCAGTACCATTCCCAAAAGAATAAATAAAACCGCAAAACTTAGAACAACACAACAACCAGCCCTAGATTCTATTTTTCCAAAGGATAAAGAAGACTATATAATATGACAAAACAAATAACAGTTCTTCTGAAACTTCATATTTGATTGAATGCATATTTATGCTAATAGGAAAAACAAACAAGAAAAAGAGAGGAGAAACGATCAGAACGGTTATCAAAATATCGTAAGGTATTGGCAAGTTAAGCCCCGCAAGCTGTATGATTCTTCAACAAAAAAGGATTTGAAAAGCTTCGGATATGGAGATCGTTAGGAGTGGGATGAAGAGGACAATTTACTCTGGTTGAACTTCAATACAAGGGGTTAAGAGACCATATAAGAAACATTATTCTAGCATAGACTTTATTGTTTCAAAATCAGCAATATCATTGTCAAACAGTGTGCTCCAATGAACAAACAACAGTCGGAAGAACTACTAACTCTTTGCTCATGGAATTCCGTGGTATTACTATTATTGGAGTCTCTAATGAGAGGTCCAACTTCAATGCAGCTGCTCCATCCAACTCATACTTCTGAATCAACCATTCAAAGCCTCCAACTTTATCAACAAACTTGAACGCTTCTTCTGAATTGGGAGGAGCCAGTGCCACAAAATATGCCGAGATCTGCAGCATGAATTCCTCCATTATAGCAGTAAAATATAAACACATAGTCCTTGACTACATAGCCTTATAAGAATCCACCCATTAGGGATTTCAAATGGAGCATTGAACCTAATAACTATTGATTTCATGTGAGAAGCAAGATTCATTACAAAGAATCCTGTATATCGAATAAAAGAGTATAGCAAGCTAAGTCATTCAATTGAAATGAACAGGAAAAATCCAAACTAACCTCTTGAATGAACCTGTTGAGAAAAACAATACGAACAGCGGAAAGTCTGCCACTCAAGCTATAATTATATCCTTCATAGTCATCATCTTCAGCATTGTAGGACTTGAACGTGAACTGATACATACATATATATATAGAGAGAGAGAGAGAGAGACGAGAGATCGGGTTAAAGTAGAAAATCAGTAAACCATAGTGCATATAGCATCACAATAAGATAACGTACCTGGACAAGGGAATCATCCCCCTGATTACGAATATCACAAAGCCATCCCCAACGATGATCCATACCCAGCGAAGAATCACACAGCCTAAAATTCCCTAATGTACCTTCAATGGATATAGAACCAGGGTGAACCTAAGACAAGCAATAGTTATAAAATTAGAAACTTGTCACAATTAACTTCCTCATATAAGTTTTTCTGTGGTGAAGAAATTACAGCAAACACAAGAAACCATCAAAAAGATGAATAAATATAATATCAGCAAGAAGAAAGCTTTACAAAAGGCTACCCCTATTCGATCAATAGAGTACGATAGGCTAGTGAAGCGGTTTTACTTTTTTCCTACGAAGTAGATGTAAGACATTCTTCTATCCACCTATTATATATGCAGAACAGGGAAGCCATAAAAGAAAATGCTGTTGAGCAATGTCGCTGAGCTTTACTTATAAACCTGTAAGCACATGCCATTCAACATAAGAATATAGGCTTGAGTTTGAGCAACCGCTTTCACAGGCTCTAAGGCCTTTCAAAGAAAATAATTTCCAAAAATTCCTTCAAGAAGGATGGTAAAAAAATATGCATGAAACCGTCTTGAAGGCCCCTTCCAAGTGTTGCACATATATAAATAAAAAGACTCGATAACAGACTTGTGTCCAACAAAATCATTTTGATAAACAATCTTAATATTAACAACAGACATGATTTTTCAACCTACACAGCAACCTTACGCAACAAAAAATTACCAATTAAACTAGCTCTTTGTATTCTTCAGGATTTCACCTAGCTTCACATTTTACCTAATCTTCAGAAACAATCAAAAGTTGGAATACGGTGCTCCCAAAGAAAGTAATAAAATTGCATACTGCAAAATAATCTCCTGAATATCACCGAGATAATTATGAGATTATGTTATATAGTACTTTGGCGTGCAGACTGCATTCTACAAATAAAATATTACAAGCTGGCAACAAGTTCTACTGAACATCAAGCACTGGCCTATGAACTCTCTAGCGTTTAAATATATAGATGAATTTTTTAGAACACAATAATGAACTCTCTAGCGTTTAAATATATAGATGAATTTTTTAGAACACAATAAGCAGTCCAATTTTAAAATTTACTTACATTTGCTATAAAATTCCAATTGTTTGGGTCGATAAATTGTCCAAACATATTAAAGTTCGAATCTTTATACTAGATCAACAAACTAACCTTTGCAAATGACTAATTATAACTTTTTCATTTTCGTTGGAGTAGGCCATTGAGTCTGACCAATCCTTCAGATTGGCCCGGTTAGAATCTGGAACTAGAAAAATTATTTGCACTGTATTTAGATTTGAGCAATAAATGGTATAGAGGAGTTTTGCTTATGAAAAGGATAATCTGCTTAATCCGAAAAGATTGCAGTGTTTCTACTTACACCACTTGCTAATATACTTAGTTACCTCATTAAGAAGGAAGCTTAATCTTTAGATGGAAGTCATCTTGTTTAAGCCCGCCAACTCCTAGGTCGCCACTTAGAATAATGTATTCGTTGACATTCCCATATGGAAAAAAGAGGAAGTAGTAAGCGTACAAGAAACAAAATAAAACTATATGGAATCACAAAAGAAAAGATCAAATCCAAGTGACTTCCATTTGCAACGTGAGAATACCATTTCAACCTGGTCAAGATGCACAATCCACCAAGCTGATATTTTCCTTGCTTGAATAGAAAACTTGAGCACAAGAAAACAGATGTTTAGGGGTGACGCTCCCATAAACTTCAAGATTTTGTGTTTCACCAAAATTCAGTTGATGTGCTAGTCAATATACTTCATAACGATGGAAAAAAAAAAGATCAACCGCATGACCTTTATGTCTGACAAAAGGATTACAGTAATTGTCACATGTATACTACTAGGAAGATTGGAGCGGCTTAATACAAAAAACATCATCTGCTTGTGGTGGCTCATACACTTTCTATCCAGGTCTATGGATCTCCCCAGCATCCAAGCGAGACTCCATCAAAATCGACAACTAGTTGGGATGATTTATCGCAATGCCCCTGTAAGTTTCACGATATGGTTCATACAGAGATAGATACATATCTTCCCCTCTAGATGATAGCATCCCATTAGCATACTATATCATGGGCATCCATGTTCCATTTTTAACAAAAACCGATTCATGGCTTTCATCTAAGGGTTGTACCTCCACACAGCAGAATCAGGTGAACACGATCAAAATTCCTTATGATTTCCATGTCTAGCCTAAACTGTTCATCCCACATCCTCCTCAGCATGCCTCGCCTCCTCACCCTCGACCGAATGCTCTCCACCCTCCTAACTGGTGTCATTTATAGTCTTCTACGAACATGTTCAAATCACCTCAGAATTTACTTAAGATCGGCACATCTCCTAGCTCAGCTTGAAAACCTCAGTCGGTATTCTATCCGACATAGTCCAACTGCATATCCATCTTAGCATCCTCATTTCTGCTACTTCCAATTTTCTCATGTGCTTTCTTCATCAGCCAACATTTTTCATGGCCAACCTGTAGAATTTACTCTAGTTTTAAGGATCTTCTTGTCACAGAAAACTATTGTGGTTGCCCTCCACTTTAGCCCACATGTATTTATCCGATGTGCAGCGTCCTCCTCAACCTCTCCTTCATATATCCCAAATACTTGAAACTGTCTTTTTGGGCACCCATTGCCCCCAGTGTTGAATCCTATCCCTCTTTGTTGCTCTCTGTGCTAAAATTGCAACCCTTTTGCTTTCAGAACCTCCTCCAATGTTCTCACATAGGTTTAGCCTCTCTCCTCCTCTTCGCTTCAAAGGCAATGTGAGCAAATAACATACAACAAGGTACACTCCCATCGATTCCTTAGGAGATCTTCAAAATCACCGCAAATATGAATGGGTTAGCATTGATTTCTAGTGTATCCCTATCACTAACACCGTCGTTTACCCTCACCACCCACTCCCATAAATTCCATTACATGACTAGGAAGTTCTATGCCATGATAACTCCCTCAACGCTAAGCATCGTCTTTATTCTTATAAAGCGGTACCTCTGCACTAAGCCTTCACTCACCCAAAATCCTAGTGGTCATGAGTTAGATAGGGTCGTCCAGCCATTACACCCACCACCCCAGGCATAGCCACACCTTGATGGGAATTTGCTTTAACCCTCGCTATCTTTCTAAATGCACCATTTACCTCTAATAGTTACATATCCAAGTGCAATTTTTGTGAGTGTCATTAGTATGTTTATGCTAGCTCCTTCCACAAGTCCTATGAATAATCTCCGCATTTTAAGGTATGTATCCTACATAGAGTTAAATGAGTTATGGGAAAAAAAATACATTCAAAGAGAATAGATCAGATTGACAAGACCAACAGCTTGAGTACATCATTGGTTACCATGTTTGCATTGTTATAAATTGGCTATCAGACTTACTTATGTATGGCACAAGGAAAGGATGGGCTCTTGAACATATTTACTCAAGCATCTAGCTAACGACAAACAGCACCAAAATAAAACTTAAAAAACTAACATTATAATGCATTCCCAGCTCTAAAGGAAAAGTAAGAAAGATTTAATATGGGACAGCAAAAGACTCAAGAGTTATGCCTCTCTTAATATACAAGTGTAGTTGGATACATACTAGGATTAGATGCCATTTGTAGCAGACACACAGATATTTGATAGAAGTGTGGATTGAAGGGCCAAAATTTAGAGATGAAAATGAGAGAAGCATAGAGAAATAAACAATTTAAACATGCACAAACGATACAAAAAACCATGGCCCTATACTTGATGTAATTGAAAACGATACAACAAATAATAAATAAACAACACTCGATGACCGCAGAAGTATAGACAACAAGGTTTCCTCTATATTACAGCGTTTAGATATGTATCCAAATAGATGGGAAAAGATAACAAGAAGGCTAGCAATTCCTCACCTTAAGATCCAACAAGAAACTTTCTTGCACAAGCATTGCAAGTCGAACGCCATCCTCCTTGTTAAAATATACAGTGACACTGTCCATATTCATTTTCAAGGAAAATACAATACGATCTTTTCCATGACCCAACAATCCCTTAACTTTTGCTTGTCCATGTTCTTCAGTCTTGTCTTTCTGCACTATAGTTTCACCATCCTCCTTTGATGTACTGGTACCACTTGTCCCACTACTTGCAGTGCCCATATCAATGCCTAATTCAATTAAAGCAACAACAGTGGGGCGGTGGCAGAAAAACTCTATTTTTGACATGCGGATGGTCATCTGAAAGTAATATCATGAACACAAAGAAAATCATTGAGAGGATTGCATAACAAAGAGCCTATATTTTTGCCTTTATGTTATATGCATAAATCATAAGTGCCTAAATCATTTACCTGAGTATCTATACCATCATAATCAGGGGATTGACGAGTCCGTTTCGAGAAGGTAAGTGATACAAAATCAGATGCATCAATGCCTTCAGCCTCATAAAATACATCGCCAGAATTACCTCTTACTTTTCTATGATCTTTCTCATGAAAAGCTTCGCCAGATTCGGCAAATGACATGAAATCTGTCAAGGCATCTGTGAAAGTATCATCATCATCGGCTAGGCCTCCTGATAGCTCCTCCACCGGAGGATTTATAGTACCAATAGGATCAACTGAATGGTACTCCTCTAGAACAGAGCAAGCTAAATATTGTGGAATCGACGAAGTATTTTGAAGTTCATCTTTGATTTTCAACAAGTGCAAATTCATCTTGACTGTAAGGTCCCCTTCACAAGATGCAACATACACCTGCCAAGACATATTTACAAGTACATCGATCACTACATGCAGTAAAAACTGGTATCATCTACAAAATTTGCCAATCAAGCAATCATTTATAAGAATCTAGTTTAAAAATTTACTCATTTACTTGCAGAAAAAAATTGATTTCACATACAAAATTACCAATAAAGTAATCAACGTATAATAATCCATCCAATCTTGAACCAAGCCACCTCAAATTATGAACACAAATAAATCTCATCAAATCATTAAAATTTCACCTCTTACTGTCACCTGCTACAAACTTAATGGTCAAATTACGTTTACCGCTCACTATCAGCAATTATCTACAAAGAGGAAAGGATGATTATTTAGCTAGTAGGGTTGTCACTCGAAAGTGATCCTACATACTGGCAATGGAAGTCAAAAATCATATGGTCATGTTACAGTTGATCAATTCTATGAATCCAGAAATCAGAGAAAAATTTCTTCCCTACAAGACTGCATAAGGTATATGGGAAGCACCTCATGAAACAAATTCTAGTTCAGAAAGCATACTTGACCTCGACCATGATTAATTCTAGCTTAGTGGCAAATTGTGGCACTGCAAAAGCTACTTGGGTAAGCCTCCCTCGCATCTCAACCTATCCATTTTCATTTGAATCACACATGTTATGTTGCATCAACAAGCTACTTAAGTCTATTCCGTCTCAAACCCAACACGAAAATCAAAATCAGGAACTTAGTGTTTACAGGAGGAAAAGAATTCAGAATGTATACACACACAACACACAATATATGAAATCTACAACACATCAGTGAACATTTAGAGTGACCAGACTGGAAGTAGGTACAACACATGAACACAATACATATATAAACAAAAAATATATACATACAAAGTACGCCGAAAAGAGTTCGAATTTCTCTAAGAAAACCTCTGATACCATGAAAAATAATAAGAGAATGTATATTGATTGCTTTTTAGTATATCTAATACTACAATAAGAGAATCCTTATATATATTAGAGCTATCCTAACTATTTGAGGTAATTACATAGATAAGAAAAACATCCACTAAATATTTAACAATATAAAATTTAAAATGCAGAAATCAAGTTGCGTTGCACCCCAAAATTAAACACAGATTTTAAGTTTTTGATTTATTGCCATGCTCACACTCAAAAAAAGGAGTTACAACTGTGCTTTTATCTCACTTCCAACTTAATAATATTTTCAAACACATAACAAAAAGGCATACAAACCTTTACTCCGACAGTAAGAACCTCAAGCATCTTAACCTCCACAACTTCATCATGCACCTCAGTTTCCACCTGCAAGATTGAACAACATTTGTACATCAGTTTCATGTGCAGACAAATTAAGGTTATAATAGGAATTAGGAATGAAACACACACCATACTATTTACACTAGGAAAACAACTACATCTAACCTTTCCGTATATTGATATCTTTGTTTCCACCAAGGTTCCATCAACAATAACATCAGCTATCTTCGTATTAGTAGATCGAGGTTCAGAAAGTTCTGTGACAAGATCACCTTCCTTTCCAAGGATATCAACTGATGCAGTAGCCTATACTATGCACATTAAACATCATAACTGTAGCTAAACCAGATGCAATAAAAATGGATCAACGATAATAAAAATCAGAATCATACAGAAGCTCGGTAGGTTGCTTGCACAAGTCCTCTCAACCAACTAGTTTTCTCCTTCTCACTCGCGAACTTTACAACCAACGTACTAGAAGACTCTAAAGCCTTTAAAGAAATAATAGGAGAACGTTAGCACAGCAAGAACGCAAATATTTTATATGAATAATCATGAATATGATGTACTTGGTCGTCAATGTTAGAGCCTGAAGGAGTCACATATTTGGTTGACCATTGTCAGAAAATATAACGTAAATAATACACCCGCATCCCAAAGAAAGATGTCAATTTTAAATATGGAAGGAATTTAAACACAATTTATTGGACTTGCACCCTAGTAAATACAAATGGATAAAATGATTATTAAACAAGACTTCAATTACTCTGGTAATCTAGAATAGGACCTTGAATCTATAGAATTGTAGAAGTGAACATTTATATGTTGTTTAAAAAAGGAAGAGTAATCAGGATTATCTAATTTATCAAAGTGTTAACATTTACCATAGAACTTTTTAGGAGCAAACTTTTTTGTAAACAGGAATCCTTTTCGGGAAAGGTGGGAATAATAATTTTAGAGCTCAATAAGTTGGCATTCTCCACATTTCATTGTTGGTTTTTCTATCACTTAATTTGTTTATTCAAAATGTAAAATCCTACTATACAATTAACCTATCACTATCATCAAAGAACAAGCTTCTAGATTAGTAGATCATTTTTCATTTTCTCAACTTGGGAATACAAATGTACGATTCGAATTACAAAGGTAAAATATCAATAGAAGAACACATTATAAATTAGTATAAAATGCAACATCATAAAGTATATTAATTTTCTAACATAAAACCACCAGTGTTGTATGACGGAACTTGATGCCGGAATAAACATATCATATGTACAAACTAGTGAAAAGAACCAAACCAAACGAACCTAGTATATCACGCCCGAAAGCAGGGTGTGGGAGGTGTATGATGTACGCAAAGCTTACCTCAACCACTAGGAATGAGAGATTGTTTCTGTGAAGACCCCCAACTTGTGCATGACGCAAAGGTGTGTGCAACAAATAATCAATAAATATAACATGTAGGATAACGATTAAATTGTGTATGCACGATTAGCAAAACATGCCATACAAATAGAACTATTGTATAAAAGCATTTTCTTCATTTCAATTTGACACCCATATTGTTATACCTTTTTATGGCATTAGCTGCCGTTCTCGAGTTTTCTTATTGTGGGTGGGGGTGTTCTCGTGTGAACCTACCCTAAGCATGTAAGATCAGGTCGGTCCAGTTCTATCATGCCCAGCTACCCCACATAAAGAGCCTATTTGCCTACTCTTCATCTCCACCCAATAGTCAACAACCTTGTCGACACCCCTACTACATCCCACTAAAAATCGATCACACTAGTCCTATGCGTCCAAGAACTCCTAATGTATATAGCAACTTAAACATGTAAGTGGAGGTTCAAACAAGAACACCACCAAAAAAACACGAGAATAGATGTCAAGCGTAAGATGAGACGATCCAACATGATGTGATTAAAACGGAGATTACAACCCTTGTAAAACAAAAAGAACCTATTTTTTAAATTTGGCCCCTGATCAACGAAATTGGCCATGAATTGGGCGTTGTGATCCTCGCAACGCTACTGAGGCCCCAACCGCCCGTTGATCCCCGTTCGAAGCATGTCAAGTTGCCAAGCTATGCAGGCGACAATATGTGACAAAAACATGGTGTTGCGGGCCGAGGCAAGTAGACTATATGGTGTTGCGGGTCGAGGCAAGCTGATTATATGGTGTTGTGGGCCGAGGCAAGCTGACTATATGGTGTTGCGGGCCGAGGCAACACCACCTAGGTGGGCATCTCGTTGATCCAATTGGTTGCCCAATCCCGGCAAGCGACAAACATGCCTAGAACATGGTGATGCGGATATTGCAACGAGGCAAAATACAACCAAAATTGGAGTCAGACAAGTTATACCAAAAAAAACATTTTATTCTCTTCAATTTGACATCCATATTATTATACTTTTTATGGCATTAGTTGGCGTTCTCGAGTTTTCTTATTTTGGGTGGGGGTGTTCTCGTTTGAACCTGCCCCTAAACAAGTAAGATTATGTCGGTCCCAGTTCTATCAGCCCCAACTACCCCACGTAAAGAGCCTATTTGCCTACTCTTCACCACATCCACCCAATAGTTAGTAGCCTTGTCGACACCCTTACTACATCCTACTAAAAGTCGACCACTCTAGTGCTATGCCTCCAAGAACTCCTAATAGAGGTCATGTCCTCGAAAATGTCTGAAGTTGTCATGTGCATCCTCAACTGGTCATCCCATGTTCTCTTATGCCCACCCCCTCAACCCCCGCCCACTTTATTCTCCTCATAATTGTTTCCTACGGACATGCCCTAATCACCTCAATTTATCCTTAATTTTATATGTGGAAGATGGCGCCCAACCCCTGGTTACGATCGAAAAACTTTGCTTTGGATCCTACCTAGCATGGTCCGGCCATCCTCATAAGTGCAACTTGCATTTTCTTTATGTGCATCCTCTTTACTGCCCAACACTCAAAACGGCCTTATGGCTACCCTATAGAATTTCCCTTTCGTCATTATACCCTCTTATCACACTACATTCCTGTAGCTGCTCTCCACTTTAACCATCCTGCGATATGTGGTGTGTAACATCATCTGCAATCTCACCCTCCTTACAAACCATTAAAGCCTAGATACTTAAAAAAAGCCAATTTGGGTTGCCAATTATTGTTCCCCTTGCCTAGTTCTACACCCTCACCAATGTGTTCCTTGCTGATAACTACACGTAGGTATTCTATCTAAGGCGAAGGATCGTGTGAGAAGGAGAGTTAAAATGAGAAGCGTAAGAAGGGATCTGGACCCTTGAAACCTTTAATTTCAAACCCACCCATGAATCGCGCTTGATATGGGGATTGATCCGGTGCATCTCGGTGCATCTCATCCTAATGTGCATCTAAGGGTGGAGATCCCTTCTTACGCTTCTTACCTTAACTCTCCTTCTCACCGAAACTCAACCCTTCTATCTAATACCGACTAATGTGCAAGCTTGATGATTCTAAAGCTCCCCTCTATTGCTCTGTTGCCATATGTAAAGAACTACTTCAGCAATTTTGAGAAAGACAACAAATCACAGGGCATGTATTGATTGATAATCAAACCAAACCAAAGAGAGACGAAGATTATTGGAACCCACCAACAAACTGAGTTGTCCAACTATCTGCAACTATCACTGCCAATGCAAGGATCTATATGTAACCATATATCTCAAGAGAAGACAGCTAGTACTTTCCCATGAGATGGAAAATGAAAACTATTAGCCCCACACGAAGTTTGGAGTGGTGCCTTACCGCACCGCGAACGCTCGGTAGCGTTGTGGTGGTGCTTCAGGATTCCAATGTACTGCGTCCAAGATCAGAACGAGCTTGCCGGCGGACCACTGCCGTCCCATTCTTGAGTGAGCTGGAGCGCAGCCATCTTATCCACTGAACTAGCTAGAAGCTATCGCTTCGGGTCGAAGCACTAAAAGAAAAGGACCGGGAAAGGCGGCGGCATAGGAACCACAGGACCTACTACATGCCAAGCAGCTAGGAAGAAATGTAAAGAACGAGAGTTGCTAGGTTCGCGATCCCGCGAGGGTGAGCTAACTCCAAAAACCCGTCCTTAGTTCGGATTGTAGGCTACAAGTAGTAAAATCACTTGATTAGCTGGCTAAAGCTCTCTTCTTTCCATTTTTTGTTCCACCATAAGCCTTTCCTCGTTTGAACCTGGCCCTTAATTTTAAGGCTATGCCATCCAGCACCTTTTCAGTGAGATTTTGAGAAGAGCTGCTCTAGCACACTATATCCCACCCGAATGCACACAGGCCTATCCTTTAGCTAATGAGTAAAGAGTTGACTCATATCCTATAATATGTAAGGACTATAGTAAGACACAAATTGCACAATGCAGTTATGGAGATGAAATTACAATACTGGCCAACATAGGTTGCCACTATTAAACAACACATTTGGCGATTTGTTATCTAAATTTTTTACAGTGAGTTAAATCAAGGCACGATATGAATCAGTATCAAGGAAGTTTCAATTATATTATGGACGATTAATGTGGCTTTATCTTATGACAAGGTGGTCATGAACTTCACGACCAAAGACCCAATCAGAGAGGAAATTCCGAAAGCCTAGAAAGTAGAAGTTTCACCAACCTTTCGTAGACATCACCTTCCGTCATGGACAACTATAATATCAACATTCACCTTCTGTTGGACACAATAGCCAAGCACTATTGCCGATTGCCAAGGTACAAGCACAACCCCCATCACAACCCCCCAACCTTACCATGATGATAGAGACAAAATAAACCCGAGGCTAAATATCAGGAACAAAGTACAAACGACCAGGCAAAAAGCCTTGCATCCTAAACGGCAAAACCTACGAAAAAGATACAACACATGTATGCCTGAGTATGTCTCAAGGATATCTTCTATAAAAGGTGAAAGCACAGGAACAACACCGGTAGACCAAGGGCCCCCAACTTTTCAAGAGATTGGAAGAGTCTGTGTATGAAGCCTTCCCATGCATTTTTGCAAACAAACTGTTTCCATAACTCAAACCCATGGGCTTGCAGAGAACCTTTTTAACAAAAGGTGGACATTAAAAATGAACTTCCTGATGGTTCATGCAACATACAAATAACTTAGAAGGTCAACATGACATTGGACTCACCAGTTACCTTGCATACAAAGATCAAAATTATGGAAGAATCTGAAGCAGTAGCATTACATAAAATTTAGATAGTTGCTATTTAGCTATCTAGGTAAGGAAGAAAAGAGATAAAGCAGATATCATTTACCTTTTGGATGTCCATGCCTCTAATACACACTGCGATACAAGATGAAGAACCGCCAACATTGTTCGAAGGTACTTCGTAGACTTGCTTACCAGCCATGCTGCAGCATTTCAGTACAGAAAACATAAGCCCACAGACCCAAAAAATCTTCAAAAAAAATCATTCACTGAAGCTAAGTAAACATAAGTTTATATCCTTTTGCAACTACATAAAGAGCAGCAGTAATACTCAAAACAGAAAAGAAAACTATGTGCACCTAAAGCAACGCTGATAGTTCTCGGATGTGCGAGACTCCAACGAATAAACATACAATCCAGACAAGACAAGAAACGAGGGCTGCCATGACGCAACCGAATAGCCAATCCCCTGAACCAATTAAAAATTGAACGGAGATATAAATTTGTATGCATCAGCTTGACATATAACAGTCTCTGAAAGACGCATACCCTCCAAACAAGTATTTGAACCTCAGCTGCAAGATCAGGGGTACTCCATGGGGCATGTTCAGCTTGACAATTTTCTACAAGCTTTGTGCCACTTTCTATCGTACCAGACAGGACCTTCAAAAGTGCCATTAGCCGGCTCAATCTGGATGGTGAAAGGTGAATACCAAGTGCAGGAACTTGGACAGAAACACGAGTTGACGGATGGCATGGATGAGGTACTTTAATCTTCAGTTGACAAGAACAAAGAAAGCCTTAGAAGACAGTGTACAACAAGTGTATTGCACTAGCATATTGAGAAAGAGCTTGAAGTAATTGTACCTGATCAACAATAACAACAATCCCACACCTATCAACAAGAGAATACGAATGACAAGCACTGTCCACAACAGGATATGCTGAAAGCTGACTGCTATGACTCAGAGATTCCTGGTCACTTGTCTGGATGTCAGAACCACCATCCATAAAGAAGGCAGCTATATCCTTTCCAGAAATACGAAAACGAGAATACAAGTTTTGTCCTTGATTATCATGCTCCCCCTCCTCCAACAAAAAGTAAGTTTAGCATGAAGTGACATTGAGAGAACAGAAAATACACAAAGTACGACTTAAGTAACATACCTCTGTTCGCAATGTAAAATTACCGAAGTCCAAAAGGAAATGGCTATCATACTTCGATGACGCATGTGCTCCTATAGGAACTCTAATTTTTGGAGCATCAAGGTCAATATCTAGAGCGAATCTGCAAGATTGGGGAAATAAATCAAGTAACAAATGCATATTACAAACTTTACCATTACGCATATCAAATGGAGGACATGATATTAGCAAGCTGTGTGAAACGTTAACTAGACCAAAAAATAAAAATTAACAAATAAAAAATAGATGTGTTCAGAAATACTAGAACCACAAAGAACATATTTAACGAAGAGACCGAGGCTCAGAAAGAAAAGCATTTTTTATCAAGATTCAGCAAAGACCAACGAATATATTCTCCTGGGCTATATGGTATGTGGTTACAACACTCAAGTGAATGTGTTTAATTAAGGTTAGTGCCCATAATGTTCACCCTTGCATGAATGTCAATTACGTACTAATATTGCACAAGCTCTAAACCAAGCATGCTCCGTAACATCTTTCAAGACGTAGCTAAATGGTTCTATAATGGAACAGATGAAGATCACATGAATCATAATTCTATTTTAAAATAATCCGTGAAAACAATAGAACCTTCCCGGAATAGAGAAATAGTGATTGAATGCCAACCACAAACTGTCTGTAAATTTCAAAAAGATTAGCAGAAAAGCAATATCAGAAGGGAACCTCTAGCTTTTAACCCAGATTTAAGAATGTAAAGACATGCACATTTAAAAGTCCCCAAACATATAATACATAGTAAGAATCGCTCCAGCATGCATTTCATTCGACTTGCATATTATTTTCAGTACAATTCCTCTCAGATGGGAATTTGCTAGAATATTAGTCTTAGATAGTATCTTCATCCAAGCATTTCATTAGTTAGCTAAAGATTATAGATCTACTTAAAATTTATTTCAGCTTGAGAAGATGAAGTGACCCCAAACTTTAACTATTAATATGTCAAAATTCTAAATATTCTTCCAGAAAATTGTCTTGGCTGGATATCTTAGAGAAGCTTGCTTACCACAGGCAATGCTTAGAAACACAGCACATGGAATAAACATCTATGAGCCACTGATGGTGTCAACTTTTTTAAGTAAACTGGAGGCAGTGATAATGACCAAACAAAAGAAAGTATTTACATAGTGAATGCAAATTAAATAGCTATGAAAAAGAAAAAGGAAACACAGAAGACATAACAAACTCGAACAAACGGAATAAATAGAAAAAGAAAAAGAACAGAAGGGTCATATACTGCAAACATTGCAAACTCCTGCATCTCCCCAACCAGCACGGAAATTTTATGCTTTCCAAAGAAAAATAATAACATAAAATTTGTCTCTCATATTCTCATAGAGCATTCAAAATCAGATGTAATACAATTCCAATTTTGTGGAAACGTCAATAACACAAATACCATTCATTGTATGTCACTTTTACAATCACACAAAAAAATAGATCGGCAAGGGTGAGTCACAGTCCTTCGCATAATCAATAAATGAATCACTTCACATCGAATAATTAACCACATTTAATCAGTTCATCAAACCAATAGTCACAGTTCAATAACGCAGCGGTTATAAGATAAATCACCATGGAAAGAAATCTATCCTCATACAAGCAATTTTGGAATAAGTGTTACCTGCTTTGTTCCTCCAACACTGTTTGAAATTGCTCTTGAGCTCGACGAGTCGCCTTTTCTATCTTATTCTGTAATTGTTTCATCAAAAAGTGAGATATTAGTTTCTTGTAAATATAGCTAAATTATCGCAGATTATCTAACTGTACCTGAAGAGCAGTTGCTGTTTCAAAAGCAACTGTAGGGCTAACAGAATTGCTCCTTTTCATAAATTCCAGAAAGCGGTTATAGCTTTCCATCAAGACCTATATATCATTCATATAAAGAGAAATTCAGTGAAGAAGAACCACGAGGAGATAGTAAATAAGAGAAGGAAAGACGGCAGGGTAATTACAGAAGGGCTCAGAAATATAACAAATTACAGGCAAGTACAAAGTTAATATTATGTGCTTATCATACATAGACCAGTCATACAAAACCATTAACTATAGAGCTTCCAATACAGCTGGTGAGTTAATATTCACATGTTTCCCAAGCCGAACAAATCTGGCATTTAGAACTACTACGAAACATTTCACCTTGAAGGCAATAGCTGTGTACTCATTCCAATTAACCTCACTTTAACCCTCATAGCCTTTCAAACACATGGCAAGCAAGTATTTTGGTCTTAACACTTGTTTTAGCGAACAAATATTCTCAAGAGGTGTCGCTTTTATTCAGAATCAAGAGACGTGTTTATAGATTACATTAGTGGGCCATGGATGGAGAAAAGAAACCCTATGACAAACTGAATGAGATACTTACATAAATATCCCCTTAATCTTAACACTCCTAAACTCTGAGCATTTACTTTAAACCTGCTTAACTTCTCATATTAGAGTTAATCTTGTATCCTCGCAATGACTTTGTCAATATATTCGTATGCTAACTAATATCCAGAGTGAGCGAAACTGACGGTCTGTTCCCTTAAAAAGTTCCAATTCTTGGAGATATGCATCGCTGCCTGATAATCAAAGTGCGTCTCCCATCAATTCAGCTGAAGAATCTCCCAACTTCTGTGTCAAACGTAGAGTTCTAAGACTGATACACCTGGAATAGTGTACTTGCTAGGAAAACAGAAAACACAAGCCATACTGTATAAAAGTGACATCAGCAGAAATGAAATACCATTTTAGATTGTGTTTGTAACATCATTTGCTCTGATACCTATAGTAACCAATAAAAATGCATTTATTTGCTCCAGAATGATGTTCAACTTTCTCGACTTGAAAGTTAGACATAAGAAACACAACAAAATTAGGCCAACCTTAAATATGGGAGTCCATAGGAAAAGAACCTGGCGAGATATTTGGCCTTTCAAAATAGTGGATAGCAGGCCATTGATAAGATAACCTGCTGTGACTACTGAGGGATATTATGGTAAATCAATGTAGTGTAAGTAAGTTCAAGTAAACGTCTACGATTACGTCAAGTAACTCCATTTTGTCAATTGTACAAGTCCCTAACTCCTAAATACATGAAAATTGGAGAAAGGCCACCAAAAACTCTTTGGTAATTTTGCTTATAGTTAAAAGGCCCTAATTGCTGGCATATAAAGAACTTTACAAGTCAGGGAGAGACTACATAGTGGACCAGCCATCACGACTTCCATATCCTCATTATCATTCTTGGAGCCCTATATAGTTCCAAGAACACTTTCCGCTAACTACGAGCAACTAGCACCCACCATTCATAATCATCCTGCATTACCAAACCCCTATATTGCCTGATTATTTTCTTACTCAGGAAAATCAAAATCGGACAGAATTTGAATTAGCACAAATATACTTACAGAGGCAAATAGTTGTTAACCAGTAACAATAATACTTGTTTATAATAAAATTAAGGATAAATCACCGTGACATGGCAAGGAGATATTGTTGCCGAAAGCCTCCAGTCTAGATTCTCTCCAACAGGTGAATATACAAAACTAGCAGCCAATGCATTCGCCTTCTGCTGACTACAGACGCTCTACAAAGAAAATATCATTCACATATGAAAACCAAGCAGAACCGAAAAGTGATATAAATGTATTCATCTTCACATGAAAGCAAATAAATATATGTTATTTGATATGGAAAAGGATAGAGGAGAAATATAAACATAAACATCTACAGTAAATGAAAGGACCAAATGTCAACAAAAGAGTAACACTACTCATGTCTTCAAAATATGATAGTAAAATCATTGAAGAATTCAACAGAAGAATAAGTGACAACTAAAGTTACCAAAAAGAAAATAAGACAGTAATCTTCTTCAGATTCAGATTCCATGAACGACTTAGAATTATGTGCAAAAACCATATTCGAATTGACCCAAAGAAAATGTTGACACTCCAAAACAAACCTGAGCAATTGAACCTTCAGGGGCAGACAATCCATAGAACTTCAATGTTAGATCACAATAAATGCTTCTATGTTTAAACTTTGTGCAGATTTGAAGTTGTTCAAATCTACCACATCCGATTTCAATTTCATTTACATTGATAATCCTCGCAGCAGCCTGACCAATGGATACAATTACCATACGCTGTGTCATATTTTGCATATCTTTTCCCGACTGTGATGTCGAGTCCTCATCTGGTTGGAAACTCAATAAATTATTGATTGCCTGCCATTCTTCTTTGCTCAATCCATCTTCAACAGTTTGAGATCCCTCAGGAGCATCAGCTGAAGCAGAACGCCTGAATTGAAGGAAACGTGACAGGGTTCAACATGATGTTATTAGTTAGTTCATGCACAACAAAAAAAGATCGGAAAAAATGAAAACATAAAAACGATTGCAGCCAACAGAAGAAGAAGATAAGTCACAAGCAACTTTTGAAGATAGAAAGATTAACAGACCATCCAAATGAAAACCAACTATTCTTTTTAAGCATCCTCTGCTCGGCTTCTTCCTTTGATTTTACAGACTCAACTTTTGCATGTGCAAGGAACCTGAAACACACAAAATCTTCAAAAGGTCACAATCAGAGAACAAAACAAATAAGTAATTGTAAAACCAAAAAAATAGTAACAAATGCATTTTGATTATATGGGTACAAGTGTGAGCAAGCAAGATAAGTAATACTATAAACGACCGACATATCTTGGTACATCTGTAGGATATAAGGAAGTGATTTTCCATTAAATCAGAGACTTCCGGCAATCTCAATAACTTACCAAACCATGAAATCAAGATCCTACTAAATTACGGCTTAAATCTCCCCATGTATAAAACAAAAGGTACTGCTTGATGCAATCTAGATTAACATTCCCCAGAAACAGCACAAATGAAGTATCATAGAACAATTATATTTGGAAACAAAAAAGCATTTGACTAACCAACAGAATACAAGATATTTTACATTTGAAGTAGAATTGTCATGAAGGAACGAAGTCTAGCATAAGATAAAATAGGGGTACATTTAGAAAAAACAATTTATAACGAGCACCTCATACTTCGAGGAGATCAGCGGATATGAACAAAAGTTGTTTATGCAATCATGATGATTAGGATAATGAAGCATACATGCAGTAACAGCTCTTCAGCAACAATTTACAAAGTAAAAGATGATATCCAGTAATGTATGAATCATTCAAACTATAAACAACTGAATAAAATTCTAAAATGGAAGAAACAAAAAACAAGACTAAAGCCATAAACCAGCATAGCAACTAGAACACATACCTCCATAAAAGAATAATTTTTGGATCAAGATCTCTCTCAATACTTCTAATTTCTGAGTCATCAGAATCTGATAACTCTTGCAATGAGCTAGCATACAGCTGGATATATCTCCTACGAAGATGACAGAAGTGCTGAACTTGGGCCCAAGATAACCTATAGCTGAATTAACAGGCATAAACAAATTGTCAGCATTGGGCAACCAAAATACAAATCTTATAACAAGCAGATACTGGTAGAATTATCTGAACTAGCCTTTATTAAAATAAAGTATCAAAAAGAATGAGGAAAAAGTATGAGCAGTGGAGCCATCTGCCACTGCTTTCATCAATTGCTCCTATGTTTTGAAACTGGAGATGCATTTTGATCGTCAAACAGGTCATCTTTTGGATAAAGAAAGAATTGACAGAAAACAAGAATACTTTGTCAACTTCTTTAGAAAATCAATAATGCTTTTCTATTCCAAGTAAGTGGTGAATATGGATATGGAAACATACAATATGACCACAGAAGTCAGAATGTATCTATAATTTTGGAACAAAGGTAGCGTAAAGTACAAGGGTCTAAAATCATCTATCAATCTTCAATATATATATATATATATAATACCACATTTTCTTCTGCTGCAATGCAGCTTGAGCAGCATAATGCCACCACACTTTAGGACCCTCGCTAACCGACACCACAGGCCTTAAATGGGACACTTCAACATATGATTTATATCTTGATATGACCTCAAGGAGTCGAATCCAGTCATGATACTGAGCCTGTAAAGCAATATTTCAAATTCAGTCAGTTAGAAGACTGCTCTCTATTAAAAACGAATGAGAGAAACAGAGGGAGGGTAGGACATTGAGAGAGGGTGGAAAATGAGCACCCTCGTAGAAATCAATGACAGGAAGTGATAGTATACCAAAACATTTAGATAGCAATAGTGAATCATGCAGCCAATAGAGAAATTTAAAAGCTAAGCCAAAGTTTAGACAGCAGAAAAGAATCAACAGGAAGTTCTGCTTAGGCAACCACTGAAAAGTGTCCACCTACATGTTTCTAAATGATTAAACTGGAATAGGGAACTCGTCCAGGTACACCAACACCTAGAGCCACAAGGCAACCATAATATGGCATAAGCAGACCCACTTCTTAAAATTCATTATGAAAGAAGAAAATCCCAAGGCAGGGAAGTTACTTCAATGGTTAGAATCAGTGCTCTTCACTCACTGACCTATCTTAAGAGAAGAAATCAGATTTGGGATGGTGAATTTTTCCGTAAGAAGCAACTTCAAACAAGAAAATAAAAGAGACAGCACAATTTAATTAGAAAGTCAAGAGTTATCACCTCTGTGAGTGTCAAAGAAACGTCACCAAGGATAAGACGGGCCTCCTCGAAAGGCATTTCTGGATCAGTTCTCTCCAGATTCCCTAAACGGTGATACTTAAGAACACCATTGATTGGTGAAACTAGGTAGTTACGATCTCGAGCCCATGCAGAAACTGCATTACTATTGGCAGGTTCATTTATTCCATCTTCAAATATCTAACATGCATGAAAAGTTAAGTCAAAGAAATCTAGCACGTGGCAAAATAAAGGTGCTTCCACTAATATCATTTGAATACGTGAGGCAATAGTTTCTGGTAGTGGTGAAGGAAGAAAACATTTCTTACAATGTACAGTGCCCAGTGATGCCACAGAATAAGGAGCATACCTCAACCCAATCCTTAGGACTCAGGTCTTCCCATTTCTTATTCATGTTCCAAGGAGGTCGGTTGGAATCATGATACATAGCAAGCCTTTCAAGTTGCAATGACTACAGAAAAAATTGTTGAGATATCAGAAAGACATAAAGGTGCCATTTTTTGTAAGTCTGCATGAAAAAGCAGAATCCAACTACAGTGACCAGGACATAAATAATTTTAAATAAGTTAATAATTCCTTTCATGCTTCAGGAAAGGTGTCAAGAATAACTACATCTTTAATACCCTTCAATGGAAGAAGTGTGCAAAGCAACAGTGACACAATAATCGTCACAAATATTAAACATCAGAAATGCAAACATCCAACAAAACACCAACTACTAGTTCACTTTAATTGAAAATCGATGCATTATCATATATAGCTTAAATGAGGTACACTTATCAAATTACTTTGGTACATACTACCAAATGCAGGTCCAACTGAAAATTCGTCCAAGACTTCTATTGATCCTAGAACATGACATTGGGCCCTTTAGGCCTTTTTTGTTGGGATTAGGGTGCACGGGAGGGAGAGAGAAGAACTTACTTAACAAATATACAAAACCTTTCTTTCTTGGAAAATAAGCAAAAGAGTATGGCAGTCTTCAAAAAATCTACAACGAGGTCATAAAATTTACAACGAGGTTATACTTTCCATCACCTACTTTACCACCATTTGGAGCTCACCAAAAATAAGAGTAAAGCAACAAAAAGGACAAACAGGAGTACTTTCATCTATCCAACTCTTAGATGAGACTAATAAAGGAGTTCAGAACATCCAGTATTCATCTTATATGAAATATCTCTAAAAAGGTAGCATCGCCTTAAAATCCAGTAAAACTCAGCTGGTAAATGCTCCAACCAATAGCTAATAAGCTCTAATTTACAACTCTGTTCTACTGAGAGCAGCATTATAAAGATGGCAGATGAATCTGACCTTTCGCAATTTATCGAGAGCACCGCTGGTGTCAAATGTTTCATTCCCTTTCTCGTCCACTGTAAAGGCAGCAAGTTTTGCCAGAGTAATACCAACAGCAAAAGGATGTCCTGGATTGCTGAAACATAAAAATGTTCTTCTAATCAAGCAAATAAAGCAATATGGGCAAAAGAAGCTTTCATTACCGATGCATGTACACCAACCTAACAGAATCCTCATATCTGACATGGACATTTCCAATCGAGATCTTAAGATTTCCAATTATTGTACCAATCAAAGAACCCAACCATGAATTTCCGGCAGCTGACTGCAAACAACAAAAGATGGCATATTCAGAAGACAACAGCAGAAGCAATGCCAGCATTCAGAATATAAGTGTATGCTGAAGGAACTTTTTTGGCATTTAATATTTAGTATTCTTTAGAGAAAAGAAGAATAAAAGAAAAGGGGTGTGAAAGAAAGTAGTCAAGCTACTAGTGCAAAGAGGTTAGGTGTGAGCAACATGGTAAATTACACTTCCAACACATATAAGACTTGAGCACATACATTTCCAAGCTTTGATTTTGATATTGCATCAAGAGTGGCTGACTCAGCTTCCTGCAAAACAGTTGAATATGCAGCAAGCAAATCTATTAGAAAGTGATGATAGTTCACGACAAAAAGGTATATGAACTTAACAAAGTCAACCAACTGTCAAGCCACACAGGACGTAACAAGAGACAACTTAGATATAGATCAAGGGAGAAAAGCAATATAATACCTCAATCTGTTGAAGTTTCGCTTCAAAAAGCTTTTCACGCTCTTCATGCTGCAAAATTAAAAAATAAATAACTATGTAATTAACCAAGTAAACCTTGTGAACAAACAAAAATATTTCTTATTACTTACCGTAAGAGACCTTCCATCAGAAGCAGGATGAGCAAGAATGAACACACGGTCTATAAGGACTATCACAGGCTCTTTGCCAAGACTTTTCCAAGGAACCTGCATTTTATGTCAAAACAATACAAACTGAAAGTCATATCTGATAATGATGATATGAAACCATTGCATCATTTGCTGAAAGAACACATGTAACAGGTCCCTAATATCCGTCATTAGACTACCCAAGGAAAGAAAAATGCAAGAGGGCAAAGACATGCAACTATATGATCCTGCAAAATTCTGGATGGCTCTGAACATTGTTAGACATAGGAGAAGTATCACATTTGAACATGTCTACCCAGTATGCAGGGCCATGTAATGAATTGTGTATGGATTTAGACATTCCCCTAATTAATAACCCGTTATGGTAAGCCTAAACAATATAAGACCACTTGAACTAGCCACATCAACAGCAGTGTAACTGCCACACACCAACAGCAAAGAGCTGCTAACCTTTCAAGTCAACCACCGCAGGCAACTCCCCTGACCACATTGACGCTACTCCATTTCTCTCAACAACCCTCCCCCCCCCCCCCCCCCACAACAAACACTCTCTATAAATCATTGTGCTATTTTTTTCTCTGCCTCCGAAATCATGTGTGCTAGTCTTACACTACTAGGTTGTTGCACTCCTTTACTTCGTGTTATAAGACCAGCAGTCTTACTACTAGGGTGGCCCCACCAATTTACAGGTCACACACATTATCTGAGCCACGGACATCACCTAACATGTTTTTACTCTCTTCATGTTTACAATGAAAATATAACCAGTAAGAAGAACTGCAGAAACATGATCGAGGGAGGATTAAGGTTTACAATTGCAAGCCATGATAGGAGATATGGATGATGACGTATGCACGACGACACTCTAGAGCACATCCACATCATGAGGTGATGAAGAACAGATACAAGATGCAGTAAGAAAAATTAGTACATGGACTCACTAGAACAAACCTCCAAGCAAGTATCTTCCAAGTTTGAGGAACTTGGAATATAGTTTGAAGCGACCTGACCTTGTGTCATGAAGAAAGTAAACCCATGCATTAACCGCATGGGCAGATGGGAGGCAAAGATGGTATACAAAATAGCACCCTTTGTTTCTCCATATGAAAATCACAGAAAGGAAAAGTTTTGAAAAACAGTAAGTTGGTGGTGTAGGTGTTTACAAGTTCCAAAAGTAGCAGGTCTCCAAGCACAAGTAGTCGATTTCTAGATTTATCATATAGAATGGGAGGATCACCATAGTTCTTTGATTGAAGCCACCAAACTCGAAACTGATACAACTTGAAAAATCAAAACGACAAACAAGCTACATCAAAGATGACAGCAACGGACTCAAAGACAAGGATGATGTAAATTCGACCAAATATCAGAAATTAACAAGACCAGGCACACTCATTTTGTGTTTCCTAGCCATTTCTTTGGGTCATCCGTGAAACAAATTTATCTTGTTATTGTTTTCAAGCAATGTACCAAGGTTTCTCGTTCATCATCACTTGAAAACTCAAGGACAAGCTTCCGAATGAAGATGTGATTTATGCGAATTATGGAGGGCATTGATGGAAAATCCAAAAAATAATTTTAGTTTATGTATTAAATATTAATATTTACAGATACATCATTTATTTAGGCAGTAGGGTTAGCAGATAACTAATATATTATTTTGATTGTTGTTAGGATATAGCTTTGTCTTGTCACTTTCCGCAAGAATAATTTCAGTTTTATTTGTTGCATCAAGTTCATTGTTAGGACAACTTTTAGGTTTTAAATTTGGTTATTTATGGTGTTTATCTTTATCATAAATGGGGTTGTGATCCCATCTCGTGTTGAGTTCATTGAAGTTCTTTGGAACATCTCTTTCTTCTCATCTCCTAGTTCTCTCCTTGAAGTATGCACCTGAATGATTGATTACCTATCTCCTGAAGAAGGTGAAACCAGTAACAACATGTTTGTGGTTATCACTTGAGGCACAAAAGATGACATGTTAGATCCAAGTACGATCCCCATTGCGGTCAAAGAGAGGAAGTCCTTTCCAAGAATAATCTTACACCTTAACTGTCAATATATATTTGATCTAGATAATCATACCACATACCCATGCTATTCTTAATAGTTTAGTTTACCTGATCTGAATATACCTGATAAAACAAAAGAAACACAATTGATCATAAAAGAAAAGCAATAAAGCCTGGGAGATCCTGCTTGACTAGAAGAGATAGAGCTCGTTAGTAGCACAAAAGCTACAGCAACGAAATAAATTCATGTTTCCGAGTGGCATAATAATAGTGAAGAGGTGCTGTCAACAATACCAGCAAGGGCTTTCTGCCCAACATAAAAAGTGACAAGTTTTCAGTAGCAGAACAGATATCAATTAGACTGTAACAAGAAAAGTACAATCCAGAGCAGCACATGCACAACACAAAAAAAGTCAACAAACTGTAGTAGAACAAATTGAGAGAAAAATGGAGCAGAAGTCCACAAGACAACCGGATCAGCTACAAAAGTGTAAAGAAGTACCTTCAATGTTATGGTACCAACAAAACCAGCCTTTACGGTAACCGGAAGTTTTAATGAATTGAGTGCCTCTGACTTTAATTTCAAGTCTTTGAGAACCACATCACCTAAAGATATAACTGGCTATCAGAACAGGCTCACAAACAATAAATCATGGATATATACATATTCACACCAACTAAACAAAGGCTTCCATACAGAAAAAACCAGCACAAGCGTAAAACCACAAACAAATTGTTATAACTCAACCCTGTCAACCATAACAACAAACTGCAAGAAGAAAAAGATTTAGGTGCTTTGTACTCAACATAATGGTGAAATTCTTCTAACCACCACATTCAAAAGAAATGTTAAAAGAGACCTTAACTTGTAGAACATTATATTAGGCCAGTTACGGTACCTATCCTTTAACTATGCTTTTCGTGCTTTAGAAATATAATATGTGGACAATTTGTACAAGCACTGAGCCTTTGCAACATGAACCTAATAGTAGTATGAAAATCAGGAACATCTGAATGAAGTTATACCATTACAAAAAAAATCATTAACAAACCTTGCCAGACACTGATTCTTAAGGCCTCTGATGAAAGTCCATGGACATATTCACCCAAATATCTTCGGAGCAAATGCAATACCTATTAGCATAAAGATGTCAAATAAAATCCATCAACTTCCATAATCTGCTTATAAACAAACTTGGGACTACAAGCTCTCATGGCATACTAAGATGAACATAATAGAGACTGGTAGAGATGATGAGGGGAAAAAGGTAACAAAAAATTGGTAGAGATATGAAGAATAAAAATGCAAAAAGAAACAGCATACTTACACAACTAGATTGTCACATAACAGTAGAATAGAGATCAACCTCACCATCTTAACACTACAGGTCAGTGGCAGCTAAAGGATGCAACCCGTTCTCCTTCAACCTACCAACCCGTCCAATAAACAATTGCTCAAACCTCAACCAATAATGAAACAGTCGCATCGACTCATCGAGCAAAGTCGCCAACAACAATTCTAATAGCTCCCTTCATTCTGAAGTAGATGGCCTCCTTTAAAGTTTAGGGGGGACTCCAGTCAGTTCAAATTCTTTTCAATCTTTACCCTTTGCAAAAAAACAGGTTTCATTTTTAACCTATTTCCTCTATGCAAACACAGGACATGTTATACATATATGTAGATGTATTTATTTATGGGGATATACTTGGTTCTTTTGGTTTGGTTTGGTTTGGTTTGGTTTATGTATTTATATCTAAATATAAAAGAAAAGAAGAGAGAGGAAGAGGATTCACTTTGATTTGATGCATAGCCAATGCTCTAGAATTTGCACAAAGTTAAAGTAGACAGCTAATTAGAATGGAGGCAGATGGTTCCAACTGGTTGTAAAAGCTACCATAGATTGCGTACAGATTAGACAAACACAAAAACACATGGGTGGTGTTTGGTTCGTAGCCTCATCGGAATCCGACGGAATCTGGAACGATCAATTCCATTTACCAAATGCCATTCATGGGCTTGGTTCATTCTTTGAGTTTTAGTACGTAGTTCCAATTCCACATATGTTGGAATTCAAATTCCTTGGGTTTTAGTAAGTAATACCAATTCCTTTACATCCAATTTTTTGAGAAAAAATATTCTATCCTTATATTTACTCGTTGCCACCACCAGCATCATTGTCTACACCATCACCATTGTCATCTCCACCACTGCCACTGCCACTGCCTCCGCCCACCAGCACCGCTGCCATCACCATCAACGTCGTCTCTATCACTACTACCACTGTTGCCGCCAAAGTTTTATGTACGAAATCACGAGGCAAGGCATTTTATCTTGGCGAGGCGAGGAGTAAGCCCCGAGGCAGTTTGAGGCGTAAGCCTCGAGGCAGAAACATAGTAAACAAAAAATCACATGATATACATGCACAAAATGTATATGCTAATAAATAAAATATACATACACAATATATACTAACAAATAACATATATATATATATATATATGATATACTAACAAATAAAAAATACAACATACTCAGTAGGTTCAAAGAAAATACGAGGATACTCGAATGTAGCATGTTAAGAAAATATGAAGGTATATATACATATATGTGTGTGTGTATGTATATGTATATATATGTAAGGTGAGTTATTATGCAACCTTATACATTTGTACAACCAATACAACTCAATCTCAACCGTCCATTTAATTTGATGAATATGTGATTTCATAAAAGTTTAGATTGTTTCCTACTATAAAGTATTGATCATAATTAATGAACACTAGTCATCTTCCATAAAGATTCAAATCATAATAAATGAACTCTCATCATTTCCATAAATATCTCAATTGATTGGGTTGCATGGTTGTACAAATGTGATGGGTTGCATTTGAACCGTCCTCTATATATGTATTGTGTGTATATATATATACTAGGTTCGACCCCGTGTATTACACGGGGTATTTTAAATGAGAAAAACTCTAGACATTAACTCTAAAAGAAAACTCTGAACATTTACTCTGGAACACAAGAATTCAAAATTCTATTGTTAGGCTGAAAAATAACTCTGGACTTAACTCTGAATAAGAGGAATTCAGAGTTGCCTTCTAAGTCTAGAAAGTATCTACGAGCATAACTCTGAGTCACAAGAATGCTGACTTCTTATAACTCAGAAACGTAACTTTGAAGAGGAGTTAAGAGTTGTATTCTATGTCTTGGAATAAACTATATAACCAAGTTTGGAACAGAACAATTCAGAGTTATGTTGTAAGTCTGAGAAATAACCAATATTTGATGACTTCATGTTGATGATTTGTATCACTAATGTCATTTAAGTGTAATGGGATTAAATTGTTGACCAATGTAATCATGATAAATATCGAGCAGGTAAGGAAGGTGCGGAGTGCACACTTGTTTGAGTTTATGTTGATTTAGGGGCAAAGCCCCTAAACGACGTGGGTCCGAGGGCAGCGCCTCCGGTGGCGGGGTCCAAGGGGCGGCAGCCCCTAGCGGGGTCCGGGTAACATTGCTTTGTGAAAAATGCTTCAAAAATCCGAATTTGAAATTTTAAGTAAGGTCTTGATGACCACTCCAGAGTTAAATTCAGACTTACAACTCTGCATTTTCCTAGAGTTCTCATGCAGAAGACATCAAGAGACAGAGCTCTTACTCAAGAGTTAAGTGTCTCATATACAGAGCCCGTACTGTATTCCAAGGAAGATCAAGGCTTAAACGTCAAAAAGGTTAAGTGCTTGATGCAGAGCTTCACTCCAAATGCAAAGCCTCTGCATAGTACATGCAGAGCCTCGATTTGACTCGTGTTTTCATTCAAGTCTGAGTCTGTCTTATTTACACTTAGGGGGAGATTGTTATCTTGGGTTTGAATCTAAAATTTGGTTTGCCTAATGACATAAGAAAATACAAATTGATACATACTTAATCTACCCCATCGTGTAAAAATGTAAGTAAGAAGTCTCTTATTGTAGTCTTTAAGACTTAGTCTTTTGAAGTGGGCTGGACCAACAGCTCTCATGCAGAAGATATCAAGAGACAAAGCTCTTACTCAAGAGTTAAGTGTCTCATATACAGAGCCCGTGTTGTATTCCAAGGAAGATCAAGGCTTAAGCGCCAAAAAGGTTAAGTGCTTGATGCAGAGCTTCACTCCAGATGCAGAGCCTCTGCATAGTACATGCAGAGCCTCGATTTGATCCAGAGCTTCACTCCAGACACAGAGCCTCTGCATAGTACATGCAGAGACCTCTGAGTCTCCTACTTCTAAATCTGGAGGCGAAATCGTTGGACGGGTCTCTAAATCTGGAAAGGAGGACTCCAAATTTTGGAACTCTGAACCGCCAATTACTCTGCGAAGGCGGTCATACCACGAATATGTGAAATTAACCGTCCGAAGGGACACATGTCACTTAAATAGACCTATTTGAACCGTAAGTGAAAATTGTGTCTAGATACATGTTTAGTCGGGAAAAATCAATAACCGCCGCACAGAAACATGACACGTGTCCCAAAAGTTACTTATTTATTAGGATTTATAGATATATGCATATGTATATAGAAGAAGAATCGTGTGAAAATAGGAGTCAAGGTGAGAAGCATAAGAAGGGATCTGGACCCTTGATCCCTTTTAATCTCACCCCCACCTCTTATGAATTGAGCTTATCAAGGAATTGATCTGGTGCATCTCTGAGCACCGCATTAGTGTTGATCACTTGATCATCAATTAGGATTGATCCAAGGGTGGAGATCCCTTCTTACCCTTCTAATCATAACTTCCATTCTCACCGGAAACCAACCCTATGTATATATATATATATGTGTGTTTGTGTGTGTGTGTGTGCATGTATATATATGTATTTATGTGTGAGTGAGGGAGAAGTGAATCGTTTTGAGAGAGAGCACAAGACAACTGTTGTTTTTTTGACTTTTGGATTTTTAATCTTTGTGTGTGTGTATATTAATATGTATGTATGTGTGTGTGTCTGATGCAGAAGTGAATCCTTTGAGAGAGAGCAAGTGGCAGGCATTCTTTTTTATTTTTAGCTTTTTGGTCATTGTATTTAATAAAAAATGCCCACATCACATACTAGATGTGTATGCCTCTCTCTCTGCCTCATCGCCCCACCAATTCAAGGCATATGATCAATTGAAGTTGTGACAGGAGGCACCTCAAGCATGATTTTTGGCCACCTCGCCTCAACGCCTCAACCAAGTTCTAAAACTATAGCCGTGACCACCACAATCACCTTTGCCGCTACATGCACCATCATCACAACCGCCATCGATGCCATCATCACCATCACTGTCGCTGCCACCGCCACTGATTAATATTATTATTATTATTAAATTTTCCATTATATAGTGTTTCTAATTTAAGTAATAAAATATGAAAATGTAATCAAAGGTATTTTGATCATTTATCATTATTTTATTACAATTCTGAACTTATATTCATTGATCCAAACAATCAGATTCCATTCCAATTTCTGTCAACCAAATGCATGGTCAAGCCTCATTAAATTCCATTCAAATTCCTTCAGATTCCAATATTGGTAGATTCTTTTTTTTTAACCAAACATCGTCACACATTTCTCTCTCCCTCCCTTCCTCCAACCATGAGGCCATGACACACCAACAGCAAGGCCACCATGCCTTCCATCTAAAAGCAGTTAAGATTTAAAAACGGGTGAACAAACAACCAAATCATTTGGCTTGCTCCAATTGTTCAAGTAGTTACCAACTGGCGTGCCAACACTATTCTTGCCTATCTATACATATCCTCTTGCTAGAAATCTTCCTCTCTAAATGTTTATTAACTCCTATATTAGAGATAACTAGTCCATATTCCCTCAGCCTCTCCTCAAAATGGACCACCACCCAACCTTCTTTGTGCATCTAATTTCAAAACTAATCTTTCCAAGTGTGGCCACGCATCCAACTCAGATTTCTCACTTTGCATAATTTAGCACATTATCTTCATGAATTAATATTTTCAGCTTCTAACACTAGCAACCTCACACCATCTACAAAAAATTACTCAAACCTTACAATCACAAACAACTTATGATGCAGCCATGTAGGTTGCCACTTCATCTTCCCAACCTTGACCTATGACAAGCATTCATCTCAATCTTCTCATGTTTGCAGCATAGACCACACCATCAGAAAGATGTTTGTCCAAGATATCTCATGTATAAAGTATAGACATGCTTCTATATCTTCAAGTTTCACTTCCATGAACTGCTTTCTAGTCCAACTTACTCCAAGAACCTTCCATTCCAAAGTGTTTATGCGTACACAATCATGAGAACCTTACATTATTTATTCTCTCGCTTTTGAAGTTCCTTCAATTTTCAAATGTATGAGCTATCTTTATTGAGCATAGACCATATTGCTTACAGGTGGAGCATAATCGAAGGATATTTCGGTCTAGCCTCCCTAAAAACGATGCTATTGTTTACACCTCTTTGTGAACCTTTCTTTTTGCATATTCCTTTTTAGAATGGTTACACAATGCATTATTTGCGATATAGAAAACTCTTCTTCTCACAACCATATGTGATAGGGGCTTCAGTTTTCTGGACAATGAACCAGAAAAACGAAAGGCAAAAAAAACAAGCGTCTATAGCAATTGAGAAAAAAAATTATGTTGTAACTAGGGCTGTAAACGAACCGAACGTTTAGTGAACCGTTCGTGAACCGTTCGGCGGGGAAGTTCGTTTATGTTCGTTTATTTAATAAATGAACGAACATGAACAAATTTTTTTGTTCGTTTAGTCAAACGAACGAACATGAACAAGAGTCTCGTTCATTCATTTATGTTCGTGAACGTTCGTTCATTTACCGTTCGTTTACGTTCGTTTATATATTAAATTTAATATATAATCTTTTTATTATATACTTTGAATTCAAATAATATTTATTTATGTTCGTTTAGCCCGTTCGTTTATGTTCGTTCGTTTACGTTCGTTTAGCATGTTAATGAACGAACACAAACGAACACGAACATACCTGATTTCTAAACGAACGAACACGAACACAAAGATTTTCGTTCGTTTACCGTTCGTGTTTGTTCGTTTGCTCGGTTAAGTTAAACGAACGAACATGAACAAGCCTCTGTTCGTGTTCGTTCGGTTCGTTTACAGCCCTGGGATTAAACTTTCAAGGGGACATTTAAACTCAATATTCCATTGCTCCAGCAACCCCGATGCATAACCCTTTTAGGAAAGAGTTTACTGAAATTTAAAAACTGCAGATAATACTCAAACAAATGCTGCTAGTGTGATATTCTTCCAAGTAACTATAATAGCCACACTTGCGTTGGGAGCACAATGTGATTCATCTACTTGGTAATTAGTAATCATTTGAGGACATCTGATAAACTAAGATCTAGTGTAAGTATATGGTTTTATCATGGTTGGTTTGTAACAATCAAGCAATGTAAAACAAGCTTCTCAACTTTACTGGTTCACTTGGATTATGATACATCAACTAATACTGCCTATGTTCTGAAAGGAATGCATTATGACTTTATAATGCCTACCCTAATTCTTTTCAATTAATACTTTGTACTTGGGTTGATTTAAAAATTTGCACTGACCTTTTTATTTCTAATGTTTTCTACGAGGTCAAGGTTAGGTATAGAAATGTTACAGTTGGTAAAGACTTTATATCAATATCGGTTTTAATGTTAAATGCTTAGGTATATGAGATTTAGGAGCTGAGGGATGATATGTGATGATGAAAATAATTTCACGTAGGACTTGAGAAACAACAAACAAATAAGAATGCAACAAGAAAGATGAGATGATAGATAGTCCTCCAATCCATCACACACTTGTATTTATATGTCAAACCTAGGCATCCGTAGTTGTTGTCAATGCAATTAGCAATATCTCAATACAAGTTTAAATCGAAAAATCAAATTTGAAGTTGCCAAGAAAGTTGCTAGGCAAAAAAGGCACAAGTCAAAGTGTGGGTCTTGGGAGCAAATTAGCATCAAAAGAAAACACTAAACATGAATTGACAAGAATAAATCGATAAAGAGAGGTGAATTGGAGAAATCCTTACGTGTGCTTCGAACATGGCGAATAATACAAGTTAGGGCACGGAATCAATCGATAAGGAAGCGCATCTGCATGGAGATCGTATGAATAAGAACAAGCATCGCATATGAAATGGATGAAAACCTTGTTGTGATGGGGGATGGGGGATGGGTGATGGAAACAAAAAAATGGAATAATAATTGTGATTTTTTATCAGAGATTGCGGACGGTTGTAATGAGAAGAGGCCGTGGCGGTGTGTTTTTGTTTTCATAAATTATTCACCGGCTTTCTTTTCTTTCTGCGTTAAAACTTGGGATTTTGGCAACTTCAACCCTCCCACTTTTCGGAATGTTTACATCAGTCACATAATTCCACCAGGAAAGTTAACGATTATGCAAACCCTCTCTTGAATTGAATACGTGACAAACCAAATGATCTACACGGCTCAATCTTTATAAGGGTCAAGGGTTCCAACCTCGCCTCATCAACACAATATCAAACAGTGTCTTAGCTTGCAACTGAAAGTTTTAAATAATGACCCAGATGTTATATGATGATATCCACTTACGAGCAATTGCAATCCTAGCATACGTCTCCTTATAACCAACATCATGCTATTGATTAAATGCAAAATGAGCTTTGTAACGATCAGCTAACCCATAGATTTTGTGTTGGTAATGAAGAGCAATAAATTGTTTGAAAGGATATTTTCATTTTGTTTAAAAGGAATTGTCTCATTCTCATCAAATACTTGTCCAAACCAAACTAAACCAAATCAAACCAAACAAATCCAATCCAATCCAATCCAAGGGAAAAGGAAAAGGAAAAGGAGCAAGCAAAGGATGGCTGATGGGCTTTGAAATTTGAAAGAAGCCCATTGGTATTAAACCCCCGCCCCCCCCCCTCTTATTAATATTGGGTACGTAGTAGTAGACTCACCAAATGATCATTTACAAGATTTTGTCATTCAAATTCAAAAATATATATATATATATATATGTATACATGTTTTCATGACTTTACATTTACAATATATGGTTAGCATGTAAGTAATACAAATTTAAAATTTTTACAAACCATGAAAAACAAGATGATATATATTATAATTAAAAACAACTTTTTTTCATTATTGATCAAATAATTGGTTTTAACTAATAATTTACTCTATTTTTAATTAATGAATTTAATAGAATGTTAAAAAAAATTACATGATTTTATAGATGTAATTATATGATCCCTTTCAAATTTCTCAACGAACAATTTACGGATGGAGGAATATAGAGGTTGAACTTGAAAAAGTTTATAAGGGAAGCTATGTTTGTTATTGAAACAGTGAATGTGTTCATTATTGAAAGTTGTTCATAGTGAACTATGTTCATAAGTAATCCAAGACATAAAAGATTAGTGTGCATGTGTTCACAACATATCATGAACACATTTACCTTATAAAACAATATTCATGATATTGATCAGTGCCTTGTTCATAGATGAATGCGTATCATAAGTATAGGGACTTTTTTTAGAATCAATGAAATTGTGATAACCTTGAGAACTTGTACATTATATATTATTTGATATGATTTTTTGTATCTAAGACTGAAATCTATAATATTGATTTGCATATATTTGTTTCACAATGTAAACATTTTATTTGACCTGTTTGTGAAACACAAAATAGACGTAAAAGAGTTTCACGTTGTATATAAAATAAAGAGAGTATGAAACAAATATATATATATATATATATATATATATATAAGTTTTGTTTTTGAAAGAATAGAAGTAGAGAGTGGTATGAAAGGAAAGGAAGTTTGTTTATGTTTTGGTTGCTTGTGAGCTCCCAGAAAAGACATTCACCCGTGATTTCCCTAACTCTAACTCTAACGTGTTCTCTTCTTATTAGCCCACCTGCACTCCAGATCCACATTTTTATCTTTATTTCTATTTTTATTTCTATTTTATCTTAAGTCGACAATAAATAAAACAACAACACAATTTAATAATACATTTCATTAATTAATGAATATCATTTAATCAAATGGACTGATGAAATTTCACGAGACGAGAGGAATGCTATTTTATATCATGCAAATTAAATGCAGTGTTTGTAAACAACATCAATATATATATATATATATATATATATATATATATATATATATATATATAGGGTATATTTCTTTTACAACCTTGTGCATTTGTACAACCTTTGCAACCCAATTAATTGAGATATTTATAGAAATGATTGAAGTTCATTTATTATGATTTGAATATTTATGGAATATGAATAGAGTTTATTAATTATGATTAATACTTTATATTAGGAAACAATTACTTGATTAAAAATTGAATGGTTGAGATGAGGGTTGTATAGGGTGTAAGAATGGAAAAGGGTGTAGAATAACATCCCTATATATATATATATATTATATATGACGCCTTCCTTCCCAGTTGCTTGTATATGTTACTTTTTGTTTTGATCAATATATATATATATATATATATATATATATATAATCTTCATTTGTAACATGCATGCGTGATTCTTAATGTATACATACCAACAATTAACTGCTCTCCAATATGGTATCTGACAAAATCAATGAATCTTAATCAATCATCTTACATTTCAACTAAAACATTTCATTCATTCATTAATTAATTACTTCTTCTTTTTCTTTATATATATATCATTTCACCTAATTCTTTGTCATCATCTTTTTACCCCATATATTCCATTCCATTCCATTTCATTTCATATAATCTCATATACATATACATATGCATATACATATCATATATATACATATGATCATGATGACCGAGTTTCAAGAATTTGCAACTCTATGTATACCTCCTTTAATTGTTAAGAATCCAAATTATTTTAAATCACACTTTTATTTTTACATATTATAAAAAGAAAAAAACTAATGAACTTGCACTTGTTATATTTAATTTCAATCTACTAATTAAGTTTTCAAAAAAGAATGTTCTTCCACCCCATGCATATATATTCATACGGTCTATAGAGGTATGAATAATCAACGCATGCATTTTTTACATTATATATGAATAATCAAGAGTGTATTCATGTAACTATACATATTCATACAAGGTGTATGAATTAATTAATTACCATGAAATATATAACATATGAAAAATGATGGTGTAGGAGCAGGAGCAGGAGTAGGTGTAGGTGTTGGGGGGATACAAGGTGTAAGGAAGGAAAGGTAAGACCCGTGATTGGATTTATTCCATCCAATGCGTTGGACCCTACTCAACACCTTCTTAGCCACATAGAAATAAACTAAACAACAACAAAGTGTCACGAGCACACACTTTTCTTTTTTTATTTCTTTTTTATTTTATTTTATTTTATATTTTGCTTTTATATCACATGCCCTCTCAACTCTAACTCTTAACTCACCATATACATCATATATATATATATATATATACGTTTATAGCTACCACACAAACATGTAGAATCATATACTACATGACGGATTAATTGTGTGAACATAACAAACCAAAAACCTACCATATATTCATTCATATTCCCTCCTTCCTTCCTTTACTTTTATATTTAATGCCACTTGAACCTTTTCTTTTACTTCTAAATCATATCTATTACTCGTGGCATCTATTTTTTATATCATCTCATTCATTTTAATTTCAAATACTCATGCAATTAACTTTTTTTATATACCATTATACTATTCTATGATTATATATATATATATATATATATATATAACACTTAAATAATAATAATAATAAGTAAATTAATTAGGGGAAGTAAAGCAAGAATATATATATTATATAAATTTCTTTTACTTAGATGTTCCATTAATCACATCAAAATATGTACATAGTTATTTTATTTAATTTATTTTTATTACATGAGATTTGGGAATTAAATTAACTGTGTTGATGAGGAATTGACACAAATTAAAATACAAATGGCATCTTAAATGCCTACCTACAAGAATATATATATATATATATATATATATATATATATATATATATAAACTATAACACTGGAAACTATCCCATCAACATCTTAATTAATTTAAGTGTTTAAACTCATAAAATTAAATGATCAAGTTGAATTAATTGGTATATACAGCATGCATTGATGAATGAGCCAATTTCATTCTATTAAATTCTATATGGAGACTCGAGAGGCCACTTCACCAAGTCTGATTGATGGATACTGTACATGTTGTTATTATTATTAATATTAATTAAATAAATAAGAAAAAGAAAAGGCAAACCATCGTGGTATTGACACCTGTCGACCTCCTTTAATTTTTGGTTGCATGAAGCTAGCTAGCTTTTATTTATTCATTCATTCATTTAGTATAAATAAATGACAAGAGCCACTCTCCAAAACCATTATACTCTCTCAACTTCCATTTCTTACGGACAACTAACACTAGCTACTACAATTTCATTTAATGAAGATGGTCATCTTCATCTTCAAAAACATTTTCTTACTTACCCTCCTACTGCTACTTCTGTCCATGAATGTAGTGCAAGGAAGATATCATTACCACAAGAACCAGAAGGCGGCTCCACCTCCATCTGTTCCTTCTGACCCGGTTTCATCACCAGTAACCGACCCAGGCGATGGTGATGGTGATGGTGATGCTGCTGCTCCTAATTGTGTTTTTGATGTCAAGGATTATGGTGCCATTGGAGATGGGTCCACAGATGACACTGCTGCTTTCGTAGCTGCTTGGAAGGAAGCTTGTGCTGTGGAATCAGCGACTGTTTTAGTACCATCTGGTTGCACTTTCATCATAACCTCTACAATCTTCTCTGGACCTTGCAAACCAGGACTTATCTTTCAAGTAATTAATATTTCTTCTCCTTTTCTTTTCTTTCCTTTCTAAAATGCAACTAATCTCATATATGTAAAATTACAACACTAGCTACCACATACATCAAACTAACAATGTCTTCTTTATTGACTTGGAATGTGTATTTGAAAATTTAGGTAGATGGGGTGGTAATGCCACCAGCCGGTCCCGACTGTTGGCCAAAGAAAGATAGCTACAAGCAATGGTTGGTGTTCTATAAGCTTGATAATATGAGTTTGACTGGAACTGGTACCATTGAAGGCAATGGTCAAGACTGGTGGGAACTCCCCTGCAAGCCTCATAGGGTAATCAACCTTCTACGTACTTTATATTTTTCTTTACTAGATTAACTTTTAGATCTGAAAGAATGTACTTGTACCCCGTATATACATATACATATATATATATATACATATACATATATATATATATATACATATACATATATATATATAAGTGATTCATGTATATAACAAAATGTGATTTATTTCAGGGTCCCAATGGTTCAACATTGCCAGGACCATGTGACAGCCCTACAGTAAGTAGTAGCTAGTAATTATTTAATTTCACACTTAATTAATTAGGCCCTTGATGTGTATTAATTATATATATCTAATTAAGGGTGTTTTGTGTCCTCAGTTAATTCGGTTCTTCATGAGCTCAAATTTGGCAGTGACTGGACTACGCATCCAAAATAGTCCTATGTTCCATGTGAAATTTGACGGATGTGAAGGGGTACTCATTGATAAACTCTCTATTTCTTCTCCTAAACTTAGCCCCAACACCGACGGAATCCATATTGAGAACACAAAGTCTGTGGGCATCTACAATTCAATGATAAGCAATGGTATATGTTTTACGGATTAAATCAATTAATTAATTAATTATCAAGTATTAGATAGATAAAAATATGTTGGGAAGAATGATAATGAATTATATATTACAGGGGATGATTGCATTTCAATTGGACCTGGTTGTGTAAATGTTGATATAGAGGGTGTCACTTGTGGGCCTAGTCATGGGATCAGGTAATTAAATTCTTCTTCTTCTGCATCTTTCTTACTTAATGGACATCTAATATACATATATATCTATAATATATATATATATATATATATATTATAGTTTCTTTGTTACTTAATTGACATCTAATATATACATATATATATATATATATAGATATATGGTAATAAATGATGTATATATGGTTGGTGCAGCATTGGGAGCCTTGGGGTACACAACTCCCAGGCGTGCGTTTCTAACATAACCGTACGCAATGCCGTGATACATGATTCTGATAATGGGGTTCGGATCAAGACATGGCAGGGTGGGGCAGGGTCGGTCACAGGGATCGCTTTTGAGAACATTCAAATGGAGAATGTGAGGAATTGTGTGATCATAGACCAGTACTACTGCTCAAATAAAAACTGTGTAAACCAAACGTCAGCCGTGTATGTCAGAGACATCTCGTTCAGGAACATAAAGGGAACGTATGATGTGCGAAGCCCTCCCATCCATTTTGCTTGCAGTGACAGTGTAGCTTGCACCAACATAAGCATGTCTGAGGTTGAGTTGTTGCCATATGAAGGGGAATTGGTGGATGATCCTTTCTGTTGGAATGCTTATGGAGTGCAGGAGACCCTTACCATACCTCCAATTGATTGTTTACAAGATGGTATGCCACAGTCGATATCAGATAAAGTTGAATATGGCTGCATTTGATCGTATATCTGAATTCAATTTAAGTTGTAGTTTGATTTAGATATCTATAGAGTTTATTATTATTATTATTATTAATACTGTATAGAGCCCAATACCTAGCCATATATCTGAATTCAATGGGGGTACTTTTAGGTTGTAGTTTAATTGTGTCCCTTGTGTTGTTGGATCAATTAGCCTAGTGTAGGGCCCATCCTTATTGCGTGATGAGGCTCCAATTTCTCCTTTATATGTTATGTACTTGTCTACATATATACATGCATACTAGGTTCACTTTTCAATCTCCATTTCTCTGACTTCAAGCAACTTAATTGAAATACATTTCTTTGGACCATTTTATACTTAATATATATATATATATATATATATATATATATATATATATACACTTGTTTGTTTCTTCCATATATGAACAATTGAATGGTTGAGATTACTTTTTATAATTCTTATTTGATTTTTCACCTTATACATAAATGAGTATACATCCACTTGTAAAGGCTGGCTTTGGAATGAGAATTCTGAGTTACAATCAAGGTAAAGGGTTGTTTGTTTACCTCTTAATAGTTCCATTAAGAAACAACCTCTGAATAGTTAAGAGGTGAATCTTGTTTGACAAAAAAAAAAAAAAAAATTTGGTCTCTTAATGGTTCTAAAATCCTCTAAATGATTTTGTATCCTGGATCCCCCTTAACCATCAAGAGCCCTAATTTCATCATACACAATTACCAAACAATTATATTTCATTTTGCACTATATCATGAGAGTCTCTTAATCATTCTACACCAAACCATTCAGCAATTATCAAACAGCCCCTAAATAATTGATCTCTTGTTGTACCCTCGCTTTCTAATTTTGATAAGTCATATATAACTTTCCATTTTTCTTAAAAATTATCAATAATTTCTTTTCTTTCTTATCCTTTCCATTTACCTATCAATAATTTCGTTATATATAACATATTGAAAAGCATTTGATTATTTAACAGATATTTTATTTTCTAATGTCCAGCATTGCCTTATATGTAATAGATGGAGTAATTAACAAGTTAAAATATCAAATAAACTCCAACTTTCTTTAAGTTTTATTTCTTAAAAAATCTTGAATTTTCAATATTATAAATATTAAAATTATTGTCTATATAGAAATCTTTTAATTTCTATAACATTCATATTTTACCTTCTTTTAAACAATAAAAATAAAAGCTCAAATTTTTTTTTTTAAATATCTTTAACATATGAACTCACAGATTTGAAAACCCATAGATATATCTCCATTTTAAAAAAAACTTTTTATCTTAAATATAAAAAAAAATTAATTAAACAAATTATATAAAAAAAGATATTTTATTCGACACCCAAATTGATATATTTCTATCAAATTCTCAATATTGGCATTTTTATTCACATACAATAATTTTATTATATCATACAACAATTTATTAAGTTTCAAAAAACTACATCATAACCAAATGTACAAGATAAAAATTGAACCATGCCAATGTACTCTATAATATAATTAACAAACAAGTATCTCCTTTTCTTAAAACCACATATATCTACAATATAAATCGAGAGATGAAATAAAGGTAGATGGTATTGCACTGCATTGCCCATATACACTTCTAATATATATTAAGAAAAAGATATAACTCCCAACCTAAAAAGACGTTTTACAAATTCTGGTGGCTTAAAAAGGAAAAGCCATTTGGGCCTCTTCTATGCTTTTGTATCAAAGCAAAGTAAGATGATCCATTTTATGGTTTAATATAAAAATAGTAGTATTCTGTTGGAAAAGATACAAAAACCTTATTTCAAACAAGTAAATGATATACTAGAAAACCGCATAGACATGATATATTCTTTTTCATTTCTAAATATAGAAAAAAAGATTTCTATCTCAAGTCACATCACATAATAATAATAATAATAATAATAAGTACTAACCACCTTCTAAAAGATGATGAATCTACAAAAAAGAAGAGATGAACATAAGGGATACCTTTCTTTTGGGTGAGTGGATGGATGCATCCTGCAGCAACAACCTTCATCAACTGCATATTGTAAACACCAACATTCTATATTAACATCTTTTACACGTTAACCCAATCAAGGTTCTTGATTTATAACAATCACCTGGTCTTTATTGCACTCCTAACTCGTTGCAGAACACGAACAAACTCATAAAACAGTGAAAAGTCCAACCCTGCAAAACTCTCAGTTTCTGCAGCAGCCATGGTAACACTTTTCGGAGCGTATGTATACGGGTTTTGGCATATGATAAAATCAAAAACACCAAACTTCTTGATCAGACTTTCAAGCTTACTGCTCGATAACTTTTGAATGTTTTCAATCTGCACCAACTCCCCTGTCTGATCTGACTTGTCCCACCACTGTCTCAGAATCTTACGCTTTATCTCTGACGGCTCAACTGACACAACTGCCTTCAAACGAATCCCAAGTCGGTTTAAAGTGATTTCGGCCCCTCCAACTCCACTGTAGATTGAAAGCAAGGTTAATCCTTCAGGGTACATAGACTTCAAAACAGACAAGTGATATCCTAATGTGTCTGTTTGGAACGAGTGTTTCAGAGACTGCAGCCTTTCTCCTAGGCTGAGCCCATCTTCTCGAGTGTGATACATCGGGTACCCAAGAATCCTTTCCACCAATTCAGGTTCAATGGGTGATACTCGGTTGCGGCCCACCCACATGAGATTCAAGCTCCTGCATTGGTGAAGAAGGTCCTTTTGCTGTTCAACAGAAAGTAGTCCCTTAGAATCAATCAATATATTTCTGAGCCTATCACAGAGCTGGGAAATTCCAATAGTTTCAGAATTGATACAGGTCAACTGTTTTCTTGTATCCCACGATGGCCAGTACTTCTTTGTTTGTGGTATCACTTCTTCTATTGTCATCGGTGGCTTCGGCAGGATGTGAAACCGGTTTTTGGTTGGGAGATTATGTATATAGCCTTCTTTCCTACTCAAGGCTGAGAAAAACTGAGTGTTGACAAATTCAGGCTCGATTGCATACAAGAATTGAGATATTTTGACCCATGAATCCTGAGACAAGTTCATAACATTCCCGTAGAAAAATAACGGAGCTTTGGCTACCATTTGATCCACACTGCTACATGAAACAGGCTGGATCAGTTTTGGCACTCCAGTTGCTGCCATACGTCTTGCTTTATACTTGAGCTGTCTCTGTAATACCTTGGAACTCACTGGAGGTTTTGGTACAGTGCATGCTGGTCCAGAATAACTATTCAAATCATCAAATTCCGGTTTTGGTCTCTGTATAGTAATCAGTTCATCAGCAGTTTCTTCTTTTGGCTGCTTTCCTTTACAGCTGTCACCTATGTCAAAGTCTCTAATCTGAGAAGCAGCAGCCTGACTACTTTCTTCTGTTCTTAATGCTAAATTACTATAAAAACTGGCATCTAAGACTCTTTCTGCCCCCATAGATGAAGACTTGAATTTATTTCCAGTCATCCAGGAATTGGCTCCGAAAGGATCCTGTAAAGTCAAGACACGTCCATTAAGTAAGATCAATGCTACTTAATACAAGGCCAAACTCATCAATGATGATGAAAGTGGAAAAGAAAAATGGTGCACCAAGGCATCTGGACTTTGTGAGGATTCAGAATGAGGGAACTCTTTGAATACAGTCTTGCCTTGCATTTGCAGTTGCCAAAGAGGCCATTTCCAACCCATGACCATCCAGTCACAAAGAAGTAACCTTATAGGTTGCTTCATAGCTCACCCTCGATGAGCGAATAAACAAGAAAAACTGAGATCCTGAGTTAGGTAAAGGACAACCTCTTCTGTCTTGATGCAAGGGCCACCCATTCGATCGCAAACAATCGAGTCAGCAAGCTCCGATATGGACACCTCCGAACCTGATACAAGACAAATTAAATGGTAATATCTTTCACAAAAATGGCTAATATTTTAACTGCTGCTGATTCGATTCAATTATGAACTGTGATAAATTGATGCTGCTGCAAAATTTAACTAAATAATATAAATATTTCTTGTTGAAGAATTAGACAAAAGCAAAAAAAGAAAATAAGGATGCATCCTGGATGATTAGATAATATGGTAAGAACACGATACAAAATAAGATTTCGGAGATGTACAGGTAATTTAGCATCTCTAAGTTTTTAATATTGGAAGTCAAAATCATATGGTAATTTTTTTGAGGGTGAATCAAGCTGCATACTATTTTGAGTTTGTAATGTGTGCTTGACATCTTAAGAGAAATTAACCTAAATCCTCAACACACACCCCACCCCAAAACAGGGCCTTGGTACACCTCCGTTAAGGTTCACGTACAAAAGAAGAAGCAAATGAGGTGGGCTTTATATATTTTAGTGGGTGCTGTTTAAAATAAGGCCCAGGGGCTGTTTTGGGCTTTTACTTTTTCAATAATGAGTAGGAATCCCTTTTTGTTGGGAGGGGTGCTTTTTCGGTTTGCCATTCAATTTTGGTGTCAATTGTAATTTGCGGTTTGTTCTGGGAGAGACCATGGCCTCTCGAATGCCATTGGAGTGATTTTGCTTTCATTCCTTTAATTCAATTCCATCAATTCATATTAGTGTACACCAAATTGGTATCAGAGCAGCAACGATTCAGAGATGGCGACCCATAGTGTGGCGATAAGGGTGGAGGATCTGGAGAGTAGCGTCAGATCAATAGAAAAGGGGAAGCGGACGATTATCGAGCAGATGGGACAAGGTAACAAGTAAGTTGAATTCAATTCTGATTTCCGAGGGTGAGGATTAGTCGGGATCGAATGGGAGAAAGAAGAAGGAAGGATATAATATGAATCGTTTTTTAGCCGTGAAAGGAAGAAAACTTGAGATACCTGCATTCGATGGGACTGATCCAGACAAATGGATTCTCAGAGCCGAGCGATATTTTTCGTTGAATCGTTTGCATTCGATGGGACTGATCCAGACAAATGGATTCTCAGAGCCGAACGATATTTTTCGTTGAATCGTTTGAATCAGGAGGAACAAATAGATGTGTTGTTTATTGCCTTCGAAGGAGATGCCCTAAAATGGTTCCAGTGGGAACACAAGCAACAACCGATCACTAGATGGGAAGATTTGAAACGTACGACGCTACGTCAATTCAGATCATTGGCGGCTGGATCATTATGCGAGCAATTTCTGGCGATTGAACAAGAGGGAACCATCAACGAGTATCGTCGCAAATTTGTGGAGTTCGCTGCTCCACTAGATGGAATAGTGGAGGAGGTTTTCTTAAGCCAGTTCATTAATGGCTTAGAAAAAAAAATCAAAGCGGATGTTCACTTGATGAATCCAATAGCATTAAGTGATGCAATGGAGATGGCATCGAAGATCGAGGTTAAGAATAAGTTGATTAGCAGGGATTAAATTCCAATATCTAATAGGAAGAGCACGAGTGTGGGATCAGAGGCTCGTAACACGTTTACTCAATCGGTAGCATCGTGTAACTCATCAGCAAGATCAAGATCCGAATTTAGAAGATTGTCTAATCAGGAAGTCTAACAAAAACGAGCACTGGGCCTCTGTTATCGTTACGATGAGAAGTATTCGCCGAGGCACAGATGTAAGAAGAAGGAGATGCGTGTCATTCTCGTACAGAAAGACACAAATGAGGAGGAAGGGTTCGAAACTGAAGAGAAATCTCTGAATACGGTCGATGATGTGGACTTAGGTCAGAAGGTGTAAGTAAATCTGAATTCCGTGGTAGGATTAACAAATTCTAAAACGATGAAAATGGAGGGAATCGTTGGTGAGCAAAAAGTGACAATCCTCATCGACGGTGGGGCCACGCACAATTTTATTTCAAAGGATGTGGTTGGGAAACTGAATTTGGAAATAGAGGAGACGTGAGAGTATACAATCACGATGGAAAGAGGAAGGCGTTTGCAGGCACGTGACACTCATGATACAAGGACTGGACGTTGTAAAAGATTTAATACCCATACAATTGGGAAATAGTGATGTGATACTGGGGATGCAATGGGTAGAGTCACTCGATGCCACTTACATAAATTGGAAGCATCAGATCATGAAATTCACAATCGGTGGTAAATCGGTGTCGTTGAAAGGACATCCGACTTTAGGCAGATCTAAAGTGTCACTTAAGACCATGGGAAAAGTGATCCAGAAAGAACATGGTGTTTTGGTGGAGTTAGAATCGTGTGAAACTGGAGATGAGACGGGAAAAGAAGAAGAATCGGTGCTAGAGCCGTTATTGAACGAGTTTGATCGAGTCTTCAACATGCCTCAAGGTTTACCTTTGATTCGTGGAAGAGAACATGGGATTGTTTTAAAAGAGGGACTAAAACCTGTGAATGTATGCCCGTATAGATATCCCCACTACTAAAAGGATGAGATAGAGAAGTTGGTAAAAGAAACGTTTGATGTGGGGGTTATTTGGCCTAGCTCGATCCCTTTTTCGAGCCTAGTTCTGCTAGTGAAGAAAAAAGACGAAAGCTGGAAGTTTTGTATAGATTACAGAGCACTAAATAAAGCCACGATGGTCGATAAGTTCCCAATTCCCGTCATAGATGAGCTGTTGGACGAGCTCTAGGATGCCCGGGTATTCTCGAATCTGGATTTGAAATCCGGTTACCACCAAATCAGAATGGAAGAAGGGGATGTTTGAAAGACGGCATTTCGTACTCATCAAGGGCATTACGAATTTCTCGTAGTGCCTTTCGGGTTGGTCAACGCACCAGCCACATTTCAAGGTCTGATGAACAAGGTGTTCAACAACGTATTACGGAAATTTGTTTTGGTGTTTTTCAACGACATCTTGGTTTATAGCAAATCTAGTTATGAACTTCAAAGTGGTTCTGAACATTTTATCTCAACATAACCTTTACGCCAATAGAAAAAAGTGCGAGTTCGGTCGGGATAAGCTAGGTTATTTGGGCCACGTCATTTCAGGTGAGGGAGTGGAGGTTGATGGCTCCAAAATCAGAGGCATAGTTGATTGGAAATCCCCCATGACGGTCACAGAGTTACGGGGATTTTTAGGCTTGTCCGGTTATTACCGGAAGTTTATACGAGGGTATGGAATGGTGGCCGCTCCTCACGGATTTGCTCAAAAAAAACCACTTTCAGCGGACAGATGCGGCGTAGTGTGCTTTTGCGGAATTGAAAAAGTTGTCGACAGCCCCAGTTCTCCCAACTTCTCGTTAGATTTCGTTATTGAGATGGATGCCTCAAGTTATGAATTGATGGTTGTGCTGATGCAGAACGAGCAGCCGATCGCTTATTTCAGCCAAGCTTTGGGACTTTGAGCCAAGCAAAAGTCCGTTTACGAAAAGCAATTGATGGCGATTGTATTCGCCGTTCGCATGGAGGTTGTACTTGCTCGGTGGACACTTTACCGTTTGTAGTGATCAATGAAGCCTTCGATTTTTGTTGGAACGACGAGTAGTTGAACCGAAGTATCATAAATGGGTTAGTAAACTTTTGGGTTACGAATTTTCAATAGTGTATAAACCGAGTAGTTCTAATCAGGCAGTCGATGCTCTGTCTCGAAAGAAAGAGGTGGTCGAGTGCTCAAGCATGGGTGGTCCACAATGGAGACAAAGGGATAGTTTGAAACAAAAGATTGACGAGGATGATCATTAAAAAAAATCAAATATGATCTGTTAATCGATGCAACAGCCCATAAGGGATTCGAACTTAGACAAGATTTATTGCTATACAAAGGGAGATTGGTTCTATCGAGAAAATCAAAGTTGATCCCACTATCGTTTGAGGAATTCCATAGCTCATCGATAGGCGATCATGGTGGAGAGGATCGCACTTATTAGCGTATCGCGGCTAAAGTTTTCTGGGTAGGAATGAGGAAAGACATCGTTGACTAGGTAAAGAAATGCGAGGTTTGTCAAAGGAACAAGAACCTCAGTGGGTCTCCAGCAGGTTTGTTACAACCATTGGCTCTTCCTACTATGGTCTAGGAAGAGATATCGATGGATTTCATCGAAGGGCTACCACAATCTAATGGAATGAGCATGATTCTGGTAGTGGTCGATAGTTTTAGTAAATATGTCCATTCGGTCTCAAACATCCTTCCGACGCTCAATCCGTAGCCGACGTTTTTGTTAAGGAGATCATTCGGCTACATGGTATTCCACAATCCATAGTTTCTAATCGAGTAAGGTATTTCTCAGTGAGTTCTGGAGAGAGCTCTTTTAGTTGCAAGGTTCTAAGCTGAATTACAGCACTGCTTACCATCCACAATCCGATGGTCAGACCGAAGTGGTCAACAAATGCTTGGAACAATACTTACGGTGTTAGGTCTCGGACAGATCAAAACAGAGGAGTCAGTGGTTAGCATGGGCCGAATTGTCCTATAATGCGTCCTTAAAATGTTCCCCCTTTAAAGTGCTTTATGGAAGGGACCCTCCTCCGTTGCTACGTTATAAATCAACAGCCTCGAACTTACAGTCAGTGGAACAAGAACTAACGACCAGGGATGAGATTCGGGATGAAGTTAGAATGCATCTCTTGAAAGCCCAATGTAGAATGAAACAACAAAAAGATTTACAACGCAAAGAAATTGAGTTTGTTGTGGGAGATTGGGTTTTTCTAAAATTGTGCCCTCCCTTATCGTCAGAAGTCGTTGAATAAGGGGAATAACCCAAAGCTGCTAGCAAGATTTTATGGCCCTTACAGAATCTCATTAAAAAATAGGCCAAATGGCCTACAGATTAGTACTACTGGATGGAGTAAAAATCCACCCAGTTTTTCACGTATCGCAACTGAGGCAAGCTATGAGAGGTTGCGTGAATGCTAAAAACATTCCCTCGCAAATTTCGGATGACATGGTGTTACAAGCAGAACCAGAGGACTTGATGGATATGTGCATTTAGTGCCAAATGGGGATCCAGGGCAGTTGGAAGTCTTAGTAAAATGGAAGGGTTTATTAGATTTGAATCTTCTTGGGAACTATTAGATCCCTTGTTGCAGCGGTTTCCTGATGAGCACCTTGAGGACAAGGTGCTTTCTTTGGGGGGAAGTGTTGGTACACCTCCTTTAAGGTTCACGTACAAAAGAAGCAGCAAATGAGGTGGGATTTTTATATTTTAGTGGGTGCTGTTTAGAATAAGGCCCAGGGGCTGTTTTGGGATTTTTACTTTTTCAATAATGAGCGGAAATCCCTTTTTGTTGGGAGGGGTGCGCTTTCTGTTTGCCATTCAATTTTGGTGTCAATTGTAATTTGAGCCTTGTTCTGGGAGAGACCATGGCCTCTCGAATGCCATTGGAGTGATTTTGCTTTCATTCCTTTAGTTCAATTCCATCAATTCGTATTAGTGTACACCAGACCTATTACTTACAACTTCATTTTGGATTCCACCATGTTGCAAGTTTATATCCACTCAAGACACCATTATAAATTACCCAAGCAAATAAATAGAACCACAAACCTGGTTTCCCATGTTCAAATTTAAAGCAAAGATCCAACTATAGTAAAATGTAAAATATTGTGAAGATATACTCACCATACTTCTCAATGGCCGCAGAAATTTCCTGTTCAGAGAAGCCTATTTCAAGCAGTCTAAGTGTCTTGTCCATGGTCCCAAACAAGGTCTCAGTGGTGGCATCCTGCTAATTTTAAGCTGAATAAGTATTTAAGCAAACAACATGACTTGTACATGAATATTTATACATAGTCTAGGCAAAACATTCAACAACATCTGTTGATAAACAAGTAAATATGATGTATGCCAAACTTTAGCACATCACTGCAGAAATGACATTTAATATCTAACCTCAGAATTTGTGTATGCAATAATTCATGTTTTTAATTATCAGCAACAAAGAGAGATATTTTTTTTTGATAGGGAGGGGGGAGACCCCTCCAGATCAAGATAAAACACTAAAACGCTAAAACAGCAACAATGAAGCGCTCGGGTAGGAGGAAACCTCAACTACCAGAATCCAAGGCACCCCAAGGGGAAAGAAAGAGAGAGACAAAGAAGAAGAAGGACGAGAAAAGAGGGAAAAGGAGAGAAAGAAGAAAGGGAGAAGAAGAGAAGAGGGAAGAGAAAGAAAGAGAGAGAAGAAGAGAGAGAGGAAAGAGAGATATTTTTTGTCGTAATGAATATGTAACTTCATTCTTTAAATGATAGAAAGCGACAGTTCCTTTCTCTGTATCTGATTACCACTACAAATTAGCAAAATAAACCCTCCTTGGACAAAAACGAAGATATGAAAAAAAGAAAATCATAGGTTTTATGGTTGATTTTGAGAGATCAACTACCTTTGAACCAAAAGCGAATATCAAAAGACATTGGTAAAAAATGGTAAAGTACAATGGAAATGTATAAAAGTTCAAGAAGTACAGCTTGAAAATAGTCGTTTTGACACTCCAAGATAAATGTGACTCTTCTTCTAGGAGATGGAATAAGAGCAGAAATATGAACAATGTTGTCACTATAAGAAAATATAGCAATGGATATAAATACAAAATAGTGAATAATGAAATCATAAGAACAGACACAAGCAATAAACACCATTACCGAGATAAAATATGTTATGCAACAGCTTCATAAGAACTAATGGAAATCGACTAATCAATGTAAGAATGCTCCAGCTACCTCAAAATGAAGGCATTAATCTAAAAGAGATGAACTAAGTTGCAGCGAATAACAAAAAACAGTGCTTCAACAGTGCAATGATCCTTTTAACAAGTAAAACAACGTGATAAAATGTTCAACAAAAGACACTGAGAAAAGCTCATGATAAATGAAATTTCAGAAACCTCGCTCTTTGTTTCAAGTTTCTTGTTTGAATCGTCTGCACTATCCATCTGAGCAGCAAAGATGAAATCTACAAGTTCGTCAACACGAGCATCTTCGCCTGTCAACAAACACAAGATGATATCTGCATTTCATGCCTCTGTGCCACATGATTTTTTGCTATATAAGTGGGAAAAACAGGCCAGGAATCTCATATTCAAACTACCCCTACTAGTTTGGTACAAGGCTTCTTGTTTGTTGTTGTTGTGACATTGAAATATGGAATTAGATAACTAGCATAAAAAAAACTTGGTAAAATTTGTTTTGTATGATTTAGAACGATTGAAGTTACAATACCAAATTTGTTCATTGCAAACTCAATTTCCTCCATAGTGAAGTTCATCATCAGTAAAGATGCCTTTTTGTCTTCAGTAACATTGCAACACTGATCGGGGTCCTGCATAGATTAAAAAAATTCATAAACATCACATGAAGGGTCCAAAACAGCATAAAAATGGAAATATCATGATAGCAATGATCTTCCTAAGAAAAAGCAACCTCACTATTGGTGCCAGAAGTAGATAGTCAACCACAGCCAAACCAGAAAAAGGAATCATATGAGAGTTATTTTGACATACTTGATATTACACTTTTATAGGGCCTAGTCCCTACTATAGATGGGGAAGGGGTAGAAAGCAGTCAGATAGGATAACATTGTCCTGGCAGGATTGGAGTCAGGGGATCTGGTCCTAGTACTTGGTTTCACGAGTCTCAGTATTTTAGTTAGTTCTATTCTAACTGCAGTGTTCCTGCATCTGTGCTCTCTGTTGCAATTGTTTATTACCCTTGTGATTTTTCCATTGCCTTGTGCTCTCAACTGTGCTTTCAAAATCCTTGCAGCTTACAAAAAACTTTTGGACAAAACTTTTCCGGAAGGAGGGTATGCGAGGGTCGTCACGAAAATAGCCTCTCTACTCTACCCGGGTGTCTGCGTACATCATACAACTACGTTTCGTTTGGTTTTAATATCACTCTTTCACAAGCAAATGAGAAGGTCAAATTCTATTAAAGCTATCAAATTATGCATATGTTCATAATTTCTGTACTGAAGATATCCACTTCCCGGTGGTCATGAAAAATAGCTCCTAAATAAAATTGTCAAGTTTTTTCCAATATCTACCCTTGTACCATATCACCAACACATACTTATCTTTTATCCATTCAAACCAACATTACCGGACTCATGCTATGCTAAAAAACTAGCAAAATTATAGACTAGGCATGATGACTTGCTAATATGCAACTTGTGGGTAGTAGGTTTAAATTTGCATTTGGTATGCTTGCGCTTAACCATTTGGTGCACTTTGGAACCTGTGTTTGGGTGTGTGCTTTTCTGGATTGGTGACATTGTTTATTCAAGATAACGCATGCATATTTGAGACTTACACAGGTTCAAATCTAGTTGAGTGTAAAAGTTATTATCGACAACAAATTGAGAATAAGATTTAATTATCAGCTATATAGGAACTAGTTTCTATGCATATTAATGAAAAGAAAACATCCACAACACTATAGCGGAGGCTCACAAGTACAATTCTGCTGAGAACACACCATAGCAACCATAGACTCACCTCTTTTAAGGGAATAGTTGTACGGACAGTGCTCCGACTGCTTATATCCTTCTCATCACCGAATAAGCAATCCAGAGAATCAGATGATTCTGAATGTGATATACAATGAGCCTGTTGATTTCACATACAATGTTGCTTTCAACTAAGTCAACAGTCAGTTATTTGAAGCTAAAAAATGGCAACAAAAACATGGTCTATAAAGGTATTTCCCGCTAGTAGTTCACAATCATTATTTACTTCTAATTCAACAGTTCTCTGTCCCTTTTACCAAACCATTCCACAAGGTAAAATCTTTTATTTGATTAAGATGATAAGACCATGACCACCAACCAACCGCCTGGTGATTTGCCTATTAGGTTGATGATAGCAAGTGTCCTACCAAAACAAAACTAAATGAAAGAATATCAATGGAGGAAATCGTTCGAACAAATAAAAAAAGAGTTGCTTATCATACAGATACCTAGAAGAAACTATTATAGAACAATAATTAACTGTTAAAGATAACTCTCACAGTAAGAACCAGTCCTGCAGAAAAAGATAAACAAGGTCAAGAGGTAGTGTTTACCTTCCTCTTTCCGCTACCTTGAGCTAATTCCTCGTCTTTGTCCAGGACTGAGCCATTAGCAGAATGCAATGATCTGGCCTTTGATGTTTGAAGATCCTATTGTGTTAAGATAAGATCATTCATATCCCATCCTTGAACTCTCAATAGTAAATTAATGCAAGCAAAAATTATAAAAATATTTTAAACATATGTCCCCCGTTTTTTCATGTGTCTTAAAACCAAACATGCAACACAAATTAGAAAGAATACCGGATATACACCGCTCAATTTGATCACTTACAGAAGGCTAAAAGCGAATAAATATATCTATGACGAGAAGATAAAAAAAGAAGACGTCAAAAGAATTAATTAGTTTATAATATCATAATTTCTTACAATTAAATGAAATTTCGAGGAATTTTTTAAAATAATTGCAGTTTTCATTGCTTTATATATGTATTTGATACTTCGTTTTAAATCCCAAAAGGACCGGTTAGGACTGCTGGTCTGGATTTGGTCCTAAATTTTTGGCGAAGACCCGGACCGGTCTTTTTCTTCTGGCCTATATAGGATCTCTTAAGGCCCAATCCTTGTGCACCTCTAGCCACACTTGTAGGAGACAAATATGGTGATCCCCATATTGGATGTAGAGGCCCAATATAATACCAAGGCAACTCAGCAGTAAGCACTATTAGAAATCTTCAACAAGAACAAGTCTTCACCTAGTGAAGATAGTTTAAGTCACATTGACAAAGAAAGCATTATTGTGTCATAGAAAGAGAAAGGTGGAGTGAGAAAACAAGGGCTCTAAGCTAACTTTGACCTGGGTGAATGTTGTTGCAGACTTGTAGTTACATGCCTGCCAGCTCCAGCATAGGGGGTGCTTATTAGAAATGAAGATGGCAGGGAGAAAAGAAATAAAGCTCACAGTAAGTGAAATGCTACTTCATACTCCCTTTAACCCATGAAAATTGCAATAATTGACTGTACAAGTTGTTTGATAGAAATGTGGGACTGCTACTCACATCTTTAAGATGCCTTCAATGATGAAAAGTAGAGGGATCTTAAGGAGCAAAAGTAATAGAATCACTAGTTTGTATTTTGTAACTAAAATGCGTAAATGTGTAATTTTAGATTGCAAATTTGCCGAAAATGAAACATGCTATTTTGATGGGACATCTTAAAATGAAAATACAGGAATCTTTCATGAATGGAAGAGGCATCTTTTTTAAGGAATATGGAAGTAGAGAAAAGATGATAACAGTTCTGCCATAGATAGGCCAAAGTAAAGGACCCCCCAAAAAAATATAAAAATTATCAGATCGTATATTTTCAAGGACTTACGGAATATGCAAGGAGAGTCTCCAGTAATAAATTCATATTCTCTTCACCTACATTACAGAAATAAAATTTAATGTCAGATAAAAATCAAACATTCCCCTCAACATGGTCCTGAAAACATCAGAAAATCAGAAAAACTTTACAATGAAAGTAGATGCCATCATACAGACTCAAAGCTCAACCATATCTCCCTAGAGAAGTCTAGTTTTTTGCTAAACTTACCATTTTGTCTGATAGCTTTCTCAATAAGATCCAGTGAGAATCCCATCCCTATGAGGGATGATCTTATATTGCTTCCAGATGAGCTCGCACCATTGTCCTGAAAAAGGTGAGTTGTTAAATGTGAGGAGATGGGGGAGACAGGAAGTATGATTACACACTTGTAAGAACTTATTAATATAAAATATGTAAGAATAAAATACCATTATAGCCACATAGATGTGCATGTTATTTATTATTCATGTCCAGCTGCAAACCACTTGATGCATTAATGCTTCATAGAATAGGTCAAACTATTATATCATAGACCTTATGTTCTTAATTACAGATTGTGCAAGACACGGTGGTGAATGAGATCAACTTAACATGACAGCGAATGTAACTAGGAAAGACGATGAATATCATTTCATGTAATGGAAAATCAAAATGCACTCTTTGTTATTTCCTGCCTCTGACATTAGGAAACAAGCAGCAAAAACAACCATATAGTGCATGTGTTGAAGATTTTAGTTGAAGATCTTAAGTTTGCAAGATAAGCAATGAATCCGAATGCACAGTACCTTGTATTGCACAAAGAACATGATTTTCAAGCCATACATGGTTATGTATCATTGTTTTCTGTACAACACAATCATCCAAGAATTATTGACTCACTAGGAATGATTAGTTGCATAATAGAGGAAGACCTTTCAACTGTTCATGATCTGCAGCACCAACGCCAAGATACTTCATATGCAACTGAGACAGAAATTGAGGAGCTGACCTTTACCAATCTATCTAATTGCCTTAGACCATATAAACTGATGGAAATTTGATGGGCAATAACAAGCAGTCACTGAATTGCACAGGTGTAAATCAGCTGCTCAAGACAGCATATCCTACCAATCTACTCTCACTACCAACTTGCACAATCCCCATGAACATTGATCATAATCTCCACATACAAGTTAAGCGTTATGCAAGGAACGCAGCAATATGGCGGACAAGAGAAATGGTTATGAAAAAAATAGTAAACATTAAAAGCATACAAAAAAGACAATAATTTATAAGAGACGTACCCTAATATGGCTTGAGTACATGTTCTCACGATGAAAACCATTATAATCAATTGCCTCTACTTTCGTGATGGTTCCAGTCTCAGGCTTAAGCTCATCATCACTATCTGATAGATTAGTTATTTCATACTGCACAATTAAGGCAACAAAAAAATTATTATAAAACACAATAATGGATCATGGAAGTCTCTGACTAATGATTTACCATACCATCTTGACAATAAAAGAAGCTGGCAAGCTTAAAACATAGCTTTCAGATGATGTCAAGTTGCACAAACCAAGCCCTTTTAAAACAACTGCAAAATCAACAACTGAATTAATGTAAATAAAACTAGAGAATATATAGAATTTAGACAGCATCTATATGGTCCAGACTCTAGAGCCTGATATTAAAGAGAAAGACGCAACATGAGTTTTTATACGTAATGCTTGAACTTGAAGCACAAAATGCTTCCTAATTCTAGGGAGGCCAAGTGATGGTTCAGTGTTTTCACAATCTACCAAGACAGTCAATAAAATGAGTGAACGGCCTTCCTTGAATTCATGGGTCACAGCTATATGGACTGAATTCAGGTTAATGCAACTTAAGGATTAGCTCTCTGCCGTTCAAAACTACCAAAATAGATGATGTAACACTTCCTTCCTTATAGTAATGGCGTGCCAAAATTATGGGTATTATTGCATTTTCAAGGGGTGTGTCATGAGCATCCAAGAAGATGGAGGTGCTGGATACAATGGCAGGGAGGTGTATCAATAGCACATACCATACAGCTTGAGGACCATAGCCAAGAAAATGGTTTATGTTAAAGCACTGCCTCAGTCAGTTGGACGCTTCATAATTCCAGGAATGCAAGAGACCTTAGGTCTCAATAATGGAAGTATCACGTGGGAAGTTGGAGATAGCTCAACAAGGGATCAAATCTTTGCTGAAAAATCAAGAATGGATGTAGCAACGAGGAGACCAGTGGTCGAGAAGGGTGATGACGTTCAAGATCATTTATTCTTAAAAGGAAGAAAATGCTCAAATCCCCCGATAGTTGAAAACCTCAATTGTTTTTTGTAGTTTTCACCATTGATCCCCTCGGCTCACTCTTGGTACCTCCAAGTGCATATGTGTTGCAAAATATTGGTCTAAATAAGAATAGGACACCAATTATAGAATTCAAAAATAAGCATAAAGAATAAACGTAAGTAGCAAACTAACAAAATGCGTTGAAATAAAATCTTGAGCAATGCAAAGCATATAAAAAGTGAAGCGGCGAAAACAGTAGTGGCTTAGAAAACCCTTATTTAGGCTTTCAAAATTAAGCAATCGGCAACGGACGAAGTTATTTAATACACATTCGAGTGAAATAAACAGATAGGCGGAGGAGGAGGAGGTGATGGAAGCATACCAGTATCGAGGGTATGACCGGAGAAGGGAGAAACTTGAGAGGAAGAACGGGAACGGGAACGGGAACGGGAACCGGAACTGGAATGGAACCGGAACCGGAAGGAGTTTGGGGGAAATATATTGCAGACCAAATAACAAAAATCAACCCTTTACTTTAAAAGAAATATGCTTTTCGTCCTCCAAATTACACAAGACATCATGTCGACTGCATTTCTTTTTTAACGTATTTCGTTCCTACCTCAAACGACGTTAAATTGATCCTGTTAAGTGCCCCACTTGTTTCATCGTTTTTCATTTCATGTTTTTGTATTAAAAATTTATTGTTAAAGAATGAATGATAACCACAAGCAATTTACATTGTTGTTTGCTACATGATTTTGAGTATATATAAAAATTAAAAATATGTAATGTATTATTTAAGTTTAATCAGATTCCTTTGGTAAGATGAAGAAGAATGTCGTAAATCATGAAATTAATTTTGAGGTTTAATTTTTTGGTTTATAATATTTCAATCATCGGTTAAATAATTACGATTTTGTAAACAAACACAAGTTCAAGGTTTGTTAGATTGATTAAAATGAATAGCAGTCGTAAGTAGTAACCACTTCAATTTGCAAAACCCTCATTCCTTCTCCTGCTACGCCCAACCAAAACATAAAACTAAACACAAACGATCATCCTCTTTAGGCTCCATCAATGGCATCTGGGACAGGAATCGAACCACCTATCTCACCCACAATCTCTGCTTCTGCAACTTTCGGCAACTCCACTTCTATCTGATCAAATTTTGATTCACGCCGTCTCTCACGCCTTACAGGGCTACGACTGTAGCTGCGGCTACGGCTTCGGCTTCGGCTTCGGCTTCGGCTTCGGCTTCTTGACCAACTACGGCTCCTGCTGTAACTCCTACTCCTGCTTCGGCTACGGCCCCACGTTCGAACCCTATCAGGACTACGGCTATAACTTCTTCCCCTACCACGGTCCCCATCTCTCCTGTTATCAAATCTCCCTCGCCCCCTGCCTCTGCCACGGGAATCCATGAATCTATCATTARGGCCACGTTCCCAACCACCACCACGACCACCATAGTTGCCATCCCTCATCCCACCACGACTTCCAAAACCCTCATCCCTTTGACCGCTTCTCCCTCCAAACCCACCACCACCCCGACCACCAAAACCTCCTTCCCTCAACTCACCACCACGACCACCAAATCTGCCATCCCTCATGTCACCACCACGACCACCAAACCTGCCATCCCCACCACGCCCACCAAAACCACCATCCCTCATGCCACCACGACCACCAGAATCAAAACGGCTCATTCCACCCCTTTCCTTTCCAAACCCAGGCCCGCCACGTACCGCAATCTCTCGCACCTCAGCAGGTACAGGCTGATCGGCCCCCTCCAGAACCTTGATTAGATCAGCTGCATATTTCCAGTCTTGTTCTGAAAAAAAGGTGTAGGCCATACCTTTTGCCCCTGCCCTCCCAGTTCGCCCGATTCGATGCACATAGTCCTCAACACCATTTGGAAAATCATAATTGATCACTACCCTGCATAAGCAACATACAATACAATTATTTATTTCAGTTCATGAATTTGATGATAAATGACTATGCTTCCCCTTTTGGTGCCTTACTGACCTTACATCCTTAATGTCAAGTCCCCGTGCGGCAACATCTGTGGCAACTAATATCGGCGAATTGCCAGAACGAAACTGATTCAGAACCCAGTCTCTCTCACCCTGAGATTTGTCTCCATGAATTGCTGCAGCACCAAAGTTGCGACCAATATTACGTGTAAGCTGGTCACATAGTTTTTTTGTTGAACAGAAAATTATTATTTTGGAACCCCGTTCTTGGGATCGAAGAATCTGCTCCACACGTCTCTGCTTCTCCATGTGAGGAACAACTTCAACATACTACACAATCAAGCAGATCATGATATGGTTGAGAAATAATACCAAAGATCGTTCATTAAATCCATCAGCAAGAAGATGAAAGATACAATCACATTCCTTAGATGATCACTTGCAAACAACATTTGAAAGAAGTCCAATAAGACCCRCAACCAGTTTAACATATGAAATTATCACCACCACGACCATCAAATCAAGTCCAACACCAAGTAATAAGTAGACATTGATTGAACATATCAGTACTCCAATTTCACACACATCAAGTGGACAAACTAGAGGATTTAATTTTTAATAACTTACCCCTCCTCTTATAAGCCCTTCACGTATTATATAATATTGCAGTGAAGTAGGTAGTAATGTTTCAAAGATGCAAGTCCATCACTCACATGAAACTAAACTTCACAACCAAAACCACCAGAACATTAAATTAATCTTCCATAAATATAAGAAAACATTAGCATGAACCCATAATTCTGCATCCTTCCTAAGTTATGGCTTTACTTGAGACTTGTATTTCTTTTCTATTTTTCTAAAACCCGTCTGTAAGGTTCACGTAGCGAGCACATGAAAAGCTGGACCGTAATGGCCTCAAAGGAGGGCTAGCTAAAGCTTCACAAAAATACAGCTATATGATTTTCATATCAGGACATTTTCCTCACTATAAATTACAAGCTGTTGCACCCTTCATTATGTCGAAGACATTAAATAAGAAAAAAGATTATGTCTTTCTATTATGATGCATTTCCCTAACCCTACATACTTTAAATACAAAATGAAGATCCATTTTTCTGTTTGTTTTCAACTTTTAAAACCTAAAGGGTGTAATGCTGCCATATTATACATTACAATTAGCAAAAAGAGAAGCATAATATATAGCAACCACGACTTCATTTCAAGAACCATGGATGACAGTTAATGCACCATCCCTCTCCTTAATAATCACACACTCTCTCTTTAAAACTAGAAAGAGTGTTAATCCCGATGGTTGTTAATATATTTGGTAAAAAAAAAGAAAATAGCTACTTTTCTATGAGTACGAGCATATGCTTCAGGTTCTTTTACCTGGGTAATAGACTTGTTTGCAGCAAGCTCATCCGCATTRCCAATATTAACCTGAACAGGATTGACAAGAAGGTCTCCAGCTATTTTTCTCACTTCCTTCGGCCAAGTGGCTGTATACATCAGAGTTTGCCTGCGCGGAGGTATTTCATTGACGATCTTCCTTATTTGAGGTTCAAAACCCATATCAAGCATCCTGTCTGCCTCATCAAGGACAAGAAGAGAAACCTGACGGAAATCAACTCTTTTCATTTCAAGGATGTCATTAAGTCGACCAGGAGTAGCTACAACAATATCTGCTCCTCTTTCCAATTCCTTCAATTGAGGACCCTTGGGAGCTCCACCATACAAACACTGAATAACATCAAAACACGTCATATACTTWATTTRAAATAGAATCTGCTAAACCTGCCAAAGCACAAGAAAGAGGAACTGATGACTCACTGTGCAAGAGACCCTAGAAGACCGGCCAAACTTTATGGCCTCGTCTTGTATCTGAGTAGCAAGCTCCCGGGTGGGAGCTAAAACAACAACTGTTGGTCCATTCTGAGGATTGTTGCGGCAAAATCTGAGATGCATGAAAGCAGGGATCAGATACCCCAATGTTTTACCGGAACCTGTCTTCGCAATTGCCACTATATCCCTATTTTGCAAGGCAATAGGCCATGTTTGAGCCTGAATAGGTGTGGGAGAAGCGAAWCCAGCAGCGTGTATCTGAAACAAAATCATATTAATGAACCCCTAGACACAGAAAAAGATCTTAAGCATTCTTATGCATATGCCCGGATAATTTAAAATGAAAGCCATACACTAGAAAAATGATGCCTAAATGAGAAAAAGAGAACTTCAATTAAAACATTTGCTAAATGAAGGTCCATAGGTATGCAGTTGCTTACTGAAGCAACTCGAGGCAACAAAAGGGAGCAATAAAGACAAAAGAGGCGGAGCCAATAAGCCAGGTATCCCAGTCACAATAAGTGTGATCCGGATGCAGGCCAACCACCCTTCAGAAGATGCCAAGGAAGGCTCCAACTGTCCATTTTGCAGCCTAATCAGAATACTTGTAGCAAAGTGTGCGCATGGCAGGGCAGCGTACGACATATGCTCCGCCTCTGGAGCAGATATCGCACCTGCGACAAGTCAGAACTGTTAATCTTAAGATACAGATTAAGAATAAAAAGAACATGAACATGAACACCAAACATAGCATGTACAGTCATACACAGACAAAGTTAGTTAACAACTTCTCTAGAGAAGTACTTACCTCTCTCAATATCTCTGGGGGAAAGCCTGTGGACTCAAATGACATGAATGGAGCTGGAACATTATCACCCTACACAATTAAAGTAAAAGGTAAGTGACATTTGCAAATACCTGAGAAGAGGTAGAAAAGCTCTCCGACGGTAGACCATGAACGTATAGGGACAGAAGGCATGGCAAAATCAGCCAAGCACATTTTTGAACTTAATAAAAATTATAACCAAGATCGTTCACAAATAAGTAGGCTTTCAATGTCATTATGCATCCCAAAAGAATCAACTTGACTTTGGCAAGTTAGGATGCTGCAATCTCGTGCTGATGTGTGCCAAAGTTAAAATACCATTGTCAATATGAAAAGAAGTATGTTATGTATATTTGAGTAAATTGCAAACATACAGATAGCACAGGTGGTATGTGTTTTTCCCATCCTACTATATGTGAACAATATCTAAGAGTACTCAAATTTTCCTGGATATAGATACCACAATTATTGTCGATTGATTAAATGAACTTTAAAGCACAAATGAAGCACATTGCAATTTTAGGTGGTGAGAAAAATCTGGTAAGATAAGTTAACATTCTAAGCTATCAAATAATCGGAAAATGACATTATCCAATCCAATAAATCGCCGATAAATAGATCTGACTGCATGATTATCACCTATATTTGGCATAGATCTGATGTCCACCATTAAAATTTCAGATTTACCCCAATTCAACACTACAAACATGATTTGCATCCCACTCTTGTTAACCTGAATAATAAAGAGACTGGTGCAGAAAATTTCTTTAACATTTGGTAGATAATAAAATAGTTCCCTCATATACCCCTTCTCCTTTAGACCCATAAATATAATCAATTGATCTCAGCTTATACACTAAAAATTAAAGTAAAGAAGAGGATTTCCATCTACACTTCTATAACATGAAAGAAAATCGCATAGTTCTATTACTTCTGGTATTCCCAAGAATTCAGCTACAAAGTGGTCTTTAAATTCTATAGTTCAGGGACAACCATTCGCCACATTACTGGAAATATAATGTCCTTGACTATAAGAAGTACATTGAAGAACATTGGACCACACGGTAGCACTAGAGGAAACTCAAGAGAACATCGATAAACTGGTCTATCAATACATTGTTAGATGATGACACTGCTAGCAGGATAGAACACATCGTTGGAAGAGAAAGCAAGACAGCATTTCACAGATCCCACTAATTAAGATGATGACAAATAGCATTATAAAACAAAAGTGTGGAGATTCTTTGGTCAGTAAGTTCAAACAAACCGCTGTTAGTAAGCTACGAAATCCTTCAGCTATCTTACCAACCTTGTGTAAACTGTGAGTCTCCCTCAATTACATAACAACCACATGAACAGTAACAGTCTAATCAGCAATTAGGGAGTTAAACGTGATCAAGTAAACAAACCGTTGCTGTTACGTCATGCTTCTGACGGTAAATATCAACAGAGGACATATTCATAGCGTCTCGAGAAGTCATTGCTGCAGGATTTTGCATTATCATGGTGTTATTCGCATATGGTGGACCACCAGTAGCATGTCCATAGATGTTATGTGAGGCTGGCCCTGGCATATTATTATTTTGAGGTGGAGGAGCCCCAAATCTCATCTCCTAAAAGGATGTGAAGTAAGATTAGTTATCATACACCATCTTTCCTTGCACGTAAGAAGTGTGCATGCAATTAGAAATTACATAAGCGAGAGAACACGCTGACATGCAAATATCAAAAGCTTGCAACACGTTCACGCTCACGTCATAATATAGTTTAAAAAAATAGAAGTAATAATGCACAGACACCATAGGATACAAAGTTCATAATAGAAAACGAAGACAGACATTACCGGCTGATTTCTTGCCATAGGAATTGCAGCAAGCTTAGGTTGATGAGTAGCAACATTCGGCCCATCATTATTAGCATTAATATAGTGCTCATTCCCACCTCTTCCAGGTTGAGTTTCTTCAAAACCCATCTTGAATCCTACTGGTGGAACATTGGGCTGCTGGCCATGCATCTGAGCTTGACCCATTTGGCTTTGGAACCTTGGAGCATGTTGCTGGTGGTTGATGCCGCTATACTGTAACTGACCAAAAGAGGAAGGTTGTTGCACACTGAGCAGAGAGCCACCATATGGAGTGGTTTGTCCAGGTTGAATACTGGATTTACCCTCTGGAGGCAGACTTTGAACAGGTGGCACCCCACCTTGATGGATCTGGGATGGAGAGAACCCAACCTGTTTTCCTTGCTGAAAATCAGTATCCTCTCTCTGCAAGAATGCAGCCTTTTGCTCTTGTTGAGGAAACTGTTCAGGATGCTGWGTATGCTGTGGTATATTAGGCTGCCCTGCCTGAGGGATGTTCTGCTGATATCCCATGTAGTGCGACTGTTGATGTGTAAATTGGTAGCCCTGTTGYTGYCCTAACGGTCCACCCTGGTAAGTTTGAGGTATTTGAACTCCTTGCTGGGGTGGCATTTGTTGTTCCACAGTTGAAAATGTGTGCTGGTTTGGTCCCATTTGAGGCCTGATGTGCTGTGTCATTTGCTGCCCCAACTGCTGCATGCCAGGTCCCATTTGTGAACCWARTTGTYGTCCACCTTGTRGTAATTGAGAGCTATTTTGTTGAGCAACCTGTGGTACCTGTTCAGCATGCTGTTGTGATTGTGGAGTAACTTGCGGCCCTGGTTGCTGTGTGTTATGTGTCATTTGATGTGCCTGTTGACCAGGAACTCCGTTCGGCTGCCCAGTCCTTACACCAGGTATTGGAGCCAGCTTAGGTGCAGAGGGCACAGGTGGTGGGCCTGTTGGCAGTGGAGGCAGCGAAGCATTAGGTTTCTCGTATTGGGTGACATTGGTTTCAGGGTTCCAATAATACAGCACACCGGTGCTCCCGTCAACCAAGCCTTTCCAAGGTTCAGGCAATGTTGGATCAGCTGGAGCATAACGAGGTCCCAGAGCGTCCGGACCTCCCTCAGCGGCCATGCTTAACAGGAGTCACAACCTAGAAGTTCAGAGATGATCAAAGATTAGCTACCTCCATATATAATACAAGAACCATGAACAGAGCATATGACAAATAGCTCACTTCGATACCAACATCATCTTACAGAAAAGGTCACATCAGTTAGCAGCTACAATTTTCACTTATGTTTTTAATGTGAACAAATATAACATTATATGGAAGATCAAAACTCAACAATATAAAAAACGACTAGGACACCAGCCAGAGGCAGTTTCTTTTGAATACTTAAAACCCCCTTCTGTAAATTCATTCAGCATTACCTTTTCGAGCTGATATTACCTTCCTTTTCATACTCTCCAAATACCTAACATCATTGATAATAATGTAAACATGTTCTTGCTGCACAGAACTATAGATCAACATACTATGCTGTCCCTATTCCCTAAGCAACAAAATGTTCTGATTACTCATGAATCAGAACGGATCAGTACAACAAAGGCATATTGGCAGCTTAGTTGTCAAACCATGTTTGCATAGCATATGAGAATAATCGTGATTCATGGCAAGTCAACATCATTACATTCACTTCAATTTTTTCAAAGGATCCAAATATCTAAAAGAATTCAAACACACAATAATCCAATAATAAATGCAAACTTTTCAAATTACATAAAAAATCATAAGATCTTGTGATCCAAACGTGTATGCAGTTCTCTTTTTCACAATCCCTTTCCCCCACTTTTCCTCATTTGTTTTTAGTTGACTTATTGTATCTTGTATGGAACAATACGGCAAAATAACAGCATTGTGCAAAATAGAAATAAAAAAACCAATGAATTCAACAGGTTAATATTATGTGTATCGACTACAGTTACAAACTATAATAATGAAAGATTCAGTGTGTTGCACACAACTCAAAATTCACTAAATTAACAATCTACGATTTTCAGCAAGTACATTTTAAAAGAGAGCGCTGAAAGAAATACATGGCTTATTGATTGTGTATTAACTTCCTAACAGTCAACTAAAAGCCTCTTGCCCTCTTTCGGTTTGACCTTGCAATCAGAAAAAATAGGGCAGAAGATAGATAAAAAACAAATGAATTGCAGCAGATAAGAAGATGATAAAAAATATTAAACTATGATAAAGAAAGAGACAACAAAGATAAAAGAAGAAGAAATATGATTGGTATCGACTGGAGACTACTAGGAGTGTAAGATAAAAAGACTTGCTACATACAAAACCTAGAAGCACCTTATTTTGGAGAGTATATTGTGTTAAATTACGTTTTCATAGAATTTATTTAAAATTAACAAGTATAACATCTGTTACGATCCGTATGATATATGTGTGATTCTGTAATAGTTTCAGATTTTATAAGATGATATCATGTTCTTTGTTTCTATCCAATTCCTTCCCGGTAAGGAAAATCTCGAATTGGATCCTAAATTGACGGGTTCCAATATATTCCTTTATTGCATTACTCGTTATATTCTAATCAATTCAATTGGTTAAATTGTTGTTCATATTGAAATGAATCGAGATTGATAAGGAGTTGGGAATCCACTAGAATTATTATTTTGACAACACTAATTGGCATTGGTTAAGTCAAGTATTGACCCCAACGCAAAGACGCAAGTGCTTTGCACAGCAAGGAAAGTAAACTGAGCACCAAAAGTCTATAAACTGATCCTATAGGCCCCCACAATTGCAGCAGGTAAGAACAATGAATTGTAACGATATCACATGGTGGAAATTTTGTATAACCTGCAGCAGAAATACACAATAGTGCACCCATTCTCAAGCATCTTCCAATTGAAACATAACATGTTTCTGATGTAGGGTTTTCTGAGCAATCTCTATATAAAGAGCCTCATTGAGCATAGGAACTCAAATTTCCCCAAAAGAATTATATATACAATCAACATGTTACTTTTTTAAATGGTAACTTTTTAAACATTATTATTTCATATTTAATATAATACGAATGACATACCATTTATAAAATGTTGTATTCCCGAGTGGAGAACCCTAATCCCAACAGTAGCCCTTGTTGGCCTAAGTCAAAAACACCAATGATAATTATATTATATCCAAGGGAATACAGGAACACTATGCAAGCCGACCGGGGCATTCTCGTCCTGCTGAACCCTAAACATCAAACCTAATCCCATTCTCTCTGATCCAAGGTATACGTGACGTTAATCTCTCCAAATCATTTGTGTACCCACACGAAAGCACGGCATTATTAGAGTTTTAGAGAGAAAGAAGTGATACACGTAGATCCAAAGGTGAGCAAATATGTATGAGCTATGCTTTTAATTCTCATATCTAAACTTGAATTTATTAACATTGATATTTTGGAAATAGTACTAGTCGTCCTCGATGTAGTGAGCCTTTTATTATTATCTATTGTTGATAATCTGTTTTCATGTTTCAGTTATTAACCCTGGAATCCAATCCAACATGTAAATTCCATAATTCTTGTGATAATTTCAGCAACTAAAATACTCATAGTTTTCATTAAAGAATTTGATAAACCTATGGGAATTTATTTGGAAACAATGTTGTTGCTTATGTACATAACATGTTACGAATAGCTGAAAGTTTAAGTCATCGTCCATTGTTTGAGTGGTTTATGGACATTCAACTCCTTTTTAGCATCTGTATACGAGCATTTTGGTAATACCTGATGTATATTTGATACCCTCCAATGGGTTTTGTTCATCCTATTTGGTTATAAAAAATTCAAGAACACATTAACCTGTTTCCTTATCTTGCTTAGAAGTTCAGGTAATTTTTTCCATCATGAATGAGTGTGAAACAATTGATCTTTCTATGCTTTGCTACTAATGTTTTCTAAGCGCCATAGAGATAATAGAACATTTCAAACGCCGGATATAGTCATTGTGATTAGGCATAGATTGTTAATGTCTATGATTGCAATAAAAACTTTATCTATGATGTTAGGAACTTAGGATCTGTATTCAGCTTGATTTAACAAGAATTGACACAGGCTGTTACTACCAAACACAATGCTTCAAATGATGAACAACCTTCGGGCGTTTGGTGGCTTGAAAGCGACACCTTTAAGAGCATAACCCGACAAACAGCTTCGGAAGTGTACTCAATATGATACATGGTATAACAGGGAAAACATCTTTTCTTCAGTAGTTCTCGTACCAACTTCTGCCACACAACAATGTATGAGGACAGTACAACACCTACTAGCATTTAGCTAGCATAAAAGTGAGACATTCAGTTGACCAATCCATCAGATAGAAACGACGAATAAGGATCTCAAAATAATAATAGAGAAAGTGGCATCGATGAATAACAGAATCAAAATAATAATAATAGGACAACAGGTCAAATTGAAAGCCATGGTCACACAAAAGTAGAAAGGCCAAACCAACAAGTCCTTGAACCAAATCGAGAAATTAAACAACCTAACCTCCGATTAGCAGACGGTGGCACAGCAGGCGGCGATGATTTGTTTAGGACTGGCGAAAAGAGGCGTCGTTGAGGCAGAGAAAGGGTAGGGTGTAAAACGTACCTTCGAGCCAACAGGATTCATCATATACGAGATATATATATAGATATATATATATATATATATATATACACACTCCAACTCTAATCACCAATATTTGTTGTAATCTATCATGTATTATTACAATTTGTATTTTGTACTCATGTAAACTGTATTATTATTTTTATTCGTCTTCTATGATTTTATTTTGTAAATACATATCATCTTTTGTTTTTACTTATATATTGCCACATCAATAAAACTTAACATTTATTTTTTAAGTTAAATGTATTTTTAATTAGGTTTGAGTTAGATTTATAAATTTCAAATATATTAATAAAAAGTATTATATAATGGTTAAAATCTGGTCAAGATTTGAAAATATTTGTATATAAGTATGAGTATTGGATTAAAGAAAATAAAAATACTCATTTTTTTATATCATATGCTTAATTAAAATATTTATTATATCTAAAACAATCAAGATTTTTAAAAAATGAAATAAATTTATGAGGTGAAAAGACTAAAGGGCAATATCAAGTCTTGTACTTTATTGTTTATAAAATGTGAGATAAAAATATTTTTTATTACATTTTTTATTTTTACGTAATATTTCCAATACTCAAAAAAAAATTTGTCTAATAATGAAAATTCTCATAAAAATCATACCTAAACAAGAACCACCGTTAAACGAATAAAGACTCCTTAAATAGAGAGAAGATTTTGTATTTAGTTGATTTTAAATGATAAAGAAAAAAAGTAATCATGGCATTTAGATTTATTATCATCTACAAAGTGTCCCTTGTAAACGCCATAGAGATGTTATAATTTAAATTCTAAAATTATACATGTAACCCTCAACAGCCATGAGTTAGTTGTTCATGGCTACAAAACAGCCACATACATGCGTTTTGATACCATTCATTTGGTTAGAAACATGGGGGGTTTTGTGATTACAACCAAGTTTGGATCACAACCACTTTCCGAATACAACTCTCTCACATAAAATGTAATTGTAAATAACCACTTCAATTTGCCAAAATCTAAAACCACATGATTACATGAAAAATCCTTCTCCTCTTTAAACTCCATCAATTACCATCTGGGACTGGAACGGGACAAGAGATTATTGCTGCCTCACCCACAATCTCTGCTTCAGGAGCTTTCGGCAAATCCGCTTCAATCTGATCAAATTTTGATTCACGCCGTCTCTCACGCCTTACAGGGCTACGACTGTAGCTGCGGCTACGGCTACGGCTACGACTTCGGCTTCTTGACCAGCTACGGCCCCTGCTGTAACTCCTGCTCCTGCTCCTGCTCCTGCTCCGGCTACGGCCCCACGTTCGAACCCTATCAGGACTACGGCTATAACTTCTTCCCCTACCACGGTCCCCATCTCTCCTGTTATCAAATCTCCCTCGCCCCCTGCCTCTGCCACGGGAATCCATGAATCTATCATTAAGGCCACGTTCCCAACCACCACCACGACCACCATAGTTGCCATCCCTCATCCCACCACGACTTCCAAAACCCTCATCCCTTTGACCGCTTCTCCCTCCAAACCCACCACCACCCCGACCACCAAAACCTCCTTCCCTCAACTCACCACCACGACCACCAAATCTGCCATCCCTCATGTCACCACCACGACCACCAAACCTGCCATCCCCACCACGCCCACCAAAACCACCATCCCTCATGCCACCACGACCACCAGAATCAAAACGGCTCATTCCACCCCTTTCCTTTCCAAACCCAGGCCCGCCACGTGCCGCAATCTCTCGCACCTCAGCAGGTACAGGCTGATCGGCCCCCTCCAGAACCTTGATTAGATCAGCTGCATATTTCCAGTCTTGTTCTGAAAAAAAGGTGTAGGCCATGCCTTTTGCCCCTGCCCTCCCAGTTCGCCCAATTCGATGGACATAGTCCTCAACACCATTTGGAAAATCATAATTGATCACTACCCTGCAAAAACCAATATACAATAAGATTTGATTACGAAGGAAGGAACTCGGCCGAAGATAATTATTTATTTCAATTTATGAATTTGATAATAAATGACTATGCTTCCCCTTTTGGTGCCTTACTGACCTTACGTCCTTAATGTCAAGCCCCCGTGCAGCAACATCTGTGGCAACTAATATCGGTGACTTGCCAGAACGAAACTGATTCAGAACCCAGTCTCTCTCACCCTGAGATTTGTCTCCATGAATTGCTGCAGCACCAAAGTTGCGACCAATATTACGTGTAAGCTGGTCACATAGTTTTTTTGTTGAACAGAAAATTATTATTTTGGAACCCCGTTCTTGGGATCGAAGAATCTGCTCCACACGTCTCTGCTTCTCCATGTGAGGAACAACTTCAACATACTACACAATCAAGCAGATCATGATAT